CATAAGCGCAGTTACGCATTGTACCCCACTATTTTTCCCGCGCTCGCCGCTGCGCTCGTTGCCAAGAATATTGGGAGTGGAATCAACTACGTCGCCTCCTGTCAAGCATTAGGGGTGTCGCCTCAGGCGCAAGCTCAAGGTTTGGTCGTTGACAATGTGTTCGCCTTTCTTTACTTCCCGTTAGTATCAATACTGGGTGATCAATACAAGAGAACAGAACATGACGAGATGGAAAAAGAAGATGTAGCCACATCGACGGACCACCGATCGACTTTCGACGCGTCCGATGTTAAAATGGCTCTTGCGTTGACGCTTGCAATTTTGATAGCTGCGCGCATCGAAGCTGAGTTCTGGTCAACGATACTTGAAGGCGTAAGTTCCAGTCGTTTGTTCTTACCTGTTGTTACGCTCTTTTCCGTATTGACTGCGACGTTTTTCAAAGTCAAAGATGCTGTCGTAAATGCCGGAAACTTTACGGGACAGTGCTTATTATATGTATTCTTTGCGAGTGCCGGAGCATCATCGCCGCCTTTGATTCACGCGTTCACGAATGATGCAAACTTGCTTTATTTCGCGAGTACGATGTTCGCCGTTCATCTGCTTGCGGTTGGTGTTATGTTCTCGTCCCCGGAGATGCTTGTCGCGTCGAATGCGGGTGTTGGTGGACCTGCCACGGCGGCAGCGTTTGCCAAAGCAAAGAATTGGCGAGAGTTAGTTGCGCCGGCAATCTTGGTTGGTAACCTGGGGAACGCGTGCGGTACTTTCATAGCTATTATCTTTGCTCAACTTGTAAATTAATTGTATACGTACGTGTGAGTATCTCTTGAGAACTAATACGCACGTGTGAAGCGCGTATAAGCGCGCGTTATTTTCGCTTTTCAATAAAAGATACTTGTACGTGTTCTGTGTTGGAGAGTTGCCTAAAAATAAAGAAGAGTTCAAATTTCAAAAATCACGCGTCATTCTTCGTGCGGTACCACGTGTTTGTATCACTTGACATGTTGTTGGTGCGAGAGTAATCCTAGACGCTCAAAGTTTGTGCTGCACATTTATAATATGCTCTCACCACCATCGCCATCCCCGGCATCGCAAAGGAAAAACGACGACGACGATGACGACGAAAAAGGATTTGATGAAGGAGTGTTTGCGTGCTGCTACCTTGTCGCGTCTTTGTCCGAACAGCACAAAGGTAAAACGTATGTTGGTTTTACCGTGAATCCAAAGAGGAGACTTTTACAACACAATGGGCAATACGCGAATGCTGGAGCGAAGTATACGAAGAAATTACGTCCTTGTGAGATGGTATTGTGCGTGTACGGTTTCCCAACGAAAACTCAGGCACTCGGCTTCGAATGGGCTTGGCAAAATCCAACGACGTCGAGGGCCGTGAAAGACCTGGCGCAGAACAAACTCAAGATTGGAAGTCGGCATTCGACAATTTTGAATAAATCTCTTTTAGGGTTGGCCATGCTGAACTTATCTCCTTGGAGACATTTACCGCTCGTCGTTCATTTTTTCAACGATACTCACAAGCGCGACGTGCTTGAAAACGCTGAGAAAAAGGATGTAAATATTCCATCGCACGTTCGAGTTGAAGTCGGAGAGATGAACGAACTTGACGCGTATGTGAAGGAACACAATCCAACAAAAACATCTAAGAAGAAAAGAAGGAAAAGAGACGACAATGATGATGACGATGATGATTTAGAGAGCGAAGATTTTTTACCTCTCCAGTCCCAGGACTCGGATATTTTCATGAGCTCGCAGCGTGTCTCGAAACAACAACATCAACAACATCAACAACACGTTTGTGAAGTGTGCCTTCGACAATCAAACAGTACCGAAGGAGGTAATAATACCGATTCAGAGTACGCCGACGAGGAAGAAGTGTGTTGTACGTGCTCTTCATGTGGTGCGCACGCGCATTTGGTATGTTTAGCAGAAAATTTTTTTAAATACGGTCGTGATTTGCATAGCGACAAAGAGAACCGAGATGAGGACGCGATTCATGAAAGCTATGAACTGATTCCGGAAAAGGGACCATGCCCGCGATGCGATAGGGTCCAAAGCTGGGGAGACGTTTTAGCCTCGCGTTCGAGAGGGAAACGCAACGTAGCGCCGAAACATCGCGCACAAGATAGTGCTGATAAAGAGATGAATACGGCGGAGAAAAGAGCCCAAAAGCGTGCAAAGATAAATTCATGGACGGAGGAGATAGAAATCGATTCGCTATCGCCACCAGCGTTCGGTTAAGCGATCAATTCTAATTAGCTTTCAATATAGCATTTTTGACGAACGACAAACACGGAGAAACAACTGCACGCGCAAAAACTACCCACTGCGAATCGATAATAGTATTCGAGGAACGAGATTCAATGATATATTTCGCGGGTACTATACTTTTATACAATCGCTGACTTTGCGCAGGAAACGTTAATGGAATGAAGACGCGTCTCGCAAAGAGAAGCGCGTGAATGCAGGCATAGACATCGAGGGGAGAAAATCAATCATTTGAAGGCTTCGCGAACGATTTCCTCCGCTTCCTTCAAATGAACGCTTTGTGAACCAGTCGCTGGACTCGCGGCTGGCGAGCGGCCAACGTACGAGATATCTCTCATCCATTCGGCACCACTTGAACTCGCCCTTTCTGTAGTCTTTACTCTGTCTTTAATGTAACTCCAAGCGCCCATATTCTTCGGCTCTTCTTGGACCCAACACAATTTTGCGTTAGGAAAGCGGGTCAAACGTCGCGCCAATGCGTCGTACGGAAACGGGAATATCTGCTCTAAGCGCACTAAAATCACGTCGTCGATTTTGTTCGCCGTTCTGTGCCTGCTCAAATCGTACCAAATCTTCCCCGAACACAATAGAACTTTTCTTATTTCGTCGCCTTGTTTTTGCGCTATGCTCGTGTTATCATCGTCGTTGAAAAGCTGATCGCCGGCATCGCCATCACATATGACGCGGCGAAAGCTCGAACGTTCGTCAAAATCTTCTAAAAGACTTTGACATCTTCTGTGGTGCAACAGATACTTTGGAGTGATGATAACGAGTGGCTTTCTGTTTGAGTTATTCATCAAAGACTGTCTGCGCAAAGCGTGGAAGTATTGCGCCGGCGTCGTTGGTTGTAACAGTAAAAAGTTTGCGCGAGACGTTGCGGAGGCTCTCGCTAAACGTTTCGCAAACCTATCCCATTCTCTTCGAGTGACCTCTTTTCGGTCTCCAAAGTATGCTTGTATGTCTGAAAACAAGCCAACGCTTTGACTTCTCTCGTCGTTCTCGCTCGTTTCCGTGTCCTCCGCGCTCGGAGAAGATGAGGTTTTCTCGTCATCATTCTTTGAAAACGTTTCTCTGAGCACTTCTAAATTGACCACTTTACCATTGCGCGAGTCGTTCGCATCCGTGGAGACGGCTTTGAAAATCTTATCCATGAGCGCGCGATCGAATGATGATGAACCGGGAAGAGAGTCGCCATCGTCGTTGGTCATCTGGAGGAATCGTTCGATTCGGGCGGTGGAGTGATCAGGTCCTTGTCCTTCGTATCCATGAGGAAGCAACACTATCAGATTACTTTGCTGTCCCCATCTTTCTTCACCAGTTAATAAGAACTGGTCGATGATTACCTGCGCGTTATTCGCGAAATCTCCAAATTGCGCCTCCCAAATCGTCACCGCTTCATTCTCGCTCTCCACGGAAAATCCATATTCAAAACCTAAAACAGCGTGTTCGGATAAAGGAGAATTGGCTGCAATAAACCACGCAGCACTGCTTTCTCGCGACGATGATGTGTGTACATTGCTGTGGTCGTCAATACTCGTTACCATTTCGTTGATTTTGTTTACTCCCCTTCCCGTCTCGCAGCAAAAAATCACCGAATGACGCTGATTGAACGTTCCTCGTTCGCAATCTTGACCAGACAAACGCACGTGCTTTCCGGCTAAAACGAACGATGCAAACGCAACGTGCTCAGCCAATGCCCAATCTATGCCGGTTTTTCCTTCCATCGCTCTTCGCCTGTACTGTAAGAGTTTCTCGATTCTCGGATGGAGAGCAAAATTTTCATCGTTTGCGCTAACTTTGCTTAAATGATCCAATATAAATTGCATCATTTGCCTCGGAATCCCGGTACCAGTGGTAATGTTCTTCGCTTCGGCGCCTAAAACGCCACCACCACCACCGACAGCAGAGTAGTCGCGAAACACGTTTTGCACCCAATTGCTCGTGTTTTTTGCAAAGCTCTTCTCCTCTTCCGATTGCTTCTTCAATTCGTTTAATACGGTTCGTTTCCAACGAAGTACATCTGTTTCATCAATGACACCTTCTTCAATCAATTTATTTGCGTATATCTCGGATACGCGAGGCCTTTTCTCGATGAGTTTCTGCGTAACTGGCAAGGTAACGCTAGGGTCGTCTAATTCGTTGTGACCGAACCTACGGTAACATACCACATCGACGACGACATCCGTATTAAACTTTTGTCGGTAATCGATAGCGATGTCCATCGCGTTCTTTATAGCTTCGGGATCATCCGCGTTGACGTGAAATATTGGCGTGTTAAACCCTTTCGATACGTCGGAAGGATGTGGAGAACTCCTCGCTCTTCTCGGTAAAGTTGTAAATCCAATCTGATTGTTGATGATGACATGTATCGTGCCTCCCGTGGTGTAGTCGAAGAGTGTTTGCAAAGTCATAACTTCGGGATTCTGACCTAAACCAGAGAATGAAGCGTCGCCGTGTATGATTAACGGGATAACTTTATTGCGCGCGTTATCACCATGTCCATTCGTATGTGGTGAAATTTTAAACTGTTTACCGCGAGCGACGCCGGTGACGACGGCGTTGACCATTTCCAAATGACTCGGGTTCGGCAAAATTTCGAGTTCGATCGATCGTGAGCTTTTCTTGCTCTTCATTTCATCCTTAGAATCTTCGATATCGGTCAAGTCGCGCATCGGCACTTGCACTTTTGATTTCAAGCCGAGATGATAGCGCACGTCGCCTACCATGAAGGATTCTTTGTCATCCTTCAACTCTGATACGATCGCTCCGAAAGGCTTTTGAAATATATTTGAAAGCACATTCAATCTTCCGCGATGCGCCATTCCTAATACTATGGATTCACACTTCTGTTCCGACGCGCGTTCTACGAGCGAAACTAAACCTGGCACGACACCTTCGGCGCCTTCCAAACCGAATCGCTTGGCGGATGGAAACGCTTCCGCTAAATACTCCTCAAATGCATCCGCGACTGTCAAACGTTTCATAATTTTAATCTTCTGGTCTTTCGTCGTTTGCATCGCGTGTTCTGGCTCTAAGCGCTTGCGCAACCACGTTTTCTTCGTCGCGGATGTGAGATGCGTATACTCCACGGCGAACGTGCCGCTGTACGTGCTTCGTAGGCGTCCGAGAATATCCTTCGCTTTCCACCGTAACTTGCCGTTATGTGCTTTATCGAAAGTCGCTAAATCATCGCCCACGTAAAATTCTCTGTCTTCATTTCTGTCCGATAAACCGAGATACTCGTTCAAATTGAGCTTCCTTCCCGTCGTATCGTCTCTTAGTCTATTTTTGTCGAAGTCTTTCATCAACTTTGCCAAATCGACTCCATCGGTAGGGACGGACGTTCTCGTCTTCGCGTCGGTTTCGCTGCCTCTCGTCACTTGGCCTAAGTTTCTCCCGAGTGGGTCTAGCTTAGCGACCAGATGTCCGCGATTTCGAAACGCGCGCGCTAAGTTACGAATCTTGAACGCGTCCGTGATTTCTCGTTCGTTGACAGTTAACTGGTGCAACCTGTCGTTGTTCCCGAATTCCTCTGTTTGGTTGCCGTGTGAGAGTTGACTGTTTGGATGCGTGACGACGTGCGCTGCAATAATCGCGTCTAAGTTTTGAAGTTTCCTTTTCATTTTCGTTATATCGACGATATTCTCGACGTTGCTGCTCGGAAGCGCGGCGTACTTATCTATGAGAGAGTATATTTTCTTCGTCGAAGAGGTAGAATTACTGTCTTTACTGTCTCTGTTTGTCGCGTACGCTCTCCTGTGTGCGCTGTTTCGCATTGTAAACAGACATCTCCGAACGGTATTTTGCCCCATCGTGATGTGAGTTTATGTGCGCGTCGTTTTGTGGATGTTAGATTTGAATTGCTGCATCGTAATATTTTACCGAAAGTATGCCATACGACGACGACGGATGATAATAAAGTCACGTTGAAAGGGGTTAAGAAGAATCGGGTCGTTACAACGCTCGTTGCCAAAAAAACGCCTAAAATACTCGTATGACAAAAAAGAAAAAGAAAAGATCTCTCCTTTCGAATAAATGTTTGCTGCTGCTGCTACTACTCCTACTACTACTCCTGGTCTCACAAAGCACGACAACGGAACGAAAACGAGCGATTACAGCGATGGATATAACTTTAGCGAGGATATTGTGACTCTCGATACAAAGAAAGGTTGCTTTGCCAAACGAACTAAAGTTATAGTTTTGAGTTGTGTGAACGGATCGAGCGGCGACGTGCTTCCCATCCTTTCACTGGCAAAAACTTTACGCGCGATGGAACCGTCGTGGACCCGCATTTGCGTCATCGCGAACGAATACTTTGAAGAAACATGTCGCGAAGAACTCTCGGAAGAAGAGTCGGTAAACGCGATCGACTTTCACTTTGTTTCAAAACGCGAATTGTACGAAGAAGTGTTGTCTCGAAAAAAGAAAAAAACAAGATCCATTGTTGACTACTTTCTCAGCACTTCTATGGAGCACTATCGCGTTTTGAAATCAATAATAAACTCAGATTACGAGTCGTTCGTCATCTGTGCGATTCCGTTTGATTTTGCGGTTAAGTTTCTACAAGAAGAGTTTGAAGAGAAGAATGTAACGTCCACTCCTACGCAGACGTTCGAGTTCATCAGCGTTTTATTGACTCCGGCGTTACTTTTGTGTTCAGACGTTACGCATCACCCAGCGACTGGCTTGCTGTGCACATCTCGGTTTCACTTCAGGATGAACGATTTTTTCGTCGATGGAATCTTGAGAAAAGCAATAAACAAGTGTCGAAGAAAATTGATCGGATTAACAGGAAGCGTGTCCGGAGGCATTTTCAAGGAGTATTGTCTTCTAAATCGAATAATCTGTTTGTTTCCGCGATGGTATCACACCCACGAGATACCTGATACTTATCCGTTACTATCAAAGACATCGCGTGTGACTCAAACCAACTTCCCTTCTACTACGAAATCAATCACTTGGTGTAAAGAGGAGGACATAAGCGATCCTTTGAAGCTTGGAATAGAAGAGAGTATTTTTGCTCGGCATCCAAAAACGATTATCGTCGTCGTTTCCGCCTCGGGCAATCCAGAGATATCCGAAAAATATTTCAAGTGTATCATCGGCGCCGTATCAACATCGCGTACATTGATGTCAAAGTATTCGGTTATATGTTTGACGAAATTTCTCGAGCGGTTGCCGAAGAAGAGCAACGAAAACATCGATAACGTTTTCCATATCGACTACTGTCCGTTACCCGCGCTCTTGAAACATTTGAGGGCGCAGAACGACTTCAATATCGTCGTCATAAACCACGCGACGATTGGCGTTTCTCGAACTACTCTCGAGCTTGGCATACCACAAATTTTAGTGCCGATCACTTTCGATCAACCAGATAACGCCAGAAGGCTCGAGGCGCTCAAAGTTGCTTTAACATGTCCGATTTCTCAGTTCTCAAAAAATAAATGTCTGCGAATGCTTGAAAATATTGAAAATAATATCGACGAGTTTCAGAGAAATTGCGAAGCATGTCAGCACGATCTATTCGAGAGAGAGCCCGCTGGCAGTGGTCTCGCAGAGGCTGCTGATATAATTTTAGAAACACTCACGGGTAAAACCGGATGGCGACACGAGATGGACTTGGTAAAAAAGCGAATCAATTTTGGGTCGACTTGAACGTTTTCCTATGCTCACTCGAAAGTGAATAATATGTCATTAGAACGCACCAATCTCCTCGTCTATTCTTCTCTCCTCCTCTTCAACTTCTTCTCGAGAAAGCTGCCGTTCTGTTACAAAATAACACGATGCTAACCTTCCGTGTTTGTATCTTCTCGCCATGACTTTTCGCCTCAGCTCAGATTTCACAGAGTCTTGAGTGTACATGCCCATTTCTATTATAAATTCGTCTTCGTTTGCGCTCACAATCAAGATCCAAGAACGTTTCGGTAATAATAATAAAGGCGAACTACCACCAGCCGCATAATCAGGAGCCGATGCCCATGACGAATCCGATTTCACTGCCCACCAAGGCACTACGACTAGTCCTTCGGGACCCTTTCTGTTTGAAATATCGTCGTTGAAGGATTTATTCACATCTTTTCTCGCGCGTTCAGTCATTTCTTCCTTTTCTGCTACCATGGCTAGTCGCAAAGCTTCGTCTCCTGGCTTCTGGCGCCAGGCGCGCATCGCCGGACCTTCTTCTTCTGTTGCAACACCATCTTCTTTGATGTTATGCTCATCTACGGTTGTTTCCTCCTCGTTGGCATCATCGCTTTTTTCATCGTCTTCGGGTACTTCGGCGAGCGCTTCTAGGGTGACGAAAGTAACGCCCGATTCTGGTCTCCATTCACCAACTCCAATGTCGTCTCCTTCAATTCTAACTGCAGTTGCCGGCGATTCAAACGCTTCGCGCGCGTCGTTTTTAGAAGCTCGAACCGTCGACGTCAACGCAGCGTCGTTTCTTTCTTCGATTAATTCGACGTTACGGAGTACCCATTTGCGATTGCTCACAACGATCTTCTTCTCGAGCATCTCTGTGCTCACATCTCCATCATTCTGCACTAGTACCCTTTCTACTTGAACTCGAGCTCGCAATCGTCCCGGGGAAGGATTTTGTCGGCGATCACTCACGTCAAAGCTTTCATCTTCTCGCGTAAAACAAAATTCAAATCTTAAACAGTTTTCATCGTCTTCGTTATTACTTCTACTCTCACTATTTTTCCTATCTTTCCCAGATGTCGTCGATGCGCCATCTTTTGCGGTATCAAAAGTCGTTGGTCCTTCGCAGTACGATCCATCGACTAAAAACATTTTTCGCAATTGTGAATTCCCGCCGCACACGCCTTTGGATGTTTGATCTACGAAAGCTACGTCTTCCTTCCCGTATTCGCAGCCAGCTTCCGGGTACAGATAGCTCGTCGTGTGCGTCAATCCTGCGGCATCGATACCTTTTCCAGATGAAACGTCCACGGATGTGACGGTTTTCACATCAAAATCGTCAATAGAAACGCCAAATTCTTTGAAAGCTTCGGGAACGAACTTTTCATGAATAGGAATCACGTTTCCTTTCGAATCGAACGTGGCTGATTTTCCCGTCCACGAGCCGACGTGCGCCTTTCGAAAATCAGAAGATACGTCGTTCGGAGGCCAATCCGTGTCTGGTCTGATTGCATGCGCGTTCCGATCTCCCTTGGACGAAGAAGTCACTATTATTGAGATATTGGCGTTGCTTCTTCTTCTTCTTCTTCTTCTTTCCGTTGTGCACCTGCTTCGTTGCGCAGTCGGTGGTCTTAAACCAGAATTGCGTTGGGGGAGCTGTTGTTTTTCTTTTAACGACCTGCGCGAATGTGCGGTGAAAGAAGAACACACGCGCGACATGGTGTGCGTGTTTTTAATTCTACACGTTCGTACAGTTGTGCAATGTAATTCAATGCGTTATTCAATTGAGTGATATCATGAAATGTGTTTACGTTCACTACGGGTGGTTGGTGGTTTTTTATTCGACAGAAAATGTATGACGTCTGGGAAAATTTACTCGTGCATGCAAAGAAAAGGAGCGAAATAGTATTGTCGTCGTGTTCTTTTCACATTAAACCGATAATTAGATTTATCATTTCAATATTATTATTATTATCACAGGAATAAATGGATGTTCAGTTTGTTTAGTTTCACGTTGCTTTTTTGATTGGCACGCAGTTATTGTTGTTTGTTTACTCCACGAGAACAATCTTCATCAGCATATCGCCCAACAAGCGGTGAACGCACACTACGTAATCGCCCTTCTCGATAATGTTCAACGTATCCCTCGCGTATGCAATCGCAGATTTTGATATATCTTGCGGATGTCCCGATTCACCCAACCACTCTTGCGGGCAAACTTTGGAGTGTAAACTTCTGGATGCGAGCATTCGTCTCGCCGCATTTTCAGCCTCGTATTTTTCATTCGGCACGCACACGCAAAACACCGGGCAGTCTGGACGGTACTTTGCAATCAATCGAGACGTGTTCCCAGATTTCGCAAGAACAATGATCGCCTTCGCTTTGACTTTTTGAGCGGAACGAACGGAGGAGGACGCTAAAGATTCGAGCAAGTTTAGCGGAACTTTCTGTTGCGACATGAGTTGTTGGAACACCGCCGCGGAGTCTATGTACGCTTCAGCTTCGCGGCAAATATCCGCCATGCACGACACAGCTTCTAACGGATAATCACCCGCAGCCGTTTCCCCGGACAACATGACGCAATCGGTACCGTCTAAGATGGCATTCGCAACGTCCGTAGCTTCCGCTCTCGTCGGTCGAGGTGCGCCAGTCATGGACTCCAACATTTGCGTCGCCGTAATGACTGGTTTACCCGCCTCGTTACACCTTTTGATCATTCTCTTTTGCGCCAAGAAGATTTGCTCCATACGAATCTCCATGCCCAAATCACCTCTGGCAACCATCACGCCGTCTGATTTATCCACGATGTCTTCAAAGTTGTCCAAACCTTCCATGTTTTCAACTTTCGAGATGATTGAGATTTTCGGCGCCGCGTCACCTAAAACCGATCGAATGTAGTCTATATCCGAACCTTTTCTAACGAAGGAAGCGGCGATGAAGTCAACACCGTTCTTCACGCCCCAATTCAACAAATCGTCGCGATCCTTCTCCGTAATAGTCGGCAAGTTCACGTTCACGCCCGGCAAGTTCATGTTCTTTCGCTCGCCGAGTTTCGCGCTGTTTTCAGCCTTGACGACGACCGTGCCTTCCGCGACGTTGCACTTGAGTACGGTCAAAGTCAATGAACCATCCGCGCAGAGAATCTTAGACCCGACGGAAACATCTTTAGCCAAGTCAGGGTAAGAAACTGCGATCAACTTGTTGTTACCGACCGTGTCGTAGTTTGTCGTCAAAGTGATTTCGTCGCCGGCGTGGTAATGCACTGGTTCACCGTGCTCGAGCAAACCGGTACGGATTTCCGGACCTTTGGTATCTTGCAAAATCGCGCACATAATGCCGGTGTTCTCACTCGCTTGACGAAGGTTGTCCAAAGTCTCTTGGTGGTACTCGTGAGAACCGTGCGAAAAGTTGAACCTCGCGATGGACATGCCAGCCTTTAACATCTTTTCCAAGATGGGAACAGTTCGCGAGACCGGGCCTAGAGTACACACGATCTTCGATTTCGGTCGGTAAGAGGAAGTAACTTCCCCTTTAAAGGAAATCCCGTTGTCTAAGATGTGCTTTTTCCCGTGCGGCTGATCATCAGTCGTCAACGATATAAACGAACCACTTCGTTTCGCCGTCATTCTTTTATCTCTTTTTTTTGGCGGCTTTATGAATGGGCTCATCCAAAACACACAAGCAAGTCAAAAGAATAAAAAGCGCATGCACAAGAAGAACTGAGAACGAGAAGAAGAAGAAACGAAAACGATTGAAAAAAAAGACTCCGCCCCTTTTATTCTCTTTCCTCCCTCCACACTACTAAACACGCACAAGACAAACACGCACACAGAAATACCACGCCGACCTTACGTTCTCTCTGCAGTTGCAAAAACACATCATCATGATTCGATTCATCTTGTTGCAAAACCGACAAGGGAAGACGCGTTTGGCGAAGTATTACGTGCCGTTAGAGGAGGATGAAAAACATCAGTTGGAAACTGAGGTGCACCGAGTCGTCGTCAATCGAGATCCGAAACACACTTCTTTCGTTGAATTTAAGAACCATAAGTTAGTCTATCGACGATACGCGGGATTGTTCTTCACCTTATGCGTAGATTCAAGCGATAACGAGCTCGTTCATTTAGAATCCATACATCTGTTCGTGGAAATATTAGACCATTTTTTCGCGAACGTTTGCGAGTTAGACTTAGTGTTCAACTTTCAGAAGGTGTACGTCATCGTGGACGAGTTCATTTTAGCCGGGGAAGTCCAAGAGACGAGCAAGAAAGCGATAATGATGAGGTTAGCTGAATTAGAACAAATTAAAGGCTAGAATAATAATGATTATAAACATCAATTTTTAAAGCTATTAGATGGTATGCGCAGTCTACTAAGCGAATAATATACAAACACAAGAAGCGTATTTCGAGCCGTCGTTGTAAAATAAAAATAAAACACACAGCAAGTGTCATTGTACCAACAATACTCCGTTTGAGTACGACTCTATCAAAACGCTCAAGTTATACACGGAATGTGCTATTATTGGCACCGTGACATTTCTTCGTTCGGATGAAAGAAAAGCCAAGCCAAATCCAATTCCGCAAATGAACAAATTGAGCAGCGCCGGAATCGAAAAATTGAAATGAGCGAGGGAGAATATTCCAGCCGCGAAAACATTTGCCGCCGCGAGAGAAAACACTGCTCTCGTATTCGCTTGCTCATCAGGGTTTCGAAAAAGGTCAGAACCACACTCGAGCACGACACCGCGGAAAAAAATCTCTTCTGTTATAGGCGCGAGCACGGTCGAGGAGAGAACTATAGCGAGAACAGCCGGAGTCGAAGTCGCGACTACAGAACTATTCGACTCTACCAGAGCAGGCGTAAGAGTCTGCTCGGCGACGCGTGCTGCTAAACTAGTTCCAATTCCAAATGCAGCGCCTGAGAGGACGTCGTTTTGAGGTTGGTTGCCGATACTCAGAGTAAAATTTCTTTTCCCGAGGGCGTATGAAAGATATGCCAGTTTCGCCACCTCTGAGCATAATCGCGTTTGATATAGCAACGAGACACCTCCGTCTTCTTGCTCTTGCACGATTGGAAGTGAGGAAACTACGCTCGGCAACACAAAACCGAGCACGACCCATGCGTACGAAAAGTGCGGGATAAATTCTAACGGATCAAACTTTATTACATCATCTTCATCATCCATTTTTGGTGCGGACGCATTCGTACTTGTTGCGTAACGAACTCCATTTTCGTCGTCGTCGTCGTTGTCATTTTTAGCCATCGCAAGAGCACATATGTTCATCCGACCGCGAGGCGATAGAAGTTCTCCGCAGAGAAATTTTCGCGTCGTTCGTGTTCTCCACAACTCTTTTGGCTTTACCGCCGCCGATATTCTCCGCGCTTTTCTCTTCTCTCGCCATAGCCGTCGTCGAGGAATGGAGAACAGTTTTTTATGTTGACGATGTTTTTTAGCTTCGTATCGGTAATAACAGCAAGGAAGACAAGAGAGTTGCATGATTTAGCAGTGAAAAAGATCCATCGCGACCGTTCCGGCGTTCCTTTTCATCGGTGGTGATTGATACTTTTGGTGTTGGTGTTTAGAAATGGCGTAATGGAGAGAGAAGAAGTCAAAAAGAAAAAGGAAAGCTTTGCAAAGCAGCGTGCGAGAATTTTATTTGTAGTCTACGATTTTCTACGAAGAATTTAATTAAACAATGCTGTTCGCCGCCGACGCGATACGCGGCCACAAGTCCGCGCACTCCTTGGCTACCGGTCCTTGAATCGCCGAACCCTTCATTTCCCCCTTCGGGTTCACAATGACGCCCGCGTTGTCCTCAAAGTAAATCATCAAACCTTCCTTTCTCTTGAACGGTCTTCTTTGACGAATCATAATCGCCGGGAACACTTTCTTTCTCAAATCTGGTTTACCTTTTTTCACCGTACCCATAAACATGGAACCGATGTTCGCCGCCGGCAAACGGTTTTGGCGACTGCCCCAACGTTTGACAGAGATGACGTACAAGTTCTTGGCCCCGGTGTTGTCGGCGCAGTTCATAACAGCACCGACTGGGCAAGCGTACGTCATTCTGTATTTAGTGCCGGAAGCGGCGCCTCCTCCTGTAAACATTAATGTAAAGAAAGAAAACACGCACGTCAGCTTATAAGTTCTTACGCGTGTGGGTACACAAAGCCCGACGAGAACGAGAGCTTTCTCCACCTCGTTTCTATTGTGTTTGTTCGAAAGGAAAGGAAAGACCGAAAAGGGAAGGGCAAAAAAATGAAAATGCGGTGGCGCTTTCAGACACGTCGCGAAATACACAGATCCAATCAAACGTACGCAACGCGTTGCGGAATAACCGAACTTTGCACGTGTAGTCTCCGACGATCCGTTTCGCGTCCCGCGTTTACGCAAACCAGCGCTCCCGTTTCCCCATTTTCTCGTTTAGGTCTGCCCCGCCTCGTTTTCGTTCGCGAATGGGCGAGAAAAAAAAACGAATTCGCGCTCGCGTGCATACGCGCGAAACTGAAACAAACGGTGTCATTTCAAATTCGCGCGGTATTACTAAAGACGAATTTCATAGCGTACCTCTTTTAGACATTTTCTACGCGCTATTCGGGTCTTTTTCAAAAGAAGTGAGGAATTTTTTTGCGTTCACGTGATTTTTTTCCAAGGAAGAACTCTTCAGCATCTGCTGTGAGAGCAACTCCCAAAATTTTTTTAACTCCCCCAACGCCCAACATGCCCAAGACAGTCAGCGTCCAGAAAAAGGAGAAAAATTTCAGACAGAAAAAGTTAACGACCAAACGACGCCACTTGCAGAAAAAGAATCATCAAACACGCACGCTGCGCGTGGAGAACTCACTGAGAACCACAAAACAATAAAGAGAGAGTGAGAGAAAACAAGAAAATGGGTCGACCATCGTTGGATACCGGGGGTGAAATTGCCGTCATCGATTTAGTCGCACACTTGTATTCCACCAAAGGGTTGAGAAGAGACTTGTGTGCGATTTGGGACAGATATAGCGCAGCGACCACGGAAGAACGAAAACAGAAAGGTTTTGAGATTGTGAGAAACTATCACTCGCAACTGACGAGAATGTTTCGCGACGGTACGTTTTGGCCTATGCACGTGCTTATGCTTCTTCGATTTGCTCTCGCCTTCTTTTAAGCGCCTTTCATCGATACAACTCGCGGAGACAAACTTTTTTCTTTTCTCCCCAAAATATAAGAGGGAGAGAGAGAGTGAGAGTGAAAAGAAAGGTGCACAAAAGTTACCTTTCGCCTGTGGGTGAAAGAGGAGGAAAGATATTTTCATTGCGAAGACAGTGCCTGTATTGTCCGATCGTAAGAATATTCTTTCGCACGTCGAGTCGCTTAGCTAAAATTCGTTTACACTTTCGTACTAACTGTGTTCGTTTTCTTCTCCTTATTTTATATTTCAGATCCCGACGGAGAGTGCTTAGATATCGACGACTTGCGTTCAGTGTGGGAAGAGTTTGTGGATGCTTTACGAGATGCAACAGGCGCATCAGAAGCATACTCCGATAACGAAAAGTATACTTCAAACTCATATCAAAGCTTAGAGAAGCCGGTGATGAAGAGAAACGAATCGTTCCATAAATTAGCGCAAGATTTGAACGAGTTGGTCTTGCAGAAATCGCCAGGGAGTTCGAGAGGCGGATCGACCCACGGCATACAACGAATTTCTTCTAAAGGAATGCTTTTAGGCATAGGGTGCTCCTCTAGAGAACCGAGTTTGCGAGGAGGTAACGAGTGGGCGAAAATGAAGAGCGAAATGAGTCCGGAAGCGTTGGCGAAAAAATTGGAGAGGACTGCGGGAGACAAGTAATAAGGTTCTCTGAACGTGTGTATATGCTGCGCGCGCGATGTATTTTTTCTCTTTTTCCACTAGTAATACTATGTTTTTAATGATATAATATCATGCGTTTTCAATCTGATTCGAGCGACTTGATGCAATCTTCCAGCGCTTGGCTTAGCTTCTCCACGCGTTCGTCCGCCGTTTTCGCTATATTCTTTGCATCTTCCAACACGTACTTGGCGTCGTACTCAAATGCGTTTATAACTTCCTTCTCGACTTGTTGAACGCTGGATGCGTTGTCTAGAATTTGTGGGACTCGTTTCTGAACGTTCGCGGAGACGTGGCGTAAACCCACGCACGGTTCTTTCGTGAGCTCGCCGACAAACTCTGTCACCGCAGACTTCAAAGCATCTCCATCCACCACATCGAATACTAATAACGAGGAGGAGGAGGAGGAGGAAGAGGAGGAAGGAATTTTATTTGTTCTTGGCTCGTTGTTGTTATTCACAGAAGGAGGAGTTGAGGACGAGGACATCTGATAATAAACGTTCACGTTCGCATTCGGAACGTTTTAGTTTCGCTAAAAGTTTGTGCGTATCTTTCTCTGCGCGCGTGCGGTTCTCTGCGGCCTGCAAAGCGCGCACGTACTATATTTGTCGTATTTGTCGGAGAAAAAATTGTTTCGTTCACCCAAACACCCCACGAAAGTCTAAAAGTTCGTTAAAAAATGTCCGCGAAGGCTTTCTTAGGAGCGACAACGAGAAGAATCGCGACGAGTGCTACGATGGCATCAACGAAACCTAATCTGTCCATCGCCATTGTGTCGGACATTGTTTGACCTTGGTGTATTGTCGGGAAACGCAATCTCGACCGCGCTTTGGAAAAAACAAAAACATCCTCCTCTTCGTCGGTTTCTTTTTCTTCGATCAGTTGGAAACCGTTCATGCTCGTTTCGCCTCGTGTTTGGGAAGATATGACTCCCGAACAGTTGCAATACGGCGTGAACAAAATGCAATGGTATTGCGAAAAGTTTGGTGGCGAAAGCCGAGTGATGCCAATGATTAGCAGACTCTCTTCTGTCTTTGAATCGATTGGGTTGCCGACATATTCTTTGGAGGGCAACACGGGGCCGACCCTGGACGGCCACAGACTCGCGCACTTCATGAAGGAAGAGTATTCTCAATCGCATCAAGATGTTTTTATGGATACAATCATGATCGATTATTTCTGCAACTCAAAAGCGCCGTGCGATGAAACCGCATTATTAGCGGCGTGCGAAAAATCTTTTGAGGCGAATACGAGCGCAAACGCGGAAGAGCAAAAAGCCAATCTCGCGCGTGCCGAGGAAGTTTTGCGGGATAAGTCAAAATATCGAGACGAAGTTCTAGCGCAGGTGAGGGACGTTCAAGGTCGCATCAGTGGCGTTCCTCACTTTATAATTCGAAACGAGGATACCAAAAAGAAAGTCGAATTTTCAGGCGCTCAACCAGTGGAGACGTTTCTTGATGCTTTTGAGGAGCTCGGCGGCGAAGGATTGGAGTTGCAGTAAAAATATGTCAGTGAAAATGTGAACGTACCAGTTCAACAAGAGTGACGGCGAGGAAAGAAAGGAATAAAGTCGATTTCAATTGCCCGAAAAAGACGAAGATGGTACGAGTATACAACATGATGTACGCGCACCAAGTTCAAAGTTTATACGAGTATACGTGCACATTTTTCAACAACATTAAATCTATCGCAACAAACCCACACTAGCTAAATAATACTACGAACAACCTCCTTGTATATCAGCTCTTATATTATATTAGGTATTGTAATACCAGTACTTTAATATTCTGTTTCCTTTAACCTTCATTCGCGAAGTTGTATTTGCTCTCCGCAGAGTGACACGTATAAATAAAGTTTTACGGGCACTCCACGATTTTCATAATAGCATCTCCGAGGAGTCTGTGGACACATACGATGTAATCGCCAGTCTTGATCAAACCGAGCTTATCTCTCGCGTAAAGAATCGCGTTAGCAGATATCTCCTGAGGATGGCCGGATTGCGCGTGCCACTCCGCTGGCTCAATCATAGGTTTCAAACCTCTCGAGGCGAGCATTCGTCTCGCCGTGTTTTCAGGATCGTGTGTATTTTCTTCCATGTTGACGCACACAGAAAGGACGGGGCAGTCTGGACGGTACTTTGCAATCAATCGAGACGTGTTCCCAGATTTTGCGAGGGTGACAATTAATTTAGCTCCTACTTTTTGCGCCGACCGAACGGAAGAAGATGCGAGTGACTCTAATATATTCATCGGAACCGATTGGTACGCGAGAAGTTGTTGGAACACCGCCGCGGAGTCTATGTACGCTTCAGCTTCGCGGCAAATATCCGCCATGCACGACACAGCTTCTAACGGATAATCACCCGCAGCCGTTTCCCCGGACAACATGACGCAATCGGTACCGTCTAAGATGGCATTCGCAACGTCCGTAGCTTCCGCTCTCGTCGGTCGAGGTGCGCCAGTCATGGACTCCAACATTTGCGTCGCCGTAATGACTGGTTTACCCGCCTCGTTACACCTTTTGATCATTCTCTTTTGCGCCAAGAAGATTTGCTCCATACGAATCTCCATGCCCAAATCACCTCTGGCAACCATCACGCCGTCTGATTTATCCACGATGTCTTCAAAGTTGTCCAAACCTTCCATGTTTTCAACTTTCGAGATGATTGAGATTTTCGGCGCCGCGTCACCTAAAACCGATCGAATGTAGTCTATATCCGAACCTTTTCTAACGAAGGAAGCGGCGATGAAGTCAACACCGTTCTTCACGCCCCAATTCAACAAATCGTCGCGATCCTTCTCCGTAATAGTCGGCAAGTTCACGTTCACGCCCGGCAAGTTCATGTTCTTTCGCTCGCCGAGTTTCGCGCTGTTTTCAGCCTTGACGACGACCGTGCCTTCCGCGACGTTGCACTTGAGTACGGTCAAAGTCAATGAACCATCCGCGCAGAGAATCTTAGACCCGACGGAAACATCTTTAGCCAAGTCAGGGTAAGAAACTGCGATCAACTTGTTGTTACCGACCGTGTCGTAGTTTGTCGTCAAAGTGATTTCGTCGCCGGCGTGGTAATGCACTGGTTCACCGTGCTCGAGCAAACCGGTACGGATTTCCGGACCTTTGGTATCTTGCAAAATCGCGCACATAATGCCGGTGTTCTCACTCGCTTGACGAAGGTTGTCCAAAGTCTCTTGGTGGTACTCGTGAGAACCGTGCGAAAAGTTGAACCTCGCGATGGACATGCCAGCCTTTAACATCTTTTCCAAGATGGGAACAGTTCGCGAGACCGGGCCTAGGGTGCACACGATCTTTGATTTGAACGCGGAACCATTTTGTTCTCTGTAATGATGTAATGAATGAATGATGATAAGTGTGAGTATGATGTTTCGATGATGTGAGTATTTTTTTTTGTAGACGAGAGAACGAGAGAAAAGATGGATAGAATAATAGTGACTCATATTTGTCATTCTCCAAGAAAAGAGCCCGAGTGAGAAAGAACACGCGCGCGCGCGCTCTTTCTCTCATACGAAATCACAAAATCCCCCTCGAGCGATGGACCGAGAACTCGCGTGAATCTCTCTCTCTCTCTCTTCCTCTCTCTCGCGCGCGCCGTTCGGCGAAAGAGAGAAGATCACGCGCAAAAAGAGTGACACAAAAAAAGTGCGGGGCTCAGGAAAAGAGTCCACACGAGAATACAATTTTATCCTCCTCTTCCGGAAAGAGAAAGAGAGATACATTTTCTGCTCAGACGACGACGACGAGGACGTACCCGTTGGAGAGAATGTGTTTGTGCACATCCTCCGTAGCACCTTGCGTCAAATCGACGTACGAGCCTTGCTTCTTCATTTTCTCTCACCTCACCGGGGTTAAAATATGAAGAAGAAGAAACAGCAAATAAAGACGTTCGTTTCGGTTCAAAGTTTGTTGTGATATGTGGTTCTTTTTTTTTCACTCAAAAGCAGCGAAAAATTTCTTCTTTCTGTTGTGTGTTTGGTTGCCTTGCATCAGAGGGTTTGGGAGGAAAAGGGTCGTTGTTCATTACACTGTCCAGCGAAAAAAAGCGATATAAAAATAAAGGAGTCACAGACACACGCATCATCACATCCATCGTCACACGACGACGACGCAAAACGAGAAAGAAAACAAAAAGAGGAAGAAAGAAAACATGAGTTTTGCCGCCGCCAAGCACACTTTCGTTCAAAGCACGTCCTCGGTGTTCGCCAACAGGAAGGAAAAGAAGAAGAAGAAGAATGTCATCGCTTTTTCTCCGCATCAAAAGACGCAAAAGAAGAATTTAATCGTCTCTGCTGAGGCGACGAAACAAGCCCACGAAGGCATCGCAGAGGCACACGAGTCAACGCTAGCGTCCATGCGAATGACATCTAGAAATTCTTCCTCCTCTTCTTCTTCTTCTTCTTCGGGTACGTACGCTCACGAAGGGATTGCCGAGGCGCACGAGTCTTCTTTAGCGTCGATGCGTTTGGCACCAGCTCGAGACGCAAACACGGCGACGACGAGTCGCCCATCGTCCAAGGCTGATGAGAAGGACGCGCTTTACTTTTCCGCCACGTGTCCATTTTGCCACAAAATTTGGATAACCATGCTCGAAAAGAACATTTCGTTCGACGGATTCGTGTGGGAAGATTTGGAAAATAAGTCCGAGGCGTTTTGCAAAACCTTCGCGACTGGGTCGCCGGATGCCGAGGCAAACCCGTCGGTACCGGTATTACGTCTTCCAAACGGTAAGGTCATGGTTGAATCGGCACTCGTGATGAACTATTTCTGTTGCAACGACACCTATCCCGGTGTCGATTTGCGTCCAAAGACTGCAGAGCAGAGATACGATGGACAATTGTTCGAAAACACGTTCAACACGGTCGTCCCGGCGTTTTTCAAGTGTCTCAGGGCGAAGAATGAAGCAGAATTAGAAAGTGCGATTAGTGAAGTTGAACACGCTTTAGCGAAAGCTGACAGATGCTTGCAAATGAACGCTTCTTTTGGTGGTGACAACGGGAATTATTGCTGCGGAAATCAGTTTACTTCTCACGACTGCGCGACGATGGGATTCCTTTCTCGACTGCGCGTTGTCTTGAAGCATTATCGCGACTACGATTTGAACAATACTTTACAAAAATTACCGTGGTTGAAATCGTGGGCTGATGCAGTAGAAAAACGCCCGAGTTTGCTGAAGACGTACGAATTAGTCCCCGGCATCGTTGGGAAATCATCTGTCGACGAAGCGTACATAGCGCACTTTGCTAAGTTTGTCTCGTGGTCAAGCGCGATTTAAGCGACCAGAAAAGAAAAAGAGAGGATTTATTCATTTCTTTGATCTAACAGATACCTAGGTACTCAGTACCGCTACATATAATACAACAAGTTTATCTAAATTAGAGCTATATCCATTTCGTCGTGGAGCTTTTTATAAAGGAAGATTTTTGCCCGTTCTCGTTGTTGTTGTGACTCTCTTTCTTTTTCAAAGACGTAACGCCGACGTCGTCTTTTTCATCTCTCCCGTTTTCGTTTGCGCCATACTTAGAAGCGCCATGAAAAGTACCGGCGTTGGAAACGCGCACGGTAGCTCCTTTGCCGTTCGCTAAAAACTCTTCGGCTGCTTTAGCGACTGCGATTGCTTTCTCTCGGAAACCTTGGAAAGAAGATACGTCGGAAGATCTTTCCGACAAGGCTTCCTCGTCGAAATCGTCCTCACAACTACCATCCTCCTCGTCGTCGAGAGAGTCATCGTCGTAATCGTCATCTTCGTACTCGTCATCGAAGCTCTCTATGCTACTATTATAAATGCGATTTCCTTTTTCAAAGTCCCTCAGGTTCGAAAAATCGGGATACGTGTTATCCTTGGCAGTTTGATAGATCTCCTCTTCCTCTCCGAGCGTATACAGTCTACTTTTGCCCTTACGCTTTGGACTGGATCGATCGAATGAACCCGTGGATCCATATCGTTTCAATTTGTTCTTATCTGACGTTTTTATGAGCAGCGCGATGACTGCTAACAAAACTGAAAAGAAAACAATCAACGGAAAATACAAGTAGGAAAAAGTCCACGAGAAACTTTTACTCCCAGCTCCCGCGTCTAAGCTTTGCGCCATGCGCACCGCGTCGATATCGTCGAGAATTTTAGACGATTCTTCAACAATCTCCTCCATCTTCTTCGCCTCCTTCATTTGCTTCTTTTCTTCCTTGGCCTCGGCATCGAATTTTTTCCAGTTACCTTCCACTTGGACTTCGCCTTTATTCTTCATGTCTTCGAATTTTTCCTTCAATTCGTGGACAATCTCTGGATTAAGAACGAGCGAACGTACTCCAGACTGCGCACTTTCGGTGATACTTTCGGGATCGATAGTCGTTGCGTCTACTTCAGTCCAACCGAGTGTTTCCTCGGGATTATCTTTCGGCGTCGTTATCTTTCTGTCTCCGCGATCGAAAGATGACGAGGAAGAAGACGACGAAGACAACACTTTCTCTCGAGCGAGTTTTACGTTATTTCTTTGATTCTCGCTGTTCTCACCGCCGCTGCCGTCGACGGCGTGTACGGCATCTAAAACGTCCTTGAGCTCATCGTCCATGCGTTCAAAAGCCGCCGCACGAGGCGTGACATCTCTACCATCGATCATCGATTGCTTCCCGTCGCGAATCACCTCGTCGAGCTCGGACGAAACGTTCGTCAGTAGAGAGTCCTCGAACGTCGTCGTCGTCTTCCTCCTCGATGTTGCATTTTTCATCCCACTTTCGTTGTCTTCCTCTTTAAATCCAAGCTCGGACCCGTCCTCTTTAATATTTTTACTGCTACTCTTATCAATACTACCGGTATTCGACGCTTCGTCCTCTCCGTGGCTGTTGTGATGAATGCCGAGCTCTTCTTCGGTCAGTTCTTCCTCTTCTTGCATTTTTTCCGCGTCTTGTTCGTCTACTTTCATCTCGACGAGTTTCAGCGTCTCCTTTTCTTGCGTCTCGATATTATCGTTCAAAGACTTTTGCAAGTGCTCTAAAAGATGTTCGTCTTTTTCCAACTCTAACTCTGCGTCCAAAGCGTTCGTTTCTTTTGCTTCTCCTCTGTCTTCTTCTTTGTCTTCTTTTTCTTCGTCTTCTCTTTTTTTTCCTCCTCCTCCTCCGAGGAGTTCAAATCGATGGCGACCGCTCTTTTGCGAAGAGGAGGAACCGAGACTTGGGACAGAAAATGATGCGCCCCTTCTACTGTTCAAAGAAGAAGGAGAAGACGACGATGTTTGAGAGGATAAAATCGGCCTCGTCGGTGAAGAAACGTACCCGAGCGCGAAGAAGAGGAATGCGCATCCAAAAATCGCAAACTGGAAGACACCGCTTCTCTTTCTTGACGACCATGATGACGATGTTCTCATTGATGACGAAGACATCAATCTTTGTTCCTCGTCATCATTTTCCCTATTATCGTCCTCCAGAGTACTGACACCACGATTACTACTGCCGTCGTCGTCGTCGTCGTCGCCGCGTAGTAATCGTGGTAGTGTGAAGAGGCCCATAATTTCTTTTTTTAAGGGGGCGCGCCCTCTTTTTTTCTGTCGCATTCTGTCGCAGAAAAAGAAGAGCAAACGAGAAAAGAGTAAAAAGAAGAAAAACTTCTCGTTTAAAAAAACGATGGATGATGAAAAATGAAAAATGAAAAAAAGGCAAATCAAATCTTTCGATGGGTTCTTTTCCCTCTGAAAAGTCTCTCTCATTCCTCATACTCGCACACGTCTTAAGACACACAACAACAAAACACCTACTTACAAACAATGTTTGCTGCTACTCAACAAATCGCGTCCATCGCCGGCCTCAAGGCCACCAAGGTTCAGGTACGTTTTACTTCTTCTTCTTTACTTTTTGATCTTTATTATCCTTCTTCTTCTTCTTCTTCTTCTTCGCGATGAGGAGGAGGATGGCGATGGGAGATGATGAACATCATCGTCGAAAATGTGTAACATTTCTTTTGACGCGCGCGCGCTCGTGAGATGCACCAAATGTTCACGAAACGCTCCGAATATGAACGAGAGGGCACACGTGCACCCTTTTCTTCTTTATGTGCGCGTTTTATCGCGAATTGTACGCATCGTGCATCCTTTCTCTCCGCGTTTGTATTTTCAGACGAAGATAGCGCGTATCCCTTTCGAGATACTTGTTCTGAGATACGCTCCCTTGTCGTCCAAAAGAGATGAAAAAAAACAAAAAATGGAAAGAGATTTTTGACTGACCGGATCGTTTCCTTCTTTCTCTTAAATAAATAAAAAAAACAGTCCAAGTCCATCTCCAAGGTTGTCAAGGCTGACATCTACCCGGAATTCGGTACTTACCCGGGTGGGGGCGAATCCCCGATCATCCCGTTTGGCAACGAAAAGAACGCCGAGCGTGAAATCATCCACGGCAGATGGGCCCAATTGGGCGTCACTGGCGCCTGGGCCGCCGAGAACGGCACCGGTATCCCGTGGTTCACCGCCGGTACCTTGTGCACCCCGGATGACTGCACCGCCGTCGCGGACAAGTTCCCGGGCGCCGTCGCCCCGTTGGCGCCGGAAGGCTCTGGCTACCCGTCCTTCTGGAACGTTTTGATCATCGAAACCATCTTGGTTGGCGGTGCCGAAGCGTACAGAACTGGCTTGGCGGCCAACCCGTTTGACGACGGACTCGTCGCGGGTGACGTCTCCCCGGGTGGTCGATTCGACCCGTTGGGCTTGGCCGAATCTGGTGACTTGGAAGAGTTGAAGATCAAGGAATTGAAGCACTGCAGATTGTCCATGTTCGCGTGGTTGGGCTGCATCATGCAAGCCTTGGCGACCCAAGAAGGTCCGATCGCCAACTGGACTGCGCACACCGCGGACCCGGTTCACGCGAACGTCTTGACCAACGCGGCCAAGGGCTTCGGCTTCTACTAAATACTACGCGCGCGCGTAGTATAGTGTAGTTCACTTATACCGAGATTTTTTCAACAACAAAAAAGACGGGGAGAGAGAAGCAGCTTTTCGTAAGAGGAGTAGTTTTTTTTTCGCTTGATGACATGTTTATGTTCTGAATTTAGAATTTGAGTTTAGCGTTGCGCTTTGTAATGATGATAACAGATTTTACTCTTTGGCATTGTCGTCGAATCTATCTTTTGTTTCACATGTACTTATATATATTGCGAGCTATTTTGTTTTCTACGTTTAAACTATTTTTGCATTCTATTCATAACGCATCTTCTTCGCTCATAAACGCCTTGTCTTCCCAAACCGCCCAGCCTTCTCCAGATGCCACGCATTTCCATTCTCGACCACCGACTTGAGTTTGATTCGGTGACCATTCGTCGTATCCTATCTTCATACAGATGGACGGTTCGTCAGGATCGAGATCCGAAGACGCGCCTTCGGTGACTTTGTTCGTCGAGTTAACGTTTCTGCGCGCTCCGATGCGTGCGGCGTAACCTTTGGCCGCATTGATAGAGTCCATGATCTGTATCGCGCTTCGAGAAGAGATACCAACTCGCTTTCGTATTTTAATGAGTGTTTCGATACACTCTCGTAACTGTCCGTTCGCCGCCTGCGTCCCATCAACCATGACTGTTTCTTTAGCAGTCCAGTGGTCGTAAAAAATAGTCGGCGTTCCAGGATGCGTCAAAATGTACGCGTAGCCTTCTTCCAATTTGTGTGATGGAAACGGCCAATGCTGTAAAGTTGATCCGGTATCGTGATTTTCGAGGAAGAGCACCGCTCGTGACGGCCATATGCCGCACAATCCAGGCGGTCGACCGTCTGGATCCATCAACCTCCAATATTCTCCCTTTGCGCACGCTTCTTGCAAGACACCTTTTGTGGTGAAATCGAAAGCGGCTGTGTTACCACCGGACGCATCCACCCAGTTGCACGTTCGTTGTCTGTGATTTCTTTGATCGTACTCTAAAATACCGTCCGTGTACGAGCACGTGTCCCAAAACTCTCCAAAAGCTAAAAACGGTCTCGTCGCTTCTACGTACTCGCCGGAATACACCCCGTTATATCCTTTAACGAAATCAAATCTCCAACCGCGGAATCCAATCTCATCTCTCAAATAGTTTAGCCACTCTTTTATGTCGTTTCGGATGGACTCGTTTCTGTGGTCGATGTTCGGCGCCGGACCGTAATCTTCCCCCGTCTTCGGGTTCCCGGTGCCGCCAAACGCGGGATTGCCCGAGCAAATCGCCGACTGATCCCAAGCCAATTTTCCTTCGTAAATGTTCCACCGTCCTTGTTCATCTTGCTGAGTCGCGCATCGATGATTGATTACGATATCCGCGACCGCAGTTATGCTTTTTTCGTTCAGTGTTTTCACGCACTCCTTCAACTCTTCTTCGGAACCGTAAAACGTGTTCAAGTTGTAAAAATCAGTCGGCATGTATCCTTCTTTAGAAACGGATGTCGTCGGTGGTGGCATCCAAACCGCGGTAAATCCAGCTCTGGCTATATCCGAAGACTCTTCTATGATGCGGTCGTACCACGTTTGAGAGAACTTCTCGCCCGAGCGACACGATTCCCAATTGAATCCTTGCAGAATAATTTCCTTTCCGTTTCCGCACGGCGTGGAGGGCAAAGGTCTCGCGAGCGGCGAAAAAAGTGGCGGTTGCGTCACCGTGAGTTCCTCTTCCTTTACTGCATTTTCTCTGACATCGATCAAACGCTTGTCGACTAAAGCTTCTTTCAGCTCCTTCGTGGGAGATATTCGTTGTGCTCTGGTTCGTCGTAAATCCAAATCGTCCAAGTACGGCACCACCGTGTCCGTTTCCTCGGCGAACTTCTGAAACGCTTCGGAGGCTAGAAAGTCCGCATCAACAGTTATCGATGGGGAATCCGGCGGTCTCAACGCAGCGGCTGCGGCAGCATCTTCGTACGCGTTTTTTGATTTCTCGCCGTTCGCCCCGAACGGTTTTCTCATGCTATCTCTAACCCGATCTCTCGTCGCGAGCGCGGCTTCCATCGCCGCCATTCTTCTTTCAAAGAGTGCGCGCAGATCGCTTCTTCCTTCATCTACTTTCATGCACTCTTCTTCCGCTTCTTTCGACAAAATTTTACCTTCTTCGTCGAACATATCGCACTCTAGCTGCGCGGATTTACGTTCGATTGAAACGAGCGCAGCGGCAGAAGCGGCAAGTTCGGCGGCGGCCAATTCCAACTGCTGCGCGCTTCGCACAACCGCTTCGGACTCTTTTCTCGCCTCTGACGACAATAACTGTCGCGCGTTTGGTTTCTTCCGGAGCAATTTTAACTCGCTCATCGCCGCTTGTCCATAAATATTCGGCATCGTGGATAATTGCTCTTTATTCTTCGCGAGAACTTTCTCCGTCGTTCCAACGTATGTCCCCGACAACTTTTCCGGCGTCAACTCCGGCGTGTACTTTTTGAACAAGTCTTCGGTCGTTTGAGTCGTGCTCGTCTCGCCGTCGATTGTGGGATTGTTTTCCGGTAGCAGCGAGTCTTGTAAGAACGCGCGCAAATCTTCCTGTTGCGTCTCGTCCAGCATCTTGTCGTTCAGTTGCACCCAAAAAATATTCTTCGCGCACGAAATCTCCTCCTCCTCCTCCTCCTCCTCCTCCTGAGAAGAGGAGGACGAAGGGCTTCTCGTCGTCGTCGTCGTCGACTCGTTCGATGCAACGCTACCGTTCTTTTTCTTCTTTGTGGATACAGAAGCAGCATCGTAATAGTAATCTACCACGCAGCCGATCGCTTCGGCTTCGGCGAAGATGATATCCACCCCGTACGAGGTCAGCGAAGACGCGATGGACGCCAACTCGCCTCGTCGGTTCGGGCCTTCGACGAACACTTTCGTGCACTGATTCTTTCTACTATTTTTACTCATCGATGATGATGGCGATGGATTTTCCACGGTCACGGAGAGCGAGTTCTTCGATGACGAGGTTAAAAAATCCCCCTCTTCTTTTTCTTCTTCTTCTTCCGCGGGAGGTGCTGGAGAGGAGAAGAACGCGCTCGTGGTGGTCGTCTTTTCCAAACGCCGCCGCTGATGAGTCATTTTATCTCCTCCTTTTTTTAATCCGCTCCTCCTTTCCATATTCATTACATGCATCATCATCATCTTCGACGACGAAGAAGTAGTAGTAGTCGCGTAAAATTCTCTTCTTCTGGAGGCGAAGGACGAGGACGTGCCGCCGGTGGTGCTTCCCGTCCTCATCGTGTGCTCTTTCTCTTTATGTATCAGAAATCGGTTGGCGGGGGTTCCACCCGAATTTAGAATAAAGCTTCGATACTTTGGTGACCTCCCTCAACAAAATTAGGTTTGAGAGTGAAGCGGTTTTTTGTCCCTTTTTTTTTCTTTTTCTCTTCTTTTTTTTCATCAGTCAAATTCTTCACACATCATCCCCCCTCCAAAGAGTTAAAAAAAAGGAAACAAAAAAAATGAATACGGTCGCGCGACGAGGACGAGGCCTGTTGTTGTCTGCGTCATCATCAGCAGCAGCATCATCATCAGCAGCAGCATCAGCATCCTTCTCTTCCTCTTCCTCTTTCACTGCATCATCGAGAGTGCTTTCCTCTCTCTATTCCTCTTCTTCCTCTTCTTCTCGAAGCGAATTTCGATCGGCCTTCTCTGTTGTGGAGAAAAAAGGTCTCCAACGCGATCGAGCGTCGTCGTCCTCGTTTACAAAGTCCTCCTCCTCCACCTCTTCGTTCGCGAGACGCGGTAGTAACACTAGAAAATGGATTTCCACGTCTGCGACGAAATCTTTCTCCTCGGAAGGAGGAGAAGAAGGGGCAAAACCAGCAGTAGTCGACGACGATACCGTCGTCGTTGATTTATCGAAGGGTGAAAACACGACGCCGCCTTCGAGTAAAATACTAAAACTCGCCGAAGAGATTGTGAAATTAAACATGTTAGAGATTAATGATTTGGGGAACATTTTACAAGAGAAAATGGGCATTAGTGACCAACAGTTATATGGTATGGGCGGTGGTAGCATGGGTATGGGTGGAGGAGGAGGCAGCGGCGGAAACGTAGCCGCCGGGGGCGGAGACGCCGGGGGCGGGGACGCCCAGGCTCCGGAGGCTGCGCAAACGGAGTTTTCTCTCAAGCTCGATGCCTTTGACGCGAGCTCGAAGATTAAGGTCATCAAAGAAGTCCGCGCAGCTACTGAACTTGGATTAAAAGAGGCGAAAGATTTAGTCGAAGGCGCGCCGTGTGTCTTGAAGAAAGGTCTTTCGAAAGCCGACGCTGAGGCTATGATGGCGAAAATTGTCGCCGCCGGGGCCACGTGTTCGCTCGAATAAAAAAAAGAGAATATCATTATTATTATTAATACTACTATTATGATCGATTCATCATAACCTCTTCTGGTACCTACTACGCGCATATATTTTCTTCTTACTATTATTATTACTAAAGGAGTACGTGGTGGTATACTTCCCATCCTTTTTTTTAGTAAAATCAGACCTTTTTGTCAGAAAAGAGAGCAGGAGTGAGAAAGAAGAGGAAAAAATGGCCGACGTGTACTCGTATCACAAAAAAACAAGATAGAACTCCTCTTTCACTAATCCTTCAAAGAAAGACATATCGCGCGCGCATATTATCTCGTATATATATTTCACATATATACACACATACACACGCATTTACTATTCATCACGCATTTAAAATGAGCTTTGCTATTTCCCAAACGTCCTTGACCGCGCGATCCTCCTCCGCGTTCACCTCCTCCGTTCGCGTGAACAGGGCCACCAGAATGGCATCACGTCACTCTTCCTCGTCATCGAAGGTGTCTCTGGTGACGAAATGCGAAGGTCCTACGGCGAAGAACTTGGAGATCATGAGAAAGTTTTCGGAACAATACGCGCGATCGAGTGGAACGAAGTTTTGCATGGACAAATCTGTCACCGCAGTTGTCATTCAGGGTACGTTTTTATCTATCACACAAACCTCTTCGTTATCTTTCGGTTTGTTTTCCGATTGCTTTTTTCCCTCTGTTTGTGCGTGTATCTCCGACCCAAAGAGAGGAAGAGAAGAAAAAATTCTCTTCACGAGGGGGCATTCACTCGATGATGATGACGATCGAGATAACTATCGCACGATCTCATTTGTATCATCCTACTGATTTCCTTTTCTCCTCTTTGTCCCGCTGCTTTTAATGAAACAGGTTTAGCCGAGCACAAAGATACTCTCGGCTCGCCGCTGTGCCCGTGCCGTCACTACGACGATAAAGAAGCCGAAGTGAAGGCTGGTTTCTGGAACTGCCCGTGCATCCCGATGCGCGAGCGAAAGGAGTGTCACTGCATGCTTTTTCTCACCGATGATAATGATTTTGCCGGGGATGACAGCACGATTACGATAGAGGAGATTAACGAAGCGATCGAAGACATGTAAGTAGTAGTATCCAGAGTGTCCGAGAAAGAGAAAGAGAAAAAAAGTAAGAGTAGAAAAATGAGAGGGTCTTATTAATAAGCTGTTGCTGTGTAATACTAAATCGAAAACAAACGTTATATAGAAAGAAAGAAAGAAGGAGAACGAGCTCACGCGCTTTTACAAGTAACTATGTCTTCTTCTCATTTATATTTTTAAAAGCGTATGTGTAAGTAATAGGAGTTTCTTCGTTTGATTAAAAGCATTTTCTGTGCACAATAGAAGGTCCAGCCTCGTCGTATTCAGACTTCGCGATCCACATTTGCTGAAACGTGGACAAAGACGCCAAAATAGAACCACCAATCCACACGGAATACTTTCTCTCCGGCGGCGCGACAACCTTAATCTTCATAGAGGACGGCGCTAAAGCGGTCAACTCCTTTGAGACTCTATCGGCGATACCCGGGAACATGGTTGTCCCGCCAGACAAAACAATGTTCGCGTACAAGTCCTTACGAATATCAACGTCACACTTCATGATAGAGTTGTACGTCGTTTCGTGGATCCCCGCCGCTTCCATACCTAACATAGACGGTTGGAACAACACTTCCGGGCAACGGAATCTTTCCGAACCAATCGTGATGACTTGACCATCCGGTAACTCGTACGATTTCTCCAAAGAGGAGGAGCCTTCCGCCGTGGCCATTTCTTCCTCAAAATCCTTGGCGACGTACGCCAACTTTTCCTTAATATCGCGAACGATTTCCTTCTCCGCGGTCGTCGTGAACGAATAGCCTCTTTCAGTTAAAATTTTCACCATGTAATCAGTCAAATCTCTACCGGCGAGATCGATTCTAGAGATGGCGTGCGGCAAAGCGTACCCTTCGTAGATTGGCACGGTGTGCGACACACCATCACCGCAATCCAAAACGATACCAGTCGTACGACCAGAGGCGTACAAAGACAACACCGCTTGAATAGAAACGTACATCGCCGGGACGTTGAACGTTTCAAACATGATTTGACACATCTTTTCGCGGTTCGCTTTCGGGTTCATCGGCGCTTCGGTCAAAAGAACCGGATGTTCTTCCGGAGCGACCCGCAGTTCGTTGTAGAAGGTATGGTGCCAGATCTTTTCCATATCGTCCCAGTTAGTGACAATACCGTGTTCGATCGGATACTTCAACGTCAAAATACCTCTCTTACTTTGCGCCTCGTCGCCGACGTATGAGTCTTTTTGGCCCATGCCGACCATCACGCCTTGGTGTCTCGGGCGACCAACGATGGACGGAAAGACGGCTCTCGGCGCGTCGTCGCCGGCGAAACCAGCTTTGACCATACCGGAACCGTTATCGCACACGAGCGCGGAAACTTCAGCATCTTCAGCCATGTTTATAATACGTTTCTTTTTATTATTCTTTTTTTTACTCTATTCAAAAAAATGTACGAAAATAAATTGTGTGTGTCTTCTGTTTGGAGAAGTTGATCGATCGACGCTTCGAGAAGGTGCCTGTTTTTTAAGAGTGATGAAAGAGAGCGCGTGTGAGTGAAAGAGAGAGAAAGGATCGACGAGAGAAGACGACTCCTCCCGACGACGACGACTCGACGGTTTGAACCACGAGAAGGCAATAAAAGAACAAAAGAGAAGAAGCCCAAGGAGCCCGCGCGAATATAATTCATAAGTAGTTATAAAAAGAAGAGAGATCACACGACGACAACAACACAAACAACAGAGGAGGAAGGAGCTTTCTTTTTTTGGCGCGCAAAAAGAGTATATAATCTTTCCACCTCTTTCCCCGCGAGAACGAGGAGACGTTTTGCGCCGATCGCAACAAGGCGAGACGAGACGAACGCGAAAAGAGATCGTCCCTTCGTTGACGTCGACGGGATGATCGAAAAGAAAGAGACAACGTAGTGTAAACAACGTACCGAACCAAACAAAAGAATGTGGCGATCGGAAGAAAGTTTTGTGCTTTTGCCGTTTGGACGAATTTTTGGTCAAAGACAAAAAAAAGCCTCCACCACAAACATAAAGTGTAGTTTTGAAGGTACTCGTGGAGAAGAAAAAGAAAGAACGCGCAGCCGAGACAAAAACATTAGCACACAAAGAGAGGACAACAATAACGCGCGTGCATATGCATACTATTATAGCGCAGTACAAAATTCTTCTTCCTTTTCTTCTTCTTCTTCTTCTTCTACGTAAGACTACTTATACAACCACGGCTATTTTTATTTAACGTTATTCTCTCGCGAGCGCCGAGCGATTGAAAACTAAACTACTTGGCGAGAGAGATGTACAAAACGTTGTTTCCTCTGATGAACGCGTCGCCGTATTTGTTCTTAAGCTGACCGTTGACGTATTCCTGTTTTATCGAGATGAAGAGAAGAAAAATGTTGCGTTAGTTTCAGTAGTATGGCGCGATTCTCTAAAAACTCGTTGCTTTTACGAGAAAAGACGACAATCAGTACGTACCTCTGTGTGTTCCATTGCAATGTTCATGTATCCGTCTAAGCACGCTAAAATTCCTGTTTTTCAAAAAGAAGAAGAAGAAGAAGATGTGTCAATGTCACGAACAACACCGCGATTGATGTGTACAAGCGTCGTCGTGTAGAAGTATAATAACAAACGAACGAACGAACGAACGATCTCCTTTTTTCTCCGTCCTTGTGAGACAGCAAAATTCATTCACTCTATCAAAATACCTCGATAATCCACTCCAGAGTTTAACTTCACGACGACTCGTTTCCCTCGGATAGATTTTAAGAAATCTGCGGGTGTTTTTGATGCACTCGTCGTCGTTGATGCTTCCATGAATATTATTATTATTATTAGAGAAATGTAGTATTGAATGAATGAAGCGCAATTTTGAGTGGTTTCAAGTGCAACGTCTGAACTGATTTTGAGGCATAATTTGACAAATTTTGAGCGAAGAGTTTTCACTCGAGGCGACCCTCAAAAAAAACGCTCTTGTAAGAGTCATTTCAGAAGCAACAACGAACAAGAACATCACATCATTCTTCGGGAAACAATAATCAACATCACGACGATAATGAGTGGTACGATTTCATCATCATCCTCGATGATGCACCGATCTCCTTCTCTCGTTCGAGGAAGTAAAAACAACAGTGGTACTAACAGTAATACGAATAATCGATTATTGTTTCTTTCGAGGCGGAATAACGAACTCTCCGCCTCTCGTCGTCGTCTTCGCGCGAACGCGGACAGTGCCTCGTCGTCCTCCTCTGAAGGCAGTGGCGTCGCTTTCGAACGGTTGGTCGAACCTCTGATTAAAACGAAGAAAGAGGACGATAAGTTAAACGAAGGCATCGCGGCTTTCTACGATCAGAGCACGCCGTTATGGGAGGAAATTTGGGGCGACCATTTGCACCACGGGTATTACCCGAACGGCTCCGCGGACGGCGTCGATCACCGAGCCGCGCAAGTGGACATGATCGACAGAGCGTTAGATTGGGCGTCAATTTCGAATAAGAAGAATGTCTTAGACGTCGGGTGTGGGCTCGGTGGAAGCTCGAGATATTTCGCCCGAAAGTGGGGGAAGGACGTGAAGGCGACCGGCGTCACGTTGTCGCCGGTGCAAGTCGCTCGAGGTAATCGTCTCGGAGAGGAGCAAGGTTTGGATCAACAAGTCAACTTACAAGTCGCGGATGCGTTAAAAATGCCCTTCGAGGATGGAAAATTCGATTTTGTGTATTCGATGGAATCAGGAGAACATATGCCGGACAAGAAAAAGTTTGTGGGCGAGTTAGCGCGCGTGTGCGCCCCCAACGGGCGAATTCTAATCGTCACTTGGTGCCACCGAAACTTGAAAGAAAACGAAACTGAATTAAAAGAAGACGAGCAGAAACTTTTGAAACGAATTTGCGACGCTTATTACTTACCCGCGTGGTGTTCGAGCGACGATTACGTGAAGCTCATGAAAGCGGAAGGATTGAAAGATATCAAAACTGAAGATTGGAGTTTAGAGGTGCGACCGTTTTGGCGAGCGGTGATTAAAACGGCGTTGACTTGGAGAGGGGTATTAGGTTTGTTTAAATCTGGGCCGGAAACGTTGCGAGGCGCTCTGGTCATGCCGCTCATGACGAAAGGATTGAAAGACGGCACCATCGCGTTCAACTTATTGACGTGCGTGAAAGAATAATCGAGTCGCGAAAAGAAGACGATGAAAAATGAGGAACGAAACAGAAGAAGATCGTGTAACAAACAAGGCGGGTTTAGGCTCAACTCGCGCATGTGATGTATGTAAAATGGAAAGAAGATAAAGAAGAAGCCTTAGGAGCAAAAGCATTAGTAAAGTGTATTTGTGAAACTAAAACCTATTATTACTCTCTAAAAATCTCCAAAAATGACTACAAAACTCTCGTCGGCTCTGGCCCTCTCGTTACTACTATAAACGCCGTCGCAGCTATTAACATAAGAATGTACCAAAAGACTATCAAATAATTGACCGTCGCATCTGTAACGGCCGGGTGGTGGAACGCCAAGGTTATAGTTACCCACGATAACAACACGACAGCCGTGCCGCTGTTTCGGTGATATTTCTTTGTTTGCGCGACGGCGTGTTCGCTCATTTTCGCAACCCGCGCGACCCCGGTCTTCTTAAATCCTATCACCCCAAACGCCACCGCTCCGAACACGGACACGAATAACGTCAATAAACCGAATTTTGAGTGTAGCGTCGTGAAATGATCGCTTCCTTTTCTCACTTTGTTTTCGTAAATAGCGCACACTCCACAGCTGAAAAAGAAAATTCCCAGAGATTGAACGAACGCGTGTACAATCAACGCTCTCGTTCGTCTCAAGTCCTCAAACCGTCTCAGCTTGAGAGCGATTAACGCCCCGAGTGGTAAACACACGCCAAACGCTCCAGTCATGCTAAATATGTGCGTCTTTAATAACTCGTTGGGATGTGAAGAAAAAGTATGATAGACTGTGATTGCGAAAAACGCAAGCGTGAGACAAAGAGCACATTCGACGGCGTTTTGCGGGAAGACGAGGAAACTGAGATCCTGCGAGAATCGAGGCCCCACGACGAGCTGAGAAGAAGAAGAAGACAAAGAAGGAGAAGGAGAAGACGCTGTTGTTTCGCTTTTTCCGCCGCCGCCGCTCTCTACTAACATGGCCTCGTCCAACATATGTTCGTATTTTACTCGCTCGCGTCGAGATACAAAATTCTGTTGTTGGTGTTGTTGTTGTTGTCATAAAAACAACGAAAGATGTCAGTTTTGAAAATACACGACGACAGTCGTCAAAAATCACGAACTAAAAATAGAGTTGTTTGTTGTCGATTGATGGTGCTTCGTGTGTTAGTGTTTTGACTGACTCTCCGGAAATACACAAAAACACACACGCGTTCGCGTAAAAAGTATCATCGAAACCGCCGGAAACGAATGTCGTCGCCGAGTATGTCGTCGTCGCAAAACAACAAAGTGTCTTTAAACACGACGACACTTTTAGCGTTGAACTTGGTCCAAAATAAGAAACTGCTTCTTACGAACGAAGGGCAAAGAGAAGAAACAAAAGAGACAAAGAGGAAGAAGAAGATAAAAGTTGAACAGGATGGTGTTCTCGAACGAGCGAACAACACTAATGGAATTGAAACGCCGTCATCTCTGTTGTCACAGCTGACTGGCGAAGCGCGTTTGCTCGAACGACGCCGACGACGAGAACAAAGGAACGAAGAGAGGAAGCAACGAATAGAAGAACGCAAAAAGAATACGTCGCCGCAGAAAGCGACGACCCGATTGGATCCATCAACATGGTGTACTTTAGAAGGAATGGTTGGGGGTCGCGTCCTTCAGCCGCAAGATCGCGTCGTGCATAGAAAGAAGCGCGTAGAAGTTGCTGAGATAACGACGCCGAGAAAAGGACGGAGACCGTGGAGCATGAAAAACGACGACACGCACTTGAAGATGTGCATGTACGCGACAACGTCATCGACATCAACATCGTCATCATCATCGTCGTCGTCGTCGATGACGACATCTAAAACGACCTACTCGAAAGGACCCATGTTTGCGCTGTTACAACCATTAGCTGTTTCTTGACGTTGATAACTTTCTCTTCTTCTGCTTCATTCTTAAAAGATGCTAAAAAATTATTACGCGTATCGATACTACTTGTCGTACTTCGATTAATCTGCTACCCTCTCTGCTAACTTCCTCCTCTTTTCTCTCTATTACTAAATTATTTCTTCTTGAGTTTCATATTCAGTTTACACTCTTTGCAATACCATTTCCCTTTCAACTTTACGGTCGGGTCCAACCCGACGCACGAAAAGTGAAACCATTCTATTTTACATTTATCGTTCTCGCAGCCAACCATCTCGCCGAAACTCACGCGTTTGCAATAACAGTACGTCGGTTCGTTCGGATCGGCCTCGTTCACGTAATACGGCGACCCGACTTGATCCTTCTTCTTATCGTTTTGTCCTCCTTGCGCGTTCGGTTTGTTTTTTGGATTCGCGTTCGTGTTGTTCCTCGCTTCGTCCTCGAACACTCTCAAGTCTTTGTCCAACTTTGTGATGTGTTCGTCGACTAAATCGTACGCTCGAGCCGCTAAAGCGCACTTCTCGTCCGCGATTTCCAGGCATAATTTCACGCTCTTGTCGATGCGTTCCTCGAGAAGTTCTTTCTTTTTCTTCCTGCTCTCTTCGTCTGAATCGTCGTCGTCTTGTTCGTCCACGTCGTTCAATTTCCGTTTTTTGTTGTTGATGTTGTTGTCGTCGTCCTTCCCAGTCGTCTGATTCGTTTTTGTTGTCTCTAAAGCTCGTAAAACGAAAGTTTCCACCTCCGAGTGCACTTTATCGCTGACAGATGCGGACGTCTCGTCCAAAGCTTTCAGTCGTTGCAAGTAAGAGACTAAAGTCGTCGGCACGTTCGCCGTGTTGTCCGCGAGTACCGTCGCCGTGGTTGTCTGCTTCATTTTATTTTATTTTTGAAGACGGAAGAAGAAACCAAAAATGAAAAGAGACAAAAAGAAAAAACCAAAAGGAGGACGAGGGAAAGAAGAGTGTTTGTTGTCTGCGAATGGAGAGAGAGAGAGGGAAAGAAAGAAAAATCGTCGTCACTTTTTGTAGTACGGAAACAACAGTAGAAGTAGATACATACACACGCAAAAATGTCTTTCACTGCATCCACTGCAAACATGCAAAGCTTGTGCGCGTCGTTCAGAGGCCAATCTTTGAACAACAAAACCGCAACCTCCTCGGCGGCGACGACGAGAAGAGCGACCCCGTCGAAATTTTGCGTCAATGCCGCATCGGTCGGAAAAGTGAAGTTTGACGGCTCCTCCAATGGCGAAGCGAACTTAGATTTGAAGGTTGCCAGAAACGAAGTTGCGAAAGGGATTGTGCACAAATACGTCGTCATGGTTAGACAAAACGCGAGAAGGGTAAGTGTGTCGTACCGGAACTGATTCCGCCGATTTCGTCGTCTCGAAATTTTTTCGCTTAAAAACCTCTTTCTTATCTCGTTTCCTTGCTTTTTGCGCCCAAATCTGCAGCCTCACGAGGCGGCGAAATTTGTTTATGAAATCGCGCACCTCCACGGCGCATGATGTTCTCACGCGCTGACTTTGAAATCTTCTGTTACTGTAATATCATCATAAACACAGGGTACGGCATCAACCTTGACGAAAAGTGAAGTTCGAGGTGGCGGTAGAAAGCCGTACAAGCAAAAAGGGACCGGGAACGCTCGTTTGGGTTCGAAGAGATCTCCGTTACTCCCGGGCGGGGGCGTTACGTTTGGCCCGAAGCCGAAGGACTGGAGCATTAAGATGAACAAGAAAGAGAGACGATTAGCGATGGCGACGGCAATTCAATCTGCGGCTTCTTCTATGATTGTCGTCGACGGCATCAACTCTGGCGTTACCGTGCCAAAGTCCAAGGCGTTTCAAGACGCTTTGAAGTCGTGGGGGGTCAACGTCAACGACGAGAAGACGTACGTCATCACGAAGGATGCGCCAAAAGAGGTTGAGTTGGCCACGAGAAACATGGCGAGAGTTGTGCACGCGGATATCACCAAATTGAACGTCTACGACGTCTTGAACGCGGACAAGGTTGTCGTCGACGAAGCCGCGCTTGGGTACTTGAACGATTTCTACGGCGCCGCGGGAAGAGCGTGGGCTTAAAAAGAATTAAGGTTCACATATTATTTTCTTACATACATACAACAAAATATACCTATTATAGCCCTTGTGTAATTAATTATTGATAGTACGAAGTGACATCGACCAACTCTAATCGAACGAACAAATCCGTGCCTCCAGGAATTTTGGTGGTTCCGTCAGCTAACACGACGTCGTTCGCGCCAAAGCCTAACTTCTCCGCCGGTATTCTTAACTCGCGTATCCCGCCTCTTTTCATCGTCGACACGCCTTCAACTATCCCTTCGCACAATGGCGTCAACAACGGCTTCCCACTCTTGTAAATAAACGCGATCGGTTTCCCGGTTTTCTTCGTATCCACGTACACGACGTTTGGATCCTCCGCGTTGGACATCTTCACCTCAACGCCGACAAAGTTCCCTTTATTCGGCATACCACCGCCCCCAATGCGAACGTCTTTTATCTTCAAACCGCTCTCTGAAACCGTTTCCGATTGCTCGTCCACGTCTTTATCGATTTCCAACAACGATTTCACAATCTCCCCGCCTTCCACTAACGCCAACACGGCCACGAGAGACAACCCACCGACGATGCCAAACCTTTTCGTGAGCGCTCGGGAAAGCGTCGCCGCCGGGTCGAACAAGTTCACCCCTTTACTTCCCAACTGTTTCTTCTTCGTCTTCTTTAAACCGTCTTCTTCGTCCTCCGTTTTTCTTCCGAACAAGGCGTTATCCACCGCGTCGTTCGATTTCGATACATCTTTTTTTTCATCATCTTCGTCGTCACCGTCACCCGTCGTCGCTTTCGTCAGAACACTACTCCTGCTCTTCTTCTTCGCAGAAAAAGAAGAAGAAGAGGAAGAAGATGCTTTCGCCGAGGAGCGGGCTCTTCTGGCAGAAGAATAAGAAGACAAAGTGTTGTGGAAAGTACTACTACAACAGAAGCTGTTGTTGTTGTTCGTTGTTGTTGCTCTCATCATCATCTTCTTTCGCCGTTGCGTCGTTTTTGTGCAAAAAAATCGAAAGAAAAAAAAATCATCATTTATTTTCAATCAAAATGAAGAAGCAGAAGAAGAGGAAAGACGACGACTTGTCTCGATTCAACTCCTCCTCTTCGGAGGACGAAGAAGAAGAAGAAGAAGAAGAAGAAGAAGAGAAGGATGAGAGCATTAGAAGAATCAAAAGTGTTGTGACAGGAGGAGGAGATGAAGACAAAGAAGACAAAGAAGACAAAGGAGAAGAAGAAAAAAAGCGTCCTCCTCGTCTGAATGTGGCGGAGAGAAAACGACTGAAGAAGAGAGACGCGCAAAGCGCGAAAACGGAGAGACGAAAGAGAGAAAGAGAGCGAATGGAAAAAGCACGCAGTAATAACAACAACACTTCTTCGAAGGCAACGGAGGAGGAAGAGAAAGCGAAGAAGAAGAAGAAGAAGAAGAAAAAGAATGCGTCAATAAAAGAAGACGAAGGTGACGGCGGCGACGTAACAGAAACGGAAGAAGAAGAAGAAGAAGAAGAAGAAGAAGAAGAAGAAGCAACGACAGAAACGGGAATGGAAACTGAAACGGAAACGAGGAAATCGAAGAAAAGGAATCACGCGACGTTTGAAGTCGAAGGCGTGGCTTTAGACGACGGGACTTTAGTGCTCGTAGATAAGAGAAGTTTAGTCGTGTATTCGAGCGAAGAGAGAGACGGGAACGGCGAACACAAGCGCGTAGGCACGTGGGATGCAAAGACGAAAACAGTCATCAAGAGCGACGACAAAGACGATGGTAACGCGAAAAGGAAGTTTGATAATGGTGATAGTAGTAATAATAGTAGCAGCAGCAGCAGCGACGGAGAGGAACAAGACGACGACGATGGTAAGAATAATTCGTCGTCATCAGAAGAAGAAGAAGTAGAAAAGCAAGAACAACGAGAACGAGAACACACGACGCCGGTAAAGTTAGACGTGAACCATGCGTTCGAGTGCAATCCAGACGACCATTGCGAGACGTCCTTGGAGGCGCACAAAGACATCGTAAACTTTTTGAACATTGTCGCGTCTCAAAAGAATAAGAAACCGTCTGAATTAATTATTTACGATCCGTATTATTGCGCTGGAGCGACGAGACTGAACTTTACCGAGCTCGGATTCCCGAACGTCATCAACGAAAACAAAGACTTTTACGAAATGGTTGCGAAAAACAAAGTCCCCGAACACGACGTTTTCGTGACAAACCCACCGTATTCGGAAGAGCACGTGGAGAAGTGCGTCACGTTTGCTGCTAAAAATATGACGCAATTCGGTCGGCCGTATTTCATGCTCGTTCCGAGCTACGTCGTGTGTAAACCGTATTTCGTGCCAGCGCTCTTGACTGGAGGCGCGCAAGGAGCGGAAGAAAGAGAAAACACGAAGGAGGAAGACGCTGAAGACGATATGAACATGCATAAGAAACGTGGTCAAGTCTTGCCATTTTACATCGCGCCAACGAAGCGTTATTATTACTTCACGCCGAAACCTTTAGCAAAACTGAGGAATAAGAACATCGACGAAAATGGCATCGAGAAGAAACGCAGAGGTCACGTCGGAAGGAGAGGTGAACGAACGTCTCCGTTTCTTTCGCTCTGGATATGTGGGTTCGGCGATGACCAAATTGAAGCCTTACGAATGCACAAAAAGTTGCGGAGAGAACAAGTAAAGCATTACGTCGTCGCGAGAAACCCGAAAGAAATTCCATTGAATGTTTTAGACGAATGGGATCCTCGCCGCCGGGAGGACCCGTCACCAAAAAAAGCAAACATCCAGGACAAGAAGAACAAGAAGAAATACTTTTAGAATAACTACAGTAGCTAGCGAGAATAACATGTACTACATGTTTATAGGAATCTAAGGACTAATTTTTTTCGTGAGCATGTATCTTGCCGTGCTCCTCTTTCTTTTCTTCCCCGCGACCATGCGCGTGATGCGAATTCCGGTTTTTGAATACCGGTAATCAAAAACGCGTGACTGTGTGCTCGCCGTCTTTCGAGTGGTCCTTATCGCACGGCACGCCGTCGTGTGAGTGGCCGTGGTGTCCGTGGCCGTGTTCCTCTTTCTTTTCTTCCCCGTGACCGTGCGCGTGATGCGAATGCCCGTGACCCGTGTGCTCGCCGTCTTTTGAGTGATCCTTATCGCACGGCACGCCGTCGTGTGAGTGGCCGTGGTGTCCGTGGCCGTGTTCCTCTTTCTTTTCTTCCCCGTGACCGTGCGCGTGATGCGAATGCCCGTGACCCGTGTGCTCGCCGTCTTTCGAGTGGTCCTTATCGCACGGCACGCCGTCGTGCGAGTGCGCGTGAACAGCTTTAGTATCTTTCGGCACCTCTTTCTCCTTCATGACGACTTCGCCGTCCTTCGCCGCTTCTTCGGACACGTTCACTTGAATTTCGTAGGACGTTTCCACCTCCCCTTCGTTGTTGTGTAACGTCACTTTAATCGTATTCTTCGCCTCGGATATTAATTCAACCACGGACATGTTCCCATTCACGTCGTTAATTTTAAGCGCGCGCCCACTAAACGATGTCGCCATCACCCCGACGTGCGTCGTCCCTTTCGGTACTGTCAACGCGTACGAGAAACATTTCGAGCCGTCGAACGAAGGCTTTAAATCTTCCGTCGAACTTAACTTTGTCTTTGTAAATCCTTTGGCTTCTGCGGAGCGTAAATCTTCGCCCTCGTTGAGAGGAATTTGCGCGGTAAACGAGAGGAAGTTTAAGAAGGCTGAAGAGGAAGAGGAGGACATTCTCTTCTTCTGTTTTATTATACTACTACGACTACTGTGTGTGTGTGTGTTTTTGTGTGTTTTTGTGTGTGACGTTCTAAACGTTGTTGTTGTTGGTACTTTTAAAGAAGGGCGTTAAATATAACAAATGAAGAAAAGCGTGTGCCAGTTTTTCTTCATATTTTTTTTCCAACGAACGAAAATTTTCTTTTTCTTCCGTCTGTTCTGCTCTTTGCAAAAGGAGGGAAAAACAACAACAACACTTTTATCCTCCAAACACACACACACACACACACACACAAAACGTTTTTATTACACACGCTTTTTGTGGGACGATGACGACGAGTTTGACCACTAGTAGTATTACTACGACTACTACTACAAGATTACTGTATTCGTATTCTCCTTCTCCTTCGTTGTTGAAAGGCACCACAAAACGACGCGTATCATCATCATCGAGAAAAATCATCGTGAGAAGAAAACAAGTTATTCCATCATCATCATCATCATCTTCTTCTTCTTCTTCTTCTTCTTCTGCGACGACAAAAACGACACAAAGAACTGAACTCAGAGGGAAAGAGACGAGAGCGAGGAAATTATCCGTTCCGTATAAAGATGGGAACAAAGACTGCGACGTTCTCGTAAACGACGAGGCGAAGGAGAAAATCAAAGCGAGAAACTGCTCGAAATACGTCTCTTTAATCGACGGCGAAAATCCAAAGTTGAAAATATTGTTGAACGTCATAGAAAAAGACTGGGACAGAATAGGCGTGAAGAATAAAAACGCCGGACATCACACGCTGTGGCCAGAAGCGTTCGAAGCCGGAAAAGCTTTGTTAGAGGAGTGTTTCCCGGAGGAGTGTTCGCCGGAGTTTGGAGGCGAGGTGTTAAACGGCGTCGGATTCGTAAACGAACCAGAGTTTCAAAAGACGCGCGCTATCGATTTTATGCAAAGAAGACCAAAAGGCGATTTCACGCACTGTAAATATAATCCGTTGCCGAGATTACACCGAGACCCAGATGCGATCGATTACAAGTCCCCGAACTGGATGGAAACAGCCATGGAAAATTCCGAGGAGTATTCGTACCGGTATTATAACGTTTGGATCTCGAGGACGCCGAAAGATCCAACCGGACAAGTCTGGGATAATCCGTTGTTAGTCTTGTTGCCGAAAGATGGTGGCTCAAAGGAGTGGAAATACGACATTCGAACGGAGAAAGATAATTTAGACGAAAATGGGAACGAAATTAAACCGCCGTCGGCGTTTGAGCAGATCAAATCGAACCCGATGGCGGCGGCGCCGATTGTTATGAATATGTTTTCGACCAAGAAAGGCAAAGATTTCGGCGACGCGACCGATCCGAATTATTTAGCACGAGGGAGCCCAGAGCTCATCGCAGACGACGAGCACGAGTGGGTGACTGGACCATTCGTCGCGTTTGATTCGTTTGATTGTTGGCACGGGTCCGGGAAGTGGGATTCTGACGCGAAGAAGAGTTTGATCGAGGGGTCGAAAAATCCCATGGAGGCGCGCTCGGAAGCCGCGAAAGGTAGAATTTCCATGGAGTTACGGTTTAGAGCGCGGTGTAAACCGAACAGCAGGGAAGGTTTAGCCTGGAGTCCGGTGAGTGCGGCGTATAGAAGTAACAAGTTTACTGAAGATAGCGTGCGACCGAGCGAGCAAACGTACGATTTACTGAGCGGTAAAGCTTTATAAGAATCTTTGTATTATACGCATCTACCGGTACCGGCAGTACTCGTCCAATAAATGTACGTAATAACTTTTAGAAATATTATATACTTTTAGTACTAAAAGCGAAATGCAATGATGAATCTTTTTCAAGTGAAGCACGCACGCGAAGAATGCTTTCGTCGTCGTCGTATCTTTTGTCGTACGATGCGATATAATTACGCCGTGCCTCTCTTTTGGTACCTCGCCGGCAAACCTGGCATGAGCGGCGGCAAGACTTCCATATCGTCACCCGGGCCGCCCAAATCGTCGCCGCCGTTGGAAATCAAGATGATCTCCGCCACGCCTTCGCTCTTCTCCAAGGCTACCGCGTCCACGTTCGGGCCGAAAAACTTGGAAAACTTACCCATGAATCCGTCCCACTCTTCTTTCGTAATTTTCGGCGACTCCATGGTCAAAACGATCGCGTACCTTCCATTCACCATTTGTTCGGACACGCCGACCAATTTCGGTCTTTGTCTCTTTTGTAATCCGCCCGGTCGGTTAAACTTGAAGATGATGTTCATCGCCTCCTCCAAGTGTTGCTCGTCTCCGTATCTGTACCTCGTCACGTCATTTCTTAACTGCGTCAACACCGCGGTCGATTGATCATCTCTCACGTTCACCGCGTCTTCGTACGACTCGCACTCGAGCGGCAACAGCTCGGCGTATTTCAACGCGAAACCGATCAAAGAAATCGGAAAACCGTAGATGAGCATGAGCGCGGAAATTTCCGTCCCTGGTAGGAACGAAAAATACGCCCCGAAACCGTAAATCAAAAGTGGTAAACCGACGGACAAACCAACCGTCCCAAACGACGTTCGCGCGGCGTTGAAACCTTCTTCTGGCACTAATCTTCCCGCAGTCGAGCGAGAGGTGATTTCCGGTTGCACGTATTCCCCAGCCGTGAGGTCGCGCTTACGTTCGACCACGGAAATGTCTGCCTCCTCGCCACCTTCGCTCGCTTTAACTACTAATACTCCTGTGTTTCTTCTTCCTTTGTTTATTACAAATTGTTGTTCTTGTCTGCTGTTGATGTTCTTGTTGTTGTTGTTGTTACGTGATGATGATGATTTCGCAATCGTCACCGACGAAGAGGAAGATGATAATTTCGCCATCGTCGTCGTTTTTAATGTCGTTCTTCTAACTTTGCCGCTGCTTTCGCCTTTTTGCGTGAATCGAGTTTTGTTCAGCTTTGACGCCATCGGGGTAGTGATGGTCGTAACGGATAACATACTGGTTTCTTATTTATTTATGCGTGTGCGTAAGTGTTTGTTTAGATATGTGTGTGTGTGTGTGTGTGAAGATATCTCGAAGAGTCCTGGTGTGAGAGAAATTGGCGGTCGAGATGGACTGCTGAAAAAGAAGCAAAAAAAACAAAAAAAAACGAGGGAAAGAAACAACAAACAGAGAAGAAAAAATACACCGAGAGAGAGACAACATACTTTTAATACTATCTCTACTACTGATACGAAGAAGAAGAGGAAGAAGAAGAAGAAGAATGTATACGAAGAAAATTCGGGCGGCATCGCACGTCGTAATAATTCTGCTGTAAGTGCTCTCTGTTTTTAATGCGTTTCGCGTTTGAGGTGATTTTTGTGAAGAATAATAGTCTCTCGCAGTCTACTGCTGTTGTTTGAGAGAGAGAAAAAATTGGTGGTCGAGCAGGACGGAGGTGAGATTTTTTCTCAGTATGAAAGGACAGAAGGACCTGATAAGAAGAAGAAGAAGGATTACTCAACTCTCTTCATTCGTTATTCCTTTTCGGAATAAACTCGTCGTCTCTTCTTCTTCTTTATTAGAGTAGTATCACAATCATCGAATTAAGAAGGAATTAGTAGTACAACAATTAAAATGACGTCTTCTTCTTCCATGACCAGATTAACGATGAGCGCGATGCACTCCATCGCTCGCCGCGCGACCATTCACAACAACAAAACGAGGACGACGATCCAACAGCATGTAAATCATCATCATCAACGTAGACACCTTCGCGCGACGACGACGACGGTGATGTCCGCGTACCAATCCTCGAAAGTTGGAGACTACCCGTCCATGGACTTTCGATGCTTTTACGAAAAAGATGGGAAGAGAATCTCCCCGTGGCACGACGTGCCGTTGAAAAACGCCGACGGCTCTTTCAACTTTATCTGCGAAATTCCGAAAGAAACGAAAGCGAAGATGGAAGTCGCGACGGATGAGAAATTGACTCCGATTAAACAAGACACGAAAAAAGGCAAGTTAAGAGATTACCCGTACAACATCAACTGGAACTACGGTATGTTACCTCAGACGTGGGAGGACCCGCAGCACGTTCACCCGACGATGAACGTGAAAGGCGACAACGACCCGGTGGACGTCGTCGAGATTGGCTCGACGCAGTTGGAAATGGGTTCCGTCACTCCGGTGAAACCGTTGGGCGTCTACGCCATGATTGACGAGGGCGAGTTGGACTGGAAAGTCATCTGTATCAGTACCAGCGACCCGAAAGCCTCTGACATCAACGACGTCGCGGATGTCGAGAAACACATGCCGGGGGAGTTGGAAAAAATCAGAGTTTGGTTTCGCGATTACAAAACGCCGGACGGTAAGCCGCAAAACATGTTCGGCTTGGACGATAAGTGCATGCCGAGCGCGTACGCGAAAGATGTCATCGAAGAGACGCACGAGTTTTACAACTCTTTAAAGAGTGGGAAGAGAGCGAACGACGAAGAGTTGAGCTTGGAATAATAAAATAAATGATAAATTAAACACTACAGAACTTATTGAACTTTTTGTACTTCTCAATCGAAAAATTTCATCATAACAACAACGGCATCATCATCATCATCATCATCATGGCGGCGACGACGAAAACGACGACGACGAAGAAGAAGAAAAGGAGGAAGAAAAGGAAAAACGATTTCGACGACGACATCACTAATAATGTTTCCTCCGAAAAAGAAACGACGACGAAGAGGAAGAGAAAAAGAGGTTCAGGTGATGATGATGATGATGTGGGTGAGCTTCTGGTGAAAATGTACCCGCACGGGTCTTTTCTTCGCCCGCTGTTCGTGCACCGACAAACGCAAAAAGACATTCGAGACATTCGAGAAGAAGAAGATGATGAAGAAAACAAAGAAGAAGAAAAAGCGGCGGCATCTTCGGCATCGTTTGCAGCCGCGACGGTATTAGTCACCGGATTCCCGTTCGAGTGGCACAACGAATTCTCCATTCAGGATTTATTCTCCGCCTCTTTCGGTGAAACGAAACGAGTGCAACTGATTCGATTAAAAACGAATTCAGAAGCGAAGAGCGCTTTGGTGACGTTCGAACAGACCAAGAGTTTACAAAAGTTATGGAAGAAAATCGAAGAGAAGACAATCGTAGAAGCACCGATGACGACGAGAATAGGAATAGGCTCACCTCCTCCTCCCCAGTTCGGTTTGGATAAGTTTGTGTACGAACACAGACTCCGACGCAAAGGCGGCGCCAAGGCGGCGAAAGCGACCGTCGACGAGTGGTTTCGAAACCGCGCCAAGGAAAAGGAAATAGAAAAACGGAAACGCGCGAGAGAAGAGGAAGACGACGGATGGACCGTCGTGCAACAAAAACGAGGGAGACGGAAAACGAGCGATAATCAAGGGATAACCGTCGGTGGGGTTCGAGCGAGCACCGTGGAGAGACGCAGGAAAGAAGCTTTGACGATGGAAGGCGAAGACGGCGACGCTACGACTACTACTAGTTCTTCCTTTTACAGAAAAAAGAAGAAAGGCACGCTCGGTTTAGCTCCCGTGGAGAATTTTTACAAGTTTCAATCTCGAGAGAGGCGAAGGAACGATTTAATCGCTTTGCAGAGAGGGTTTCAGGCGGACAAAGCGAAAGTCTTAGCCATGAAAGCCGCCAGGAAGTTCAAGCCGGTGTAAAATAAAATTGTAGAGCACAACGAACTGATTTTTGTGTTTTTTCCTCAATTTTTTTTGTACCTGACCTCACTCTCATAACGCGGGTCGCTTCAATTATTATAATCATCGTAATAATTAAAAAGAAAGAAAGATGCCAGAGCAAGGCAAAACAGAGCAAGCAGACGATGGGCAGCAACACCAACCGAAAGGCACGGTGTGGCAACAGGTACGCGCCGGTCGTCTTCCTTTCTCCACCTTCTCTTCTCTCTCTCTCTTCTCTCTTTTTATATAAAATTACAACGAGTTAAAAAACTGTACTCACCAACACCAAACCAATTCGATCTCCTTTTTCTTTCGTCGCGTGTCCTCTCTCATCATCGACGACAACAGGCAGCCAGAGCGTATTTTTACGTCATCGTGTGGATGTCCATCTCCATGGGGGTTATTTTATTCAACAAGTGGATTTTAGCGTACTCTGGGTTTAAGTATCCAATCGCGTTGACGTTATGGCACATGGTATTTTGTACCACCGTGGCGACGGTATTGATGCGAGTGTTTAAAGTGACAAAACGATTATCGATGCCGAGGAAAGAGTACGTGAGCAGAGTATTACCGATTGGCGCGTTTTACGCAGCGTCGTTATGGTTGTCAAACTCGGCATATTTACACCTCTCGGTTTCGTTTATTCAAATGACGAAAGCGTTGATGCCAGGGTTGGTATATTTCGTCGGCATTATATTCCGAACGGAGAAGTATCACGGTCTGACGACTTTGAACATGTTTATCATTGCAATTGGGGTAGCGATTGCGGCGTACGGGGAAATTAATTTCATTTGGATTGGTGTCATCGAACAGTTTTCGGCGTTAATATTCGAGGCGACGAGGTTGTGCTTGGTGCAGATTTTGATCAAGAATAAAGGGTATGCGATGAATCCGATTCAATCGCTGTATTACGTGTCACCGGCGTGTGGAATATTTTTGTTGGTACCATTTTTGACCGTGGAGTTACCCGAAATCATGGCCAACGTCGACTTAGTTATAGACTGGAAAGTGTTATTCTTGAACGCGACGTGCGCATTCTTGTTGAATCTGGCGGTCTTTTTGTTGATTGGAAAGACATCGGCGTTGACCATGAATATCGCCGGCGTCATCAAAGATTGGATGCTGATATTCGCGTCGCAGCACTTGTTCCACAATACGGTGACGTTTTTGAATTACTTAGGTTATGTGATTGCGTTCCTGGCTGTTGGTATGTACAATATGATTAAGTTGCGGCAGGCGAAGAAAGCGGAGAAGGATAGAGCGGCTGCGAACGATAGCAAGTAACATATGAGAGCGTGTGTTTTTAATCTAATAGGACCAATACGATTATGTGTATAGTAAGTAGTTTTCTTTCAATTTTGCGTATTCTTTTTCATTCGAATTGACAAAGTTTATGTGCTAAAAGGTTCAATCTCTCTAAATAGTTTGCTACAATATATTATGGGGGGACAGGAGTGCTGCGCTGTTTCTCTTCTTAGTCAGTTTTCTTTCTGAAAGAGCACCCTTCCGTCAAGCGCGCTTTGCCGCCAGTCGGCTGGCACAAAACCGCCGAGCATGAGCCGCACAAAACCACAGTCTGAGAATGCGAAAACACAGTCGTGATGGAAAAGCACCCTTGGCATTTCACATCCATGAAGAAGCTATTCGGACCTTGTACTAAGCGTTTGAGTTTGTGCTTGGAAGCTTCGAGAGCCGCCGGTGGATTGAGCAAATCGATATCTTGTGCGAGCTGTATTGCGAGTAAAGAGAGAGAATGGGTCAGTACGCAGGTATAATAAATCAATTATCTTCGCGAAGAACGAATAACGAGAGAAGAAAAGAAATTTTTGCCTCTCTTTTGGAGTTCTCGTTCATGTAGGGCCATCCACCCGCCCATCAACGAAAAGCAAACGTCGCGCACGAAAGCACGCCGCGATGTCACAAAAAGGCCAAGAAAAGCATAAACACGTTCCAAACACATTGACACATAAAATGTATCCGAATATATCCGCGTTTATCCTTTCACCCGTCCTCTCCAAAACACTTTTCGCGCGTTCAAAAACTTTTCGTTCGCCGCATTTTTTCCTCGTAAAACCGCGATTTTCGACGAGTCGTCGCGTTTCCTCCAAAGACGCGCGCCCCGTCGCGAAGGTAAAACGAACGCGATGAGCGCGTGCGCGCGTGCGAGAGATACACGAGTATCTGTTCCGAGAGAAAATTGACGCGAATAATACGTACCACCATTATATTCGATCTATTGTGTTATATATAAATGACGATTTCACAAAGCAGAGAGGAAGGAAAGGGGCTTCTTTTTCTCTCCCGCCAAAACGGACTTCTTTCTCCCCCTCCTGTTTTCTCTCGACAACAAACAAGACAGAAGAGACAGACAACCAAACAGAGCTGGTGCTTCCTCTTCTTCAGAAATAAACTTATATTAAAACTAATATTTATAACACTCAATCAAAATGGCAGGTAGGTATCGATGATCGTTTGTTTTCGAGCGCGCGGGGCGGCTTTCCGGGTGGCTTTGCATCATCAGTCTTCTTTGTTGGGAGATATTGATGAAACACACACACACAACACACAACAACGAGTGGATGATTTTTATTCTTCTTTTATTTTTGTCGGCGGATCGTTTATCTCTTCTTCTTCTTCTTCTTCTTTAAAACAATGTCTCTTCGTTTCTGTTGCTCTCTTTAATAAGCGTGCATATTCGAAGCTGAAAATGATCTGTAACAATTATAATCAGTTCTTCTTCTGTGTGTGTATATATGTTAAACTCATTATTCTTCTCTCTTTATTCTCTCTTCTTCAAATGAAATGAATGAAAAACAGACATCCCAGTTGTTGGCGATGGTAAATACGAGTTGAAAATCGAAGCGACTTCGTGCAACATTAAAAAAATTGACTTGAAATTCTACGGCATCGAAAAGGCCACGTGCCAAGTGACGATTAAATGCAACGGTGCGGAATGGAAAACGAGCGACGAGCGAGGTTTGGACCCGACCTGGGAGCAACACGTCATTTTCAAAATCAACGACCCGGAGACGGACAAGATCTCGGCGGTGTTCCACTGCGCCGGCATCCAGTTAGGCGACGAACAGTTTTACGCCTTGGACAAATTGTTGAAGGGCAAACAGACGTTTAAAGGGTTGGTTGTTCCGGGTGGTAAAGCGGACATGCTCTTCACCGCGGTTGACTTTGGATCGGAAGAAGCGCCGGAAGAGGATGACGCTTTTATGGACTTTCTGTAAACGCCGCCGCCGCGTACAAACGAAGGAGAGAGAGAAAGAAAGAGAGAGAATATATACACACGTAGCAATTATTTAATTTAAGCTTAATGAAACAAGAACCGGGAGGATTGGAGTACTTTATACGTTTTAGTCCAACGTGACAATAGCCATTCTTCGTTTTACACGGCATCTATCGAGATCTCGTTTTCGATGACGTTTCGTTGAGTACGTCTATGTGAAAGTTGTTCTTGAGAAATTCTTCGTCAGTCTCTCGCGCGCAACTACGACTGCGTTAACTACTCAATAAAAATCACAAGGATTAAAAGAAGAGGAAGGAAAAGAAATGGGCTCATTCCTCTCTTCAATCTTTTCGTCGGCGAAAACGAAGCGAGAGCGGGAGAAAATCTCCTCCCAATGTGCGACAAGAACATCCGCTTTAAAAGCATGCGTTTCTGCGTATCCGAAAAACAAAGAAGCGTGCGAGAAACTCTCGGAGGACTTGGCGTTGTGCAAAGCGAGATTGGTGGACAAATGCACCGCCAAAGCTGAAAAGTTTGAGGAGATGTGCGTTAAACTGATGGTGGTCAGAGAGCAATCGAACGAGGAGAAACGGAAGTGCGCGAAAGCGGCTAAGAATATGCAAAAGTGTGTAAAGCGCTTTTGAACACGAGGATATCGGTTGGATGATAGTAGTATGATAGTAATAAACTAGTAAGTAGTTTGATTTGAAATAATAGAGCTTTTAGGGCGCATCGTGTCGCGTCATCTTTGTCATCTTCGTCTCGATTGTTATATTTAAAGGATGACTTATTAGTAACTCTTGTTTATTCTCTCTCTCTCGCTCTCTCCCTCTTCTAAAAATCAACGCTCTCTTCTTTTATATTTCACCGTAGTCGATAACCACGCGTTCGTTCGTCGTCGCATCTAAGTCTGTGTACGGCCCTCTCCCTCCACCACGTCCGCGTCTACCACCTCGGCCACCTCTTCCACCGCCTCGGCCGCCACCGCTACCGCCTCTTTTGATCCCTCGCAACGTCGGTTTGTTTCCTTTCGCCTCTTCCGCTCGCAAATACTCGAACACGTTCTCTTTATACTTTTCGTCAATCAAACGATTGCGTTCTTTCTCAATAGCTTCGGTTTGTTTCGTTTTAATATGTTTCAAGACAAACTCCTCCGCGATGAAGAGTTTGGAGGATAACGTGGACCCGAATCGACTTTCGTCGAAGACGACCACTTGCGCTTTAATCCACTCTTCGATTCTATTTTCCAAATCCGCTTCGTCCACTAATCGTAAAACAACCGGATCGCTCAAGCAAGTCAAACGTTCCGACCAGGTGGAATCTACGCGCTTTGACCATTTTGTTGCGATTTCGTTCGCTTCGATCGGCTCGATCGGTGCGTCCGCCGGAACGGCGTGTTCGCCTCCGCCCAACGCAAACGTCGACAACGGTTTGCGAAACGAACATTTCGCTCTCACGTTCCTCCCTTCCGCGATTTCAATGTAATCGTGAGGATTCGTTTCTCTCCCGCCGTAATAGTCTATCCCGTGCACGTTCCAAAGATACACAACGCACGTGTCGATCGCTTTCGCGATATCCTCCGCGGAACTCTTGGCATTTATGGAGACGTTGTTTTGCAACGCGTTGGCGAGCTCGGGAGAATTCGGAATCTCCTTCTCGCTGTTTAACTTTTCGATTAAACTTCTCGCGACGGTTAAATCGTGCTTTAACCGGTCCATGTGCCACGCCTCTCTCGGGACGAACCCACCGATTCTTCTCGCTCTTTTCGCCTTTTTCTCCGGATCTTCTGTTTCCATGTTCTCTTCGCCTCCGTCCGCCGCCGCTTCCGTCGTCGCCTCGCTGTAATCTGGCAACCCTTCCACCGACCCAATCTCCGCGAACCCTTTTGCAAACTTTTCCGACTGTTCCTTCGCCAACTCCAAGCGTTTTCCTTGGTTCGATTCTAACAGTCTCGGATCGAACGTTCTTTGCATCCACGGGTCGTTCTTTTGTCGCATAAAATACTGCTCGTGAAACAAGTGCGCGTTTTCGATTTTATATTGCTCGTACTTCTCCTCGGCTTCTTGCGGCGTCGCGTCGTTCGGTAAGTGTTTAAACGCGAATTGGCGGAAGGTCAACGCCCCGGACGGGTCTTCCATTTGGTGATGATACTCGTCATCTCCTCTTCCTCCTTCTCTCTGTCGATCGTACGGCTTGCTACCTCTACCTCCTCTGCCTCCGCCGCCTCTCCCGCCTCGGCCTCCTCTGCGATGATCGTACCCTCCTCCTCCACCACCACCACCTCTGGAATAGTCGTCGTACCCTCCTCCTCCTCCTCCTCCTGAATACGGGTCGTCTCTTCGTTGGCCTCCACGTCTCGCTCGAGAGGCGCCGTACGCCTGTTGGTCTCCGTAATTATCTACGTCCATCTTTTACGTGTGTGTGTGAATTATTATTATTATATATAAAAGAGTTTTTTAAAGTCTCTCTCTCTCTCTTTCTTCGTCGCGTTGTTAAGATACTAAAACTCTACCAGAAAAGATCGAAGCGAACAACAACCAGAGCTGCGAAGAGATGCGACGCGTTCTTTCGTTCTTATTATTATTATTATAATTACACTTGATTTTGAGAGACAAAATGTGTTGTTGTGTGTGGAATTATGAACGAAGTTTTGTCCTTTCAAACTTGAAATTTTGCGAAAACAAAAAACAAAAACGAAAAAAGAGAGCTCTTACGACAAAACAGAGCAGCGCCTTGCTTGCCATCAAATCTTCCTCTCCTCTCTCTCCTCTCTCCTCTCTCTCAAAACGTGGTCGAAATTCGTACCACGTCACGTTTTTCACCGCAACAAGTAGGGAGTGCGTCTTCATTTGATCTTCAGATATATATATACCACAACATATATATTCGTCGCATATCATCTTTCAGCAGAGTTTACTAATCTCGCGCGCATTTATCTTCCGTGAGTACGCGCACACAAACAGACGCAAAGATGGCCACGACGATCAGCAACAGCAGCGCGGCGATGACGACGACGACGATGAAAAAAAATCATCATCGCACGTCTTATCGATTTGGAGGAAGATCTTCTGTTTCCAATGCGAACAACGGGTTGAGAGCAGCAGCGGCGAACAAAAGAACGAACAGAGTAAATATCATAACGAGAGCATCCGGAGCAGAAGATATCATCATCGTCGACGACGCGTCGTTCGAGAAAGAAGTGTTGCAATCGGAGACTCCGGTCTTAATCGATTTCTGGGCCACGTGGTGTGGGCCGTGCAAGTTAATCAGCAAAGTGGTGGAGAAAGCGGCGCCGGAGTTTAAAGGGAATTTGAAGATTGTGAAAATAGAAACGGATCCAAACCCAATTTTAGTGGAGAAGTACGAGGTGTACGGGTTGCCGACGTTGATGGTGTTTAAAGATGGTCAGCCGGTGAAAGGGAGTAAACGAGAAGGCGCCATCAACCTCGCCAAGTTGAAAGACTATTTGCAGTCGCACGGCATCTCGCCGGCGTAAAAGATTAAGAAAAGGCAGCGGAAGGGTATGTAATATGTATACGACTACACACCGTGAAATAAAAACGATAACTATACAAAACAATCCAATATTAACATTACAAATTCATCCTAGCTGGAACTTACTACTTCTATTATAATACACCGCAGGTCATCAACCGCGCTAAAAAATATTAACTTGAACGATGACTCTCTCTCTCTCTTTCTCATCGATCGTTCATTCGCTCGTTCGTTACCAAAGCTTCTTCGGTAACTCCCATCTCTGAAAATTTCGATTCCCTAACCTTCCATCTTCTTTCCCGAAGAACAAAAACTTCTCTCTCGTGTACAGCGCCTCCGCCGCTTCTTTCGCCTCGGTCGATAAAACCTTCTCCGAATCGTACACATCCTCCGCGTATCCGACATAAATACAAATCATCGCGACTACGGCTATGGATAAAATGGACAAAAACGCTCTCAACGGCGACCAACTGCCTTGAGCGCGCGTCATTTTGGCGAGTTTCAAGTCCGATTCCACGGAGAAGAGGCGCGTCGATTCGTTCGGTATTTCTCTTTTATTCGCATCTTCGTTTTCATCATTTCTTCGTCGTTTGTCTTCTTCTTCGTGATAATACGTAGGGTTCTTCCTGCTCGTCGTCGCGTGGAATCTCGAGGTAAACGACGAAGCCTTCCTCGGCGAGAAGGGCATGACGATGATCACGCAAAGTGTGTGTTTCCCTTCTGTATATACGGTCCAAACAAAGCGCGCGAAATAATGATTCTTTGGACGCGCCCCTTCTTTTCACAAGCGATTGAAGAAGAAAAAAAAATGTGAAAAAGATTCAAAACTCCCTCGTCTGCTCGTTCTCGTTCTCGAGAGAAGACTTTTGTGTGTGTGTGTTCTCTCTCTATTACTACTACTACAGGAGTACATGCAAATTATTACTACTACAACATTCTATCTAAGACGTCTCTGTAATACCCTTTCCTGAGCGGGTCCAAGAGGAGGAGTTTTTCGTAAAGCTCTTTCGCTTTGATCGAGTGCTTCAAAATCACATCCGCGCGCCGCTCGAAATCGTCGTCGAGTTTCATTTCCTTCGCCAGGAGTTTGTGCAAGCGAGCGCAGACGAGCGCGGGCCATTTACACGTCGGTTCCATTTCAGAAACTTCGGTAATTCTATCTAATTCTCGCTGAAACGTTTGTATTTTGTACGCATTTTTGGACGAGGAGGAAGAGGAGGAGGAATACGCATCGAGCTGTGAAAGTAACCATCTATGGTACATCCACGCGCTTTGGTCCTCCGGCTCTGTGAAGAATGCTTGAGAGACGAGTTCGAATTCCGCGTCCAGCACGGCTTGGAATCGCGTCGGTGATGATGACGACGACGTTTCTGTCGTTACTGATGCTTGGTTTTTATCATCATCCAACTGTTCGAAGTGCACGGACCGATGGTGCCAGGCGGAATAATTGGAAAAGTTTTTTGAAATCTTTTCGCGAGCGTACTTCGCCTCTTCCTCTCTCGTCCTGTTCTCTATAACGTCATCAGCTACTTCTTCCTCGTTCATCCTATCGTGCTCGCCATTAAAATAATACCGAGTAATCTTATCCACTACAAACCTCCGGTAATTCCACGCGTGAAAATTTCTATCGTCCGCGTTCAACAGCGTCTCTAACATCTCTCGCTCGCGAAGGACGACATCTTTCATAAAAGGAAGAAGCGACGAGTCTTCGTTTCCTCTTTCCGACGACGACGACGACGACGAACTAAGGATTCGATCGTACAACCGAGCAATTACCCACCTCCTGTGTTCCCAGGCGCAATAACTTTTTGGGTTCCTCCTCAACCCTTGTTCCGATACGTGTAATTCTTCTTTCGCGACATTTTTTAGTCTTTCCTCCTCCTCTTCCTCGTTTTTTTGTTGTCGAACAACAACGTAAAGACAAAAACGTGCTTTCCTTTTGTTCCAACACGTGATCATTTCCGGTTGAATCTCGACCAGTTTTTGCGTCAAAGTGAGCATTAACGATTCCATCTTCTTCTGAGTTTTCGTATCGTGGTCGTCGTCGTCGTCGTCGCCGCCGCCGCCATCCTTTCCTTTCTCGTTATCGTCGGCGTTTTGTAAGTGCACGATTTCTTTGTGCAATTTTTGCAACAGTTTTACTTTCGGCAAGGATTTCGCCCTTCGCTCGAGACGACTGGCAGTGCTTTCCCGCTTGCGTCCGTGCATTGTATCGATTGAAACCCTGCTCTGCGTTTCTCTCTTTCTCTCTTTTTCTCTCCGCTCCGCCGAGAGGAAGGAAGGAGAGAACTTTCGAGTGAGAGGAAGAGTGAGGTGTGTGAGCTACAGTTCATTTTTTTTCTACAAAACTACTTCATCTACGAACATTCAAAAACTAAAACTACTAACTCCTTTTAAGCGTGCTAAGAACCAGCGGCGGATCTCTTACCTCCGACGAATTTCTTTAAACTTCTCTTAAAGTTCCTCACGTGTTGCATCGTCGCTTCGCTGGTGATGTCGTCGATGAAGCCAGATTTGAATTTTTGCGTCGCGGACGGACGAGGAAAGCCATCGTTTTCGTCGCCGAGCGCGACGCAAAGCGCTTCTCGAAAGATAGCGGGACCAACGGATTTGAGGATTGCAAAACAGGTCGCGGCGATGTCGGTGAGGAGTTGCGCGGGAAAGTATTCGTTAGCTGCTTCCAACAAACCACGGAGAAGAAGTGGGAGAGTCATTTGAGGCAAGTGAATGCTTTTTGGATTGTTAAATGTCCAATTCGGGAGAACCAATTTCACGTTGCTCACGTTGTTATTTACGAGACTTCCATGGACGACGCCGACGACTTTATTTCCACCAAACGATGCGGACGCTTTTTTTGGATCAAAGCTGTCAATTGAACGGCACGCGATATCTCCAGCTAAGGCGAGGACGGAAATCGCGTTTTCATCTGAACACCCCGTGCGTAAACTCATCGAAACTGCTCGGAGAAGAAGCTCCAGGCGTTCGTTACTGAGAACGTACCCGCAATCCGATCGGACGAGAGCTTGCGCCAACCCATACACCGATGGAAATCGATCCGGGTCGTCCGCGAAATTCGCGTTGGTATCTCTGAGATTCATATCTAGTACTTTCGCGACGACATCATTCAACGTCGTTCCGGAAAAAACGCCCACGATATCCTCGTAAGAAATTCCCATTCGTTGGAACAGTTCTGAGTTCATCGCAATCGATTCGTGCAACGCGGCATTCGATAAAGATGAATGCGTGATATTCTTCACATACGTCAATCGTACCGTATCTATGAGTTCGTTTCCGAGGTAACTCGATCCGTTGCTGTAAATGGAAAGATACGTTCGCATAATCATAAAAAGGACCGGCGCCAGAAAGACAGCCTCGTTGTCGTTCGTCGCGAAGACATGAAGCAACAAGCGAAGCTCTTTCAAAGGCACGACGGAACTTTGCGCCGGAGATAAAGCGTGAGATAATATTTCTAACGCCATCTTTTTTGTGTCGACATCGTGCGTTGCTTTCTGCGATTGAAGCGCAATGGAAACGTCCACTAAGGCGTGCCCGACTTGAATACCGTGATGATGATGAATAGCGCTCAAGGCGTTTTCTGATGTTTTCCGGAACAAACGACCCAGCGACTCCGCGGACGTACAATTCGCGCGTACCGCTGCACGTAGAACTACAGTAACTGTTGGCTCTTGACCGTCTCGCAAATCGTGAAGGGCAGTCGGTGTTACTAAATTTTCCACGTACGCGCGTTCAAGCATCTGACCGAGATAGTTTGAAATCTCCGGGTCCAAAAAGAGCGATTCCTTCGAGCAATCGCATAATCGCATAATCGCCGTCGCCGCGCCGCGAGAGTGCACGGGATCGTTCGTTGAACACAAAACTTCACTCAGCGCTCGCAAACAGTACTTCGTAAGCTTTCTAGAGATGGCGATATCCTTCGCCAATCCGACGAATGACCAACACACCGCTTCGCGAGCGTCGCTGAAGTGCACTAGAGCGTCCACCACCGCTTGTATCGCGATGTTGAAAAGATTGCTACTTCCGTCGTTACTTTCGCCGGTAGTATCTCCTTCGTCACCACCACCAAACGTATTCTTCATTCTGTAGGATAAAATTTGAAACACGAACACGTACCCCAACCCTCTTTCTGTTTGTAATCCTTGAACGAGAATCGGTAAAATTGGATTCGTCCCGACTGCATTGATAATCTCGCGACACGAGTCGCCAATCTCGTCTCGAATGGCTTCCATTTCTGAAGGATTCCGTCTATAGTTTTCCAAAAGGAACGTTGCCAAGGCATTTACAACTACAACCACGTTTGGTACGTATTTCTGCGTCGTTTCTTTATCGAGATCAAACGCCGATGCGGAGGAAGAGGAAATTTTCACCCACGCGTCAAAACACGATGCCGGCGACTCGGGACTCGCGAGGAGCACATTCGCGCACGCGTCTAGACAAAACGACACGATTTCAGTGTCGTCTCTTTTCAGCGCTCCGTTAACTGTCGCCAAAATAATCTCTAGCGCGCGATTTTGCGCGGATTTGCACGCCTCTTGCGACGTCGCTACTTGCGACACGAAACTCAAACACTGTGCGAGCGCTTCTCTATTCGCGCCTTCTTGTTGCACGATAGCCTCGAGCAAAGTCGAAGCGAACGACATGGCGCTTGATTGTACTTTGGATTCCCCCGAAGCACACGCGATTTGCACGGCGCGCTCTAAAATTATACTTCGCTTTGGAAAGAACAACTCGATCGAGGCGCTCGAATTGACCTCGTTCAACCAAATCGCTAAGCAATCAAACATTAAAGCTACTAAAGTCACATCTTCTTCTCTTCCCTCCGCGTTCGTCGCGATAGAAATAGATTGGTACATCTCCTCCAAAGCGCGACACACGAAGACGCACGCTCTCGACGCCGCCTCGGCGATTAACTTCCGTCTTTCCGGACGAATCGCACCTACGTTTTTATCGTGCACGCTCTCCCCGAACGCTTTCAAATAATGCACAAACGCGTGCGCCGAGTTTTGTCGAAAGTGCATCGCCGACGATTCCACCAACGTCTCCACGTCCTCTTCGCTTCGCACCATTTTCATGGACGCCACCGCCGCTCCGAGCGCAGCAAATTCGCAGACGCTGTTGATTTCCTTCCCTCGTAAACTCAACAGATCGTTCGAGACGATCGATTGAAACAAAATCCGTAGTAACAGATTGTTGTTGTCGTTCGTACTGTGACTACTTTTATCTGTCTCCATCTTTGCTCGTCTCAGGTACTGCAAAACACATTTGCTGACAAACACCGAGACTTCGATTGATTCTTCCTCCTCCGAAGAACTCCCACCACCATTAACACCGTTCTTCCCAACGCCTTTCAAAATATCCAACACTAACTCGTAATTCTCCTCGAACTTCTCCCGGAACGTCTGGTCTAAAAACCGCTCGCACTCTTTTCTTCTCTCGTTCGAGGACTGCGGCGAACAGACCACCCGCATCGTCTCTCGCACTCGCTGTTTTTTTTCTTCCATCAGTGACAACAACAACAACGACGAGACGATGATTTGTTGGACGTCATGTATTCTTCTTCTTCTTCGATACTACAGATGTTCTTGTTCGTATTATTATTACGACGACGACGACGACGACGACGATGATTGCAACGAGAGCTTCTTTCTCGTCGTCGTGAACAACACACACACCATATTGGCGCGTGTGTAATAAAAAGAGGAGGGGAAGTGTGTGTGTTTTTCTGTTGTTTTTGGGAAAAGAACAAACAAGAAAAGTCTCGCGTGTCCATAAGTAAAAGTTTAATCAAGGGTGCCTACTTTTTTTCGAGGAAGGAAGACCATTGTTTTGAATCTTTCTTGGATCCACAAATCTCTTTTGCGCGCATACTATAAACACAGAGAGAGAGAGAGAGAGAGAGACGTATTAAAGAAGAAGAAACAGTATGGAATCAATGTTCTTTGGTGGCGGACGCGGGGAGTATTATTCCGACGATGGCGACGACGACGAAGAAGAACGAGATCTAGAAGAAAAAATTCGGAATCATCATCATCATTTTCAAGCCGGAGAAAGAGCATCCGGAGGAGGAGGAGGACAAAGAGAAAACCACCACGCAGGCGATCCGAAAACGACGACGACGACGGAACAAGAGGAAGTGAACGAAACGTTGACGAACGTGTTTCAAGGGTACGAGACGAAATCGTTACCGTTCGAGACGATACCACATCCGTGTAAAGTGGTCGAGTCGTCCTCTTTAAACGCCGTGGCGTTGCCGAAACTCACCTATCCTCTCGTTTCCGAGTTGATTGAGAATCGAAAACTGTCCGGCTTGCAACTCGAAGGCGTCGCGTACGCGTGTCAAAAACACCAAGAGTATTTAGAAGATGGCAGACGACGAGCGGGGTTTTTTATCGGCGACGGTGCGGGTATTGGTAAAGGGAGGCAAATTGCCGGCGTCATTTTCGATAATTATTGCAGAGGAAGAAGAAGACACGTTTGGGTGTCCACGTCGATCGATTTGGCGCGAGACGCGATGAGAGATTTAACCGACTTGGGGTGCCACGCGAAGATCATAAGAAACGTTCAAGAGCTGGATAACCAGACCAAAGCGACTGGGTTGAGTCGCGACTTTCAGGAAGGTATTTTGTTTACCACATATTCGACGCTCGTGAGCGCTACCGGGAAGTACGACAGGTTCCAACAGATTATCGATTGGTTCGGCGAAGGCGAGGACGGGAACGGCTGTTTGGTTTTCGACGAATGTCATAAAGCCAAGAATTCGGGGCACTTCGCGGGCGCGGGAAAAAAGTCGAGCAGCGATAATGGGAGTCAAACGGCAAAGGCTGTCAGAGAGATGCAAGAGATGTGTCCGGAAGCCAGAGTTTTGTACTGCTCGGCGACGGGCGTTTCGGAGATTGGAAACATGGCGTACATGGAACGTATGGGCTTTTGGGGTCCGTCGACGCCCTTCAAAGATGCCGAGACCTTCATCAAGAAATTGCAAGACAGAGGCGTAGGTTTTCTTGAGATGCTCGCGATTGAGATGAAAGCCGGTGGAAAGTATGTCGCGAGAGCGCTTTCCTTCGAAGAAGCGGAATTTCGCACGGAAACTGTGAAAATTACCGCTCAACAGAGGGCGATGTACGACTCGGCGTGCCAAATTTGGCAAGACGTTCGCGTAGAGTACGAGGATTTAGCGCATAAACGAGGCGAGAAGAGCGGGATGTTCATGAAATTGTACTGGAGCGCGCATCAAAGATTCTTCAAGTTGTTATGCGTGAGCTTCAAAATCCCGTTCGTCGTCAAGGAGGTTGAGGAAGCTTTAGAAAGAGGCGAGTGCGCTTTAATCGGTCTCCAAACAACCGGCGAAGCGCAAGATACGCGTTTGAACTTACAATACGGATTCGAAAGCGATGTCCCAACCTCCACGACGCAAGAAATTTTGAGACAGTTCATTATGGAACACTTCAAGACGGACGTCAATGGCAAATCGAACGGAACCGCTGAGGAGCAAGAAGCGGTGAAACTCTTACCCGTCGCCGATCTTCCGGATGGTTGGAAACAAAGAGCAGACGGAACTATCACCGGTCCTCGAACGCACGAGGAAGCGTACAAGGTCAAAGAAGCGCTCTTAAAGCGCGTAGAAGAGCTGGATTTACCCCCTAATTTCCTCGACGACTTAATCGATAAACTCGGCGGCGTCGAGAAAGTAGCCGAGATGACAGGCAGGCGTGCTAGAATGGTGCGACACTCGATTGGTGAAGAATCTGGACTGACGTACGAACCAAGATTTGCGGTGCCACCAGTCTCGGACGACGGGCGGCATTTACTCGCATCGGCGAGTAATAACAACAAGGACAAGTTCGCATCGGAAATGGATAGCATCAATATTCGAGAAGCCAAGTGGTTTATGGAGGGGAGTAAATTGGTTGCCATCATTTCAGATGCAGCTTCGACGGGAATCTCACTGCACGCGAGCAAGAAAGTGCCGAACCAGAGGCGTCGCGTGCACATCACCGTTGAATTACCCTGGGCTGCGGATAAAGCAATCCAGCAACTTGGACGGTCGCATCGCTCGAATCAAGCACAGGGCCCGTTATATGTTATGGTCTCAACTGATATTGGGGGTGAACGGCGCTTTGTATCTGCTGTCGCGAGACGTTTGCAAAGTCTCGGCGCGCTCACCCGCGGCGATCGACGCGCGGCGACTGGTGTCGATTTGAGCGATGGTAACGTGGACTCTTTCCTCGGGAAACGATCTTTGCAAATTATGTTTGATGCGCTCAACGCGCAGGTCGACAACGATACTTTCGATTTCAAATTACCGACGGGCGTTTCCTTGCAAAGTGTTTGGAAACACGCCGGGTTGAGTGACGACGAATACCAACGTAAGATTTCTGAAGAAACAATTGAGAGCGGTAAATCGCTGAGAGATATTTACGTGGAACTTTCACGCGCTGTTCTCGAGCTCGGCGAGAAAGGTGGTGAGAAATCTTTGATTACTGTTAGTGCGGTCAACGTGCGCAGATTCTTAAATAGGTTACTCGGCGTCCCGGTACTTCGTCAAAATATTCTGTTTGGATTGTTCGGAGATACGCTCCACGCCGTGATAAATGCCGCGAAACTTGAAGGTAGTTATACCGAGGGAGTGAATCAACTCGGCGGTCAACATGTCGCGCTCGATGGCAAAGCCAACCAAGTTGTTCTCACAGAACCGTTTCACGGTGCTCGCCTACTTAAGTCCAACTTTGTCTCCGATCGTGGGTTATCTTGGGATCAAGCCTTTGAGATGTACAAAACGAGCGGTTCGCGATACCCCCGCGATGGATTTTATTTCAAAAAGAAAAAGTGGTATGGCAGGCGCGAAATTATGTTAGTGTTCACAGCCCCTGGTACCGATGAACTCGAAGTAGAAATTTACAGACCGAATATGGGGAGAGTTCAACCCAACCATAATCGCTTCGATTTCATGGCAGACAACACTCGAATCGAAGACAAAGACCCCGGGTGGTTGATTGAATCTAAAGCCAAAGAAGAGTGGGATTTTACGTACGACAAGACCGAATTCGGCTGCAAACATTACGGGAAGTGCCAAAACGCCCAAAGCGGTATACATTGCAATTATGGAAGTCGAGCTGAGCGATGCTGCATCGTCAACGGTGCCGTCGTGTCCATGTGGAAAGAGCTCGAAACAGTTTTGCGACGACATCAGTCGAGTGTTCTTTTCCGTGACCGACACATGCGCGTCGTACGCGTGGAAACTAACCTTAAGAAGCGACAAGAAGAGGCGCAGACGACGGCCGTCGCGGCGTTACTCCCCGATTCAAACGGAAGCGATCAACAAGAACAAAACCCCGAGGACTTTTCGTTAAACGAAACGAACAACGGAACTGACGAAATGTTCGAGATAGTTGGTATTCGATATCCCGAAAAATTACTCCCGCTGGTCGTCGCTGCCGCCGAGAAAAATTGGGAGGAAAAAAAGAAAAAAGGCGCGGAAATTAAAGGTCGCATGTCGTTGAAAAAAGACGACGTGACGCCTATTGATCCATTCTCGTACAAGAAAGCGACGACGCAGCAAAAAACCATGAAGAACTTTTTCAAATCCTCCGGGAATAAAAAAACAACCAGTTTCTTGAACTGGGACGATTTTGAAGACGAGGAGAACGCGCCCGAGAAGAACAAAAAGACCGCACCTTTGTTGACTGCGGCCGCATCTAATGCAGCTGCCACCGACGATGCATCGAAAAAGTCAAATGTCCGCGATAAAAGCGTCTCGTCCTCTGCGCGCATCCAAGACTTTTTCAAAAGGTTACCCGCCGAAGTGGCGGATTTGGAAAACTTGGTGAAGAAACAGAAAACGAGCGAAGAGGCGCGGGAGCGAAAACGTTTATTAGCTAAATCTCCAACGCCAATTCCTTTGAAAGAAAGCATCGAAAGGGACGGCAGAACGAACGCATCAATACCACCACCACCACAAGTTGAGTACATAGAAATTGATTGATTGATTGAGAAATCATCTTCCTGTAATACATTTGCACGCTTTACGAAACAGACACAAACTACACTTTCAAACTCTCTCTCTCTCTCTACTCACCTTCTACGTTTGGATACAAAAACATCCCTTTCACGCCGTCGGCATCGGTCACAAACCCTAACCGTTCATAGAACTCCACCACATCTTTATCCGCGAACAACGTCACGTTCGCCACATCTCTCGCCAACAGCGCGCGTATCGAGTGCGACACAATCGCCTTCCCTAACCCTTGACCTTGATACTCTGGATCGACAATTATATCCCACAAACACGCGTTGAACGCGTGGTCAGACGTCGCTCTGCACGTCGCTATTAATTTTTCTTCTTCCTCTTCTTCTTTATTATTATTATTACTATTGTTACTACTACTACAAACGTACATCTGCGCGACTAAAAACGAATTCTCCAGAGCGATTTTCAGCTTCTCCTCCGGTCGTTTCGGCCACCCAACTTTATCGCACAAATCAGAAACCTCTTGGACGTTTATTTCTCTCGTCGTGGAATACATTATTCTTTTGTTCTTCGATTGGACGATGAGGACGTCTGGTTCAGACGAAGCGTCGTGAGACTCGTTCTTCTTCAACGAGGGAGAAGACGAAGCGCCGCGAGGGGCAAGCCTCGTTGATTTTTTTATCCCCATTTTTACCCGATGAGGATGAGGATGAGAACGAGGATGAAGTTGACTCGTTCCGTTTTTACTCAAAGGAAGAACACGAGTTCCTTCGCTCCTCATCATCATCATCCTCGTAATCGTCTCGTGCTCTTCTTTGTCCTCTTTGAAACCTTTTGTTGTGTCTGTTTGTTTGTAGCTCAATAAAACTACTCTAAGAATGCTACTCTCACGGTCGGTACTAAGAGAAATGAGTATTAGGTAATGCATAATTTGCATTCACTCTCCTTCCCTCTTTGAGCGTCTCCGCACATTACGTTTAGGGTTTAAATATTTGCAAAAACAAAAAGAAAGATCATTCTTCTTCATTGAAGAGTAGAGTAGTCGTTTGCGAAAAACGAGAGCATTTAGTCGCTTTTCGAGAACTCTCTGCGTTCTCTCTCTTTCTCTCGAAACAAAACAACGCGCTGTTTGCTCGAACGAACGCTCTTAGTTTCGCTCTTTGCTCTTTAAACTGCGCTGCTTCTTCTTCGTGTTTAAGAAAAAGAAGAGAGAGATGAGCGCATTTCAACAACAAGAACAACAACGAGGCACCTCTTCTTCTTCTTCTTCTTCTTCGAGTAATCAACAACAAAAACAAAAACAACAACAACCAAAAACTTCGACGACGGAAGAATTACTGAACCACATGCAACTCGCGTTAATCGGTGGTGATGATGGTGGTAATGGCGGTGGTAATGGTGCAATGTCCGCGACGCTTTCCAAGCAAGCGGAAAGCGTCGATTTCAACGATTTCTTCTCATTGAGACGACCGAAAGATGCCGCGAGCGGCTTAAACTCTGGTTTGAAATCCGTGGGGAAAGGCGCGTTAGCTGGAGCAGCGGCGTTGATTGCGGCACCGATTGCCGGCGCTAAAGCGGAAGGTGCGAGTGGGTTTTTCAAAGGTTTAGGCGCCGGATTGGCGGCGGCGGTGGTTTTACCCGTCGTCGGCGCCGGCGTCGGAGTGACGCAAATTTGTCGCGGCGTGGCGAATACGCCCGAGGCGATTATGGCGGCGAATGACGGAAAGAGGTGGAATCGACACACCAGAGAGTGGGTGGATGAAGATTTAGTGCGAGATGGGATTTGGTTGGCGCAATCGACGGACGAGGATATATATGAGCAGGCGAGGAAGAGGGCGATGAGTGAAGGTAGAAGCGGCATCGGGCTCAACGGAGTACTCAACGAGAGCATGGGAGGAGCTAATAGCGATAATAATAGTAATGATAATAATAGAAACGGAGGAGGGAAGCAAGTTAAAGAGACGCAATATTACGAGATTTTGAAAGTTGAAACGACTGCTTCGTCGGCGGAGATTAAGAAATCGTATTACGAACTCGCGAGGAAGTTACATCCGGATAAAAATCCCGACGACCCGGACGCGCACAACAAGTTTCAAAAAGTCGGCGAGGCGTACCAAGTGTTGTCCGATCCAGAGTTGAGGAAAAAATACGATTCAAGAGGGAAAGATGGATTAGGTGATATACCCGTGATAGACGCGTCGGCGTTTTTTGCCGCATTGTTCGGGTCGGACCAGATGGAAATGTTCGTCGGGAAACTGCAAATGGCAGTCATGGCCGAAGGCGGAAGCGATTTGACGAGAGATGAAACGCGGATTTTACAAGACCGAAGAATTGTTCGATTAGCGATTAATTTGGCTGCTATTTTGGATGGGTACGCTACGTCGGCTCGCGCTATGGTCACACCGACTGCGACTTTAACGGCTGATAAGACGAATGAAAAAGAAGAGGAGGAAAAGCTGCGCGAAAAAGCGGCTCTGGAAAAGTTTGAAGCGCAAATGAAACCAATCGCGCAGAGTTTAGCCAACGCTTCTCACGGACCAAAAATGTTGAAACAGATTGGATTCGTGTACGAGAAGCAAGCGGAGCAAGTGTTGACGGATCCCGTGGCTGGTTTTGGGACGTGGGCGGATTTAGGGGTTCGTTCAAACTTTGCCGCCATGGAGCAAAATACAAACAGAACGAAAACACAGTTCAGCGCGATGAAAGCCGCGTTTGGGGCGTTTGGAACGGTGAAGAAAATCGCCGAGGAAGAGGAGGGATACATGAAGGAAGAAGAAGGAAAAGAAAAAGAGGGTGAAATTGAAAAGAGCGCTGGCGAAAGAGACGGGAAAATCGCCGAGAATATCGCTAAAGAGCAAGAAGGGAAGGAAACGAAGAAGAAACCGCCGTTGACAGAGGCTGAAATAATGCAGCGACGCGCGCAGCATCAAAAAGACGTCATGCCGCACATTTTAGAAGCACTTTGGAACGTTTCTGCGCTCGACATTGAATCGACACTTAGATCGGTGTGTGATAAAGTTTGTCACGATAAGAGCGTGAAGAAAGAAGTGAGAAAAAAGCGTTGCGAGGCGTTGTCCGTGTTAGGCAAAGTCTTCCAAACCACCGAGGCGGACGAGGCGCATAAAAATGAAGATATTAATCAACAGTTGGAAAATGCAATGCGCGCGGCATTCACGCCAAAAGAGAATGCAGATGAGGACGATAGTGACTGATTATATATAGTTATCGTTGTGTAAAAATAAGGAATGATGTTTCTCTATCTCACAATCACTATTAAGAATTTTCTAGTTTCGCTAACACTCTCAGAGCGTATTTTCGGAGCAATTCGTCCTCGCTCGTGCGCGATTGCTGCAGAGCATTTCGAACCCCTAATTTTATCAGCGCCGATCTGCACTCTTCGTGCGCGCAGAGATTTCCGAGCGAAAAGAGCGCAACATGCGCGGGCGTTTGCTTATCTCCTACACTGCTACTCTTTTTACTGCTACTCTTCTCTGAAGCGTACTCTTTGGCGAGTAAAATTAGCGCCTTGGGCACATCGTTCGCAAGCAAGTCTGCGATGAGAGCATCGCCGTTTCTCGCCAAGTTTCCGAGCGCCGCCGCGGCGTTGCTTCTCGTTTTCCCATCGTTCTCATCTTTTCTTCCAACACCAAAAGTTGACCCGTAATGATTACCTATATTCCTCACGAGTGGGAGAATTGATCGTCGCAAATCATCGTAGAGATAATCGGAGTGAAACCCGGCGTTCCCGATGGCGAAAGCGGCAAACTTTCGAACCAACGCAGAGGGTTCCTCTTTTTCGTCTGCGTTTAAACGATCAATCAGCGCGCCGACCGTCCCATACTTCTTAAATGATGCGTAAAAATAGTCCGAGTGGCGACAAAGGTTACCGAGTGCGTTCGCTGCGCGCGCGCGCACGTTGAAATCATCGTGTCGAAGCAACTTTGTTAAATGAAAAGTTGCGTTTGCCTCGCCAACATTTTCGTACCGACTCTCGTTACTCTTGGCGAGCTGTGAGAGAATCATAGTCCAATCAACAATGGTTGTTGCTTCGTTCGCAAACTCCACTTTAATAGATTTCTGCTTAATGTTCAGCAACGAGGACGCAAACGAAGATTGCGAAAGCGCAAACTCGCTGAGAGACGCCGAGCATCCTTTCGCTTCGATGAACTGGTTGCTGAAGACATCGCCGCCGGTGACGACCAGACGCGAAATTAAACTAATAGCACTCGATAAAGAATGCGCTTCACTGCTGTTACTAGTAGTAGCAGTATCAACCGCCGCTGCTTTTTTGTTCTTTTTGCTATTCGCTTTGTTTTTGGTCGTGTTATTTTCTTCTTCCACTTCTTCTTCTTCTTCCTCCTCGTTCTCGTTACCGTTCCCGTTATATTTTCTTAACGCGCGCATTTCCAGATCTGTCTTCATCGACTTCACGCACTTCAACAAAGTTCCGAGCACATTTTTTTCCTTCAATACTGTCATGAATTTACGGTTTGCCACGGCGCCAACTTTTTCTGCGTTTGAGCCTTTCGTCGGGATGAACGCCAGCGGTAACCGCAAAACGTTGAGTAAGGAGAAAATCGCAAGATGCTGCGAGGATTTATACTCCTCGATCGCTTTTGAAGACGCGTCGGAGCCTGGGGCCGTCCGAGCTATCGTCGCCACAATCGACGTTGAAAACGAGGAGAAAATCTCCATCGCGTCGCAACAGCTCTCCGCGACGCCAGAGTCGCAAAGAAAATCCGCCGGATGCGCAGTCTCGCAATTTTCCTTCGCCAACGGATGTAACGCGTACGCCACAGCTGCGATACCATCTGCAACTGGACGTAACTTAGTCATGATTGCACTTTTAGTTTCGAGAGATGATGATAGCGTCACTCCCTTGGACAACTCGGAAGCGCGTGCGACTAATTTAATCAATCTCGTCGAGAAGCGCATCAACGCATCTTTTTCGAGCGCCTTGTCAGCAAAAGCTGTCGACGCCCTCGAACACGCGCCAATGATACGACACCCAGAGAGACTGAGAAATCCACAGTATGTTGAATTTGACGACGCTTTAATGAGTGCTTGGAATGCGCCCATGCGTTCGCCGTATCGAACGAATGAGTCCGCGACGAGTGTAATCGAAACCGGCGCGTAACACGAAGAACATTTCAACAAGGCATCGCAAGCGTCGCCGACAGCCTCGCCTCTTCGTTTGAATATGGCGCGTCGTTTGCGCTCGTCGTTTTCATTTTGAGCATTATTGCACTCTTTGCCACTTTCTCTGTCTTTTTTCTTTTGCGCGCTTTTCGCTTGCTCTTCGAGTAAATCGCGTTCGAGCTGACTAAACGACGATGCTAAATGCGCGATTAAACTTTCGCAAAACGTTGGTTTCGGGAGCTTTGAAAGTGCCATGACGCATTCCTGACATTCACCGCGCTTTGAGGCGAGATCGATGGCGCGTGTGACGGCGACCCGAGCAAAGTGCTGCGTCTCGAGCTTCGATTGGATCAGACGAAGGCGAAGTTTGTCTTCGTCGTGGCCTGAATCGTCGTTATTTCGACGCAGTTCAAAACTCACCAAACACTCGCTTAAAGCGCGTAAATAGTTTGCCAATCCGACATTACACCACGGGGAAGGGCCCGATCCGCTCGCAAGTAGCGTCGCGACGTTCAAAGCGAGTTGCAACGCTTCCTCGCGTTCGATTTCAAAGGCAACGTACTTTTCCCGCATTTGCGCGTCGTCCTTTGTTTCGTTTACTGGATTCCACATCGCTGCGATGGCCCGCACGGTCCATAACGCGGCGCCGGGAGCATCTCTCGCTAATGCACCACTGGCATCGCCACCTACTTTTGCTAAACTCGCGCTCGAAACGCACACGATATTTCGAAGCGTTCTCAGAGCAGACACCGCATCTACTAAAGAACTCGTCAACTTTGGCATTGGACCATTTGCGTTGCTCGCGTGATTACTCAAACCACTGGAAGACGGCGCGTCGTCGATACCAGGTTCAGTATGCGCAGACGTTCCTCTTTCGCGCTCACTCCCTGGCGATAGAAGCGCGAGAATATTAAATTTTGATCCAGGCGCGCTTCGAGGAGGCTGCAAAGCCGCTAAAATAACTTTAATCGCCGTCCGATCTCGTCGCAAACGCGCGGCGCCATCTTCCGTGCGCGATTTAAGTTCGCATTCAAGTAAAGCCGAGTCTACACCATGCCCGTGCTGACTTTCAATCGCAAGATTAGTATTCGACGCGTGGCGTTGTGGCATCTCACCAGCCGTTGCTGTTCGTGGCGTCGTTCCCGAAACCACTCCGCCGATAAGTGCAGCACCACCAATAGCAGCAGCAGCAGCAGTAGTAGTAGTAGTAGTAGTAGCCGCAGTAACCGCTGTGCCTCGCGTAGTCGACGGCGGTGGTCTTCTCGCCGGTATTTTTGGCGTGCTATAGCCATCCGTCGCTGTTCCTGCGAGCACATCTTCTCTACGAGGTAAACCACCTCGTCTAACTATTGGCATCTTGTTGTTGTTCGTCGTCGTCGTCGTCGTCGTAGCGGCGTTTGTCGTTCTCGTCGCACCTTGCGGCGTGGAAGCTAACGGACGTCTGTTGTGCGTCGCTACTGCCGCCGTCGTCGTTGTCGTCGTCTTTGCTCCCGTAGACAACCGGTTCTCAACCTCCTCCGCTCTTCTTCGTCGTTCCTCTTGATCACCCGCCTCTCTTTCTCCGCGTTGTTGTTGTTGTTGCTGCTGCTGCTGCTGCTGTTGTTGCTGTCGTTCGTGTTCGTGTTCGTCATCGTGTTCGTGTTCGTCGTCGTACTCGCTCTTCCTCACAAACGGATGTTCCAACAACGCCGGCCACGACAACCGTTCGCTCGGTCGTTTATTTAGTAATCCTCTCAAAAAGGATTTAAACTCCGCGCTCATATCTTCCGGCCACGTCAAAGGGTCTCGAACAATCTTTTGAATCAAAGTGTAAATGCTATTGGTAAAGAACGGCGGCTTCCCGACGAATAACTCGTACAGAATAACTCCCAGCGACCACAAATCTACGGTGTGATTATACGGCTGCTCTTGCACCAACTCTGGCGCCATGTACAGCGGCGTTCCTTTAATCGATGTCATCACCATAGATTGCGATCGAATCGATCGCGCGAACCCAAAATCGCACAATTTCACCACCTTATTCGCTCCAATCAAAACATTCTGCGGTTTCATATCTCTGTGTATGACTCTATTCGTGTGCAAATAATGCAACGCGGACACCAACTGCCGAGCGATTGCTTTCACCTCTAGCTCTGGCAACGTCCTATCGTCTTCCAATACTTCAAACAACTCGCCTTGCGCGTATTCCATGACCACGCAAAACTCGTGTTCCGTTTCAAACGCGTCTCGCATGGCGATGATGTTCGGATGTTTCAACACTCTCAAAATATCAATCTCTTGTCTTAAACTTCTCAAATCTCGTTCCGTTTTTCCTTTCTTCGCGATGAACTTAATCGCGGACGTTTCACCGGTGAACTTCTTTCTCGCTTTGTACACTTTCCCGAACGATCCTTCGCCGACTAAATCGAGCAAGTTGTATTCGGAGAGACGACCACTGTTGTTGTTGTTGTTGTTGTTGCTTTTTTTCTCGCCGCTCATCATCGCTTTCGTCGACATCGTTTCTCCTCCTCTTTCTTCTTCTGCTTCGTCGGATTGACGACGAAGGAGAAGAGACGACGGGGAGGAGGCCGCAATGAACGCACCACCACCACCACCACCGTTTATAAAATTCTCTCCTCTGTGAGTATTCTCGTCGTCGTACTCATCATCGTCTTCGTCAAAGCGCATTCTCGTGTAGTTGTCGTCGGAAAAAGACGATGAGAGAGGGAGGACAGTCCTTTTGAAGAATTTTGAAAAAAAAAATGAAAAAAAGCTCGCGAAATTTTTGAAATTGCTGCTAAAAATCGAGATGAAAAGAGGAAGCTTTACTTAGGTGAGTATGTACGCGTTCGCTTTTATTCCTTGACGATGAATGAGCTGTAATAACGTAGCGATAAAAACGCCGCTACAGTACGGTGTATGTACTACACACGTGTCGTAAAAAATCCCTCTAAATAATGTATTAAAAAAACGAAATCACCGCCGAGGTCGATTCTTTCTCAGAGAACTCTTCTTCGGCTTTCCAATCGAGGAACCGGGCGACGTGCCTTTCTTTCCTCCCTTTCCACCGCCGCCTCTTTTCATGGCAGCTTTTTGACCTCGTCGATCGGCGAGCATGCGCTTATCTACGGACGGTCCACCGGCGTTGCCTTTATGCATTTTCCTCGCCACCACGTGCTTGATTTGCTTTTTGCGGCCGTTGGCGAGTTTATTCGCTTTGGCGTAAATTGCTTCAATTTCTCGAACTTTCGAAACGTCAGGAATATCGTCTTGATCCATGATGGCGCCCGCGCGTTGTCGAGCTTCGCTCATTTTATCCTTGGCGCGTTTTTTCTTTCGCAATTTAGCCTCGGCGACTTTTTTGATCGACCGTTCGTCAACTTTAATGGAGACGCTCGCGAGAGCTTCCTCGTAGTCGCTCTGATCGTAAATCGGTTCCGCTTTCATGAATCTTCGCTCGTCGTCGACAAACCAATCAGGCAAGTCTCTCGGATCGTCCTCAAATGCGTACCGGTTGTACGCGTCTTCGATGATTTCTTCGCGTTGTTTTCTTCGAAGCATTTTTTTGCTAATGGCGAGGATTTCGGCTCGGGCGCCATCCGAGAGTTCGTCGACGTCTGTAGATTCATCGCTATCAGAACCATCAGCGCGTACGCGCTGACGACTTCCTTTCGCGTTTCTTCCCACGCCTCTATCAGATACGTCGTCGTCATCATCATCATCATCGTCGTCGTCGTCGTCGTCGTTCTCTCGAGCATCGTCATCGTTTCCTCTGGGAACAATATGTAAATCATCTGCCGCCGCCTCGGCACGCAGCGCTCGTCTTTTACGTCCGACGTCCACATCGTCTGAACCTGAATCGTACGTCGTGTCGTCACCATTTCCGTTCTTACCACCACTCGTTTTCTTTCGCTTCTTATCGAGTTTATCCTGTTGTTTTTTACTTTTCAGTTCACCTTCCTTGGCAATCTTCGCCGCTTCTTTCGCCTTCTCCAGTTTCCTCGCTCTCGCTTGTTCCCGTAGACTTTCGTAATCGTCTTCGTCTTCATCAACGACGACATCGTCTTTGTCGTTCTTCTTTTGTTTCTTCTTCATCATATTTTTCTCTTCTTTTGCTTCTTCCCTCGTTGTCTTTGTTATTTTCTTTTCCGCCGCCGCCTTGCCGCTCGTCGCTGCGGAGGTTGTTTTTTCAATTTCCGAAAAAAGATCGTTGGAAAACCATCGATCGACGGTTGCCTTTGAGTTTGGTTTCACTTTGCTCGGGTCGAACTCGACGATCAGATTGTTTTTGTTTTTATCCTCCTTCGTTTTTTTCTTCCTGTTCTTCTCTTCGCCTTCTACGTCTTCGTTCTTCTCCCATTCCAACGGCGCGTCGTCGTCTTCCTCGAAACCAGTCTCCTCGCTATCGCTTTCATCGCTCTCATCGACGTCTTCGTCATCATCCGAGCCAAGCTCTCCATCGCCTTCGCCTTCTAACGTCGCCCTCTTATCGCGTCTCATCGCGGATCCTTTCGAGCCTTCTCCAACCGACCGGCCTTTCTTCTTTTGCCTTTCTTTGTACTGTTTGTACAAAGCGTCTAAACTCGAGTCTAGCCGCGACGTGTCGTTTTCCACGTCATTTTCTGCGTCAGAGTCTTCAGAGTCGTATTGGTTTTGTCTTCTGCGAGCCGCGTTCAGTTCCGAGTCAGAGTCTTCGTAATAGTCAGCCGGCACAGACGGAGCGGCTTGGTTTGCGACCGTATCGACATCCTCCTATTTTTTGTTGGTGGGTGAAGAAAATGGTCAGTTTGGCGTAAAACTATATTTACTACCAACAACGCGTCGCGCGCGAGCGACGAAAAAAAGAAAGAAAAAAAGCCTCAGATGGGTAAACGGCATGTTTTTGCATAAGGTTTTCAGTTTACGCGGGTTCTAACGCCGCTCAAGTGAGTAAGCGAGTATCTTCACCGGCTTTTGAATACATACAGAGAGAGAGAGAGAGAGAGAGAGAGAGAGACGTTAAGAAAAAAACGAGAGAAATCGAAAGAGACAAAAAACAAACGCTCGCGCGCGGCGGCGATGCGCAATCTAACGCACCTTTGTTTTCAATCGAACCAAAGAGAATAAATCTTCCTCCGCCACGATGGCTTCGCCGTCTCCTTTTAATCCTAACTGCGCGCGTATTCTATCCTTCTGTTTCATTTTAGCCTGCTTTTTCTTTTTCCTTCTCGCCTCCGCGTCCATGTTTCCTTGCAATTCCTCCATTTCGCTCAGCAAGCGCTCGTTTTCGTCCTCGGGCACCGCCGCTTTATTTTCATTATTCTCGTCCTCCTCGTCCTCGTTGGCGTTTGTCGTCGTCCTCGGTTTCACCTTCTTATCCTCCATACCTAACCGTTTCCGCACTTGCAAACGCCACTTCAACAACATCTTAAAATCGCTCTTGTTCAAAACGCCCAAGTCTCGAAAGAGCGTCCGAATTTCCTCGTTCGTCTCCTCGCACGCGTCTAAATCCATAAATCCATCCTTTGGGGGCACCACGTTCGTTCCTTTCTTTCCTTTCCCACCGTCTAAAATAAAACAGTGGTACATCCCTAACATCTCCGCCGGTTTCTCGTTTGTGATAAAATTCTCCGCGTACGTCTCTTTATACAGCGAATGTAACCCGTCCTCGTAGCCGCTTCGATTTCGCTTCGCTTTTTCCACCTTCAAAACGTCCCTGTTCTGCTGTCCTCCTTTGTTACCTTGTCCGCCATCCTCCACGTTCGCGAATAAATACTCCGCCTTTAACAACCTCGGATCAATTTTCGTCGGCGCCAAGTACCCTTTACACACGACGAAAATCTCCGCCGACGAGTCTCTCGACGCCACCGGCTTCGTGCTCTCCACCTTCTTAAACAGCTGCTGAAACGCGTATAACAACGCGTGATACTCTTGCGACCGAAACACTTTCGTCACGAACCAACCGTCCAACGTTAAAAACTCCGTCGCCAATTTCAACGCGTCCAACGTCAGCGCCGCTTGCGAATACGCTTCCTTGGCGTAGTTGCCCCCGACGTTTGGCGCGCCGTCGTGTAACACGCAATCGTACTTCAAACCATCCGGCGTGACCCGTTTAATCGCCGCTCGACAGCTCGGTGTCGTGATATCTTCCACTAAAGTCGTGCATCCGCGTATGGGTTTTATCGAAGCTAAATCGATCCCAACGATGGTCGATTGCATCGGCATGTACTTCTGCGCCACTTGCAGCCACCCGCCTGGAGCTGCGCATAAATCCAAACAAGCCTTCGCGCTGGATAAAAAATCATACTTCCTGTTCAGTTGAACTAACTTAAACGCCGAACGCGCGCGGAATCCTTGCTCTTTCGCTAAGTAATAGAACTTGTCCAGACGATGTTTCCCTTTCGCTTTTTTGCCCATTTTTGTTCTTCTTCTTCTTGTTGTTCTTCTTCTCTTGCGATTGTTGTTGCACGACGACACCACGGAAACGAGGAGGACTTTTTTTAACGACGCTCTTCTTCTTCTTCTTCTTCGTGTCTTTCTTCTTCGTGACTTTAGTTTTGGTGATGTAACTTTATGCGTGCGCGTTTATATAACGTCTGTGTGTGTGTCTGGTTAAAAAATGACGACTCTGATGAAAAACAAGGTGGCGGCTGAATTTTTTTTTCCTTCTTTTGTTTGACAGTTTGAGGAAAAGAATTTTTTTGAGAAAAAAGCAAAAAAGCATCAGTCAATTATTTTTTAGAGTGTTGTTCTTTCGTTGTGTAAAAGAAGTACCTAATAACAGAGAGTATTTATAATACTGAAAAAACGATAAAGTTAAACTACGGAAAATCAATGGTCGCCTTTTCCGTCTTCTCTTCTTCTTCTTCTAAAACTCCAGCAGCTTTATTATTATCAGTCGTCGTTTTTTGTTGTTCTTTCTCTTCTTCAAAGTCGTCTTCATCAAAGTCGTCGTCGTCGTCGTCGTCCACCTCGGCGCCTTTTCGAATCTCTCGAATGACTTTCCCGCTCGTTTCGTCTATTTCCACGTACGCGCCGTCGAACGCTTCGTGGGATCTTTTTTGCAACCATCGCAACGTTTCGCCGAGTTGGTGACCGATGAGTTGCGCCTCTTTTTCGCCTTTTTCGCCGACGAAGGCTTCAACCGGGATGAAATCCGGGAGTTTCACGTATAAGCGGAGGAGGTGTTCCGCGCCGCAGATTTCCGAGGCGGGTTTGGATTTTAACGCGTCGTTCTTCGCGACGGCGAGGTCGTAGTATTTCTTCTCCTTTTCGTAGAGTAAAGCTTTTTGCAAGGCGGCGTCGAAGTAGCGTTTGAGACCGGCGACGATTTCTTTCGCGCGTTCGATTTGTTTCGGCGTTCGAGCTTTCGCGATCGCTTCGACTTCGTAATCGGAGAAGAGACTTTGGACGGTATGCGCGGCGGGTTCTCTCGGGAGCTTCAGGACGCGGTTGTGCGCGAGCGCTTCGTGTTGTTTGATGAGCTCTTTCTTTAACGCCGTCGCCAAGATGACTTTCACTTTTGGTTTCAAAGGCGCTTGTTGTTGTTCTTGTTGTTCTTGCCGGTCTCGTTGTTCTTCCGTTTCCGTCTTTTCTTTTTCCTGCTTTTGCTTTTTCGCGTTCGTCGTTGGAGCCGCCGCCGTATCTTTCTTCGCGTTCTTTTTCTCTTTACTCGCAGCATTCGCCGGGGCCCCTTTTTCCAAAGCCGCCGCGTTCTTTCTCTTGTTGGTGTTGTTCGTCGCGTTGACGACGGCGCCTTTCCTTCCTTTGTTGGTCGTCGGCGGCGCGTTCTGTTCGTAGGCGGTTTTTGCTTCACTTTTTTGCTTCTTCGATGGCCGACCACCGCTTGGTGCGGCTTTCTTTTTCGTCGTCGCATTATTTGTTTCCGATTCGTCTTCTTCTTTCGTCGTTAAAACCGCTTTTGTCGCCGCGGCATCCACCAAGTCTCGTTTTTGCTTTTGTTGTTGTTGTTGTTGTGGCTCCCGCTGTTGCTCGCCCTCGCCTTTGCTCGTCGCTTTCTTCTTCGCGCCGCCTATTGTCGTCGTCTTATTACTACTCGTATTAATAGTATTACTATTACTCTCTTTAGTAATACTTTTCTTACCGTCTTTCCCGGTTGATTGGCTTTTCTCGCGTTTCGTCGTCGTCGCGTTCTTCTTCCTCTTTAATACCTCGTCGTCGTTCTTGTTCTTGTTCTTGTTGTTCCCAACCGCCGCCGCGGTGTTGTTACTTTTACCGCCGCTCTTCGTCGTCTGAATCTGAATCTGAATCTTCTTTTCATTCGCTTTCCTCCTTTTCTCCTTATCTTCCTCGAGTAACCTTTTCTGTTCTCTCGTATTTTCTTCGTTCATTTTCCTGCACGTTTCTTTCTCTTCCACCCACTCGTCGTATTTTTTGTTCCACCCTTGGTAGTGAATGAGCACCCCGGAGCTTCCATCTTCTAAACGTCTCATGTCGATGATTTTCGCCGGGTAGAGGAATCCATCTTTCAGGGCGAGGATGAGTTCGTTCACGCGGAACGAATTTGAATAATCGTTGTTGTTCTTGTCGTCGTCGACTTTCGTCGTCGTCTGTTTTGTCGTCGTTAATGATTCCATCATCATCATCATCTTTTGAAAAGTCTTTTGTCTCCTCTAAAATCTCCTTTGTTTTCGTCTCGCGTAATCCTCGCGAGAGAAACTCTTCCCTCTGCTTTTTTATCTCGTGAAGACAAGAAGAGCAGAGAGTGTTTGATGTGTGAAAAGAGTCTTTTAGTAGTACTCTCTGAGTGATGAGAGAAGTTTACTCTAATTTCGATGATGTGACAAGACTAATGAAGAGAAGAACTTCCCCACAAGAATAATAAAATTGAGATATTTTGTGATGACTCCTCTCGTTTTTTGTTTTGTCTGTTTTTTTTTTTGGTTGAAACAACTGCTTTGTTTTTTTTTTCTTCTTCTTCTTCTTCTTCTTTTTTTTGCGTGCATCACTCACTATACTCGCTGCGTAAAAACTGCGCTCCTCTCTCTCTCTCTCTTTCCTCTCTCAAAAAAAGGAATACGAAGGAACGCGAAAAAATAGTACGCGAGACCTTGATTTTACGCACCATAAACTAGGTAAATTACAACTCAACTAGGACTCCCAATCTTGAATATTCTAACAGAACACGCCGTCGCACAAGCTTTACGTCCTCTCCTTCTCCTCCGTTTCCAAATCTCATCGCATGAGAGTACTCCGAATAGCGACCACCACGGTGCTCCCGGTTTAAAATTTCTGCTCGAGTATTCCAATCGTCGTCCCATGAGCATGCTTCGAATAGCTGATACTTTACTTATTTCAAGTTACTATTCGCGTTCGCTCCTAGGCAGCGCCGCGCAAAAATACGCATATGGAACTTAAACACTTTATGGTATTTTCAATGATTTATTTCAATCAAAAATCAACGTACTTCACCTATCAAAGTTTCTTCGATCGATCTCATGAGAGCCGAGAGTCATGATAGGCTGAGCATCGCAAATGGATGCTCGAGAGACGTTGTGTTGTCACATGTTTCTGCAATCCGAAAACATGTTTTCGTATGGTTAAATCAATCCCAAAAAAAAAGGAGAGAACTCTCGATTTTAATCGATACAAACTCCCAACGGTACTAAAATCCCAAGGTTCAAAAATGAAAGGCTGGGATTCTTTCCCAAAAAATGCTCTTTCCTCCATGTGTCGTCGTTGACTTCTTCTTCGATGAAGAAGAAAGAAGATATGCAATAACACGACGACAAAGAAAAGAACACAAAAAAGGAGAGAAACTCGCCCGCGCAAGTCAAAACTCTCCGTACTCGAACCCCCTTTGTCCGTTCTTTCCCAGCTCTTTTCATTCATTCAATCTGCCATGCATGCGGGAGGAGAGATACAAAAATCGATTTGTATCTCTAAAACAGAAAGAAAGCAAACGATGAAGAAAAGAGCTCCCACCCTTCCACCCACTATCATCGATAGAGGTCTATCGATGATAGCAATGCGTGTGACTTTCTCGCGCGCGTGCGCGCGCGCACGCAAAAAAAAAGTGATATTATATGCGCGCGCAAATGCGCGCAAATGCGCGCGCGAGAAAGTGAAGAAGGAAATGAAAAAAAAATGCGTTTTTTAGATACAGATACAAATTTACCTCCTTTCTCTTTCTCTTTCTCTTTCTTTTTCTTTCTCCCCCAATTTTCCCTCTGTTTTTTCTTTTTTTGCGACGAAACGGAGAGAGAGACTCTGCACCATAAAAAAAAGAAGAGAACAGAACGCTCTTTATTTACTCTCTCTCTCTCTCTCGTTCTTTTTTCAAAAACGAATAAGTTGTTTTCCAGCGTGGTTTTTGCCAAAACGTCGAGGAGGAGGAGTTCTTTTCTTCTTCTTCATCTCTCTTCTGTTCTTCTTTTTAACACTTCTTCTCTTGTGTTTTGATGACGATGATGATTTTGAGGAGGAGGAGAAGATGTGCTTTTCTGCGTTCGTGAGAACGGTCGACTCTCTCTTCTTGGAAAGAGATTAGAGTCGTTTTATCCTCCTCTTCAGACGCCTCGGGGTTCTCCTCCGAAAATAATAATAAGAAGAATTTTGAGAACGACGTTCACGACGATGAGAGCGAGGGAGAAAGGTTTATCGAGCGTAGCGAGGAGAAGAGAAACACTGCGAGCGCAGTTGGAGGAAAAGATGACGACGAGAAAGACTTTTAACGACGACGACGAGAACAACCGGAAAGAGGAGAACTGTTATTACGAGAAGGAGGAAAAAGAAGAGGCGGAGGAAAAAGAAGAGGCGGAGGAAAAAGAAGAGGCGGAGGAGAAGAAGACAACAGAGAAGGTGTTGTTATTACTGTTGTTCGAGAGAGAGATTGAGAAACATTCGGCGCGAGCGAAAGCGCTCAAAGAGACGGTGGAGGAGGAGACGCGTCGAAACGACGCGATGGAGAAGAACGTGCGCGAACGAGAGGAACGCGCGAGAAGAGAGAAAAGAGCGATGGAGAAAAGAGCGAAGAAGAAGAAGAAGAAGGTTGGAGGAGTTTTCTCTTCTTCTTCGGTTAAAGAGACAGAGGAGAACGCGAGGAGAGACGAAGATATTCGAGAGTTGATCAAAATTCGATTGAAGAGTTGCGAGTTTGAGTTGCGGTGCGAACGCTCGAGACTCTTTGGAGAGGTGAAGGACGTGTTTGAGTTGGAAAGCGGAGGAGAGAGGAAGGTGCGTGGAAGGAATGACAGCATTAGCAGTTACGGAAAGTTTTTACCGGATGTGGACGCGTTCGCGTACTCTTCGAAACAATCGACTCAGAACAACAACAACAACAACAACGACAACAACAAAGATTTGGACGCGTTCATCGAAGTGCTTTTCAATAGTAGTAACAAGAAAAGCGACGACAAAATTGAAAACGAAAACGAAATTGCCGCGACGCTTTCGATGATGAACAGATTCGTCACGCTTTTAGGTAAATATAGCTTCTGCCCGTCGCTCCATCGATCGACGCCGGGCGTGACGAACGCGACGGAGATATGGAAGCCGTTAGATTCAACGACAACGTCTTCGAGCAGGAATTTCGAGCGAGGCGGGAAGGAATCTTTCGACGACGACGACGACGATTACGCGCGCGACGAAGCCGTGAAAGTGGATGAGTTTTTTAGGAAAACTTTTGGAAACGAAGACGTGGTTTTGTACGGTGACATCGCCTCGCCCGAGTGCGAGATATTACCGCTGTATTACGCTCGAGCCGCTCCAAAAAGAAGCGGTGGCGTCGGCGGCGAGGAGGAAGAAGATGCGCGAGCGCAAAAGAAACGCCTTCTCCGCGCCGTGCGTTTGCTACAGAAATCGTGCGAAATAGTCACCGCGCACTTTGCCGCGGAAGTTACCGAACTCGTAACGAGCGATATCTTCGATGACGATGAAAATCAGTATCACTTCACTCGTCGCTTGATGAAAGAATTAAATGGAAATACAAACAACGCCACTCGTGGCGGTCCGTTTTGTTCATTACTGGTAGCGTTTGAAGCGCTCGTTGAAATCGCGGAAAGGAAACGTTTGCAGGATTTATACTACCGCTCGAGCGCATCTTCTTCGTCGTCTTCGATGTCGTGCGAAGAGCTTTTCTCGTCCGAGGACGACGACGACGACAACAACAAAGAAGGTTTCGAACCGGTTGTCGTGATATCGTCCTCATTACGAAACATCGACAACACGGCAAAGTCCAAAGCGACGATGACGACGAAAAAGAAGAACAGAAAGAGCAGCCGCAAGAGACAACTCGCGGAAAAAAGTAAATCGATGATAAAAAGCGTCTGGAGCTTCGTCGCCGAACCGACGAAGAAATTCGAGAAGAATTTGAAATTGACGCGAGTACCGGAAAACAACGACGACAACGACGAAATATCGAAAGTCAACCGCCCTCATCGCAACGCTGAAAACGAAGACGAAGATTGGGACGTCGTGGATGTACCACACACGCTCATCCGGAAAACGCCCTCCAGCAATAGCGGGGTTTCCAAAACGAAGAACATTCGTTTACCGCCACCGCCGTGTGAGGAAGAAAATCTAAACCATTACGTGCGAGCGATGTTTACGGATAAGCAATAGAAGGTATCAGAACAACACGTGTACAACAAAAACAACAACAACAACAACAACAACACAAGCAAGCAAGCAGCTCGTAGTTAATTATTTTGTATAAATAAATTCAGAATATAGTTAAATACATTTACGACTATCTACTTCTAGCACTTGTTGCTTTACCGCCCGCTTCCTCTCTTACTACTCCTAATCTCATCTACGATGCGTTCGATATCTCTCTCCGTCTCCTCCAACGACTTCTCGGTATCCACTACCCACGTCGCTCTCTTCCTCTTCTCCTCGTCCGGCATTTGCATCTCCCGAATCTTCTCAAACTTCTCCAAACTCATCCTCGCGCCAACCGTTCGATTCATCACTCTCTCCCTTTGCGTCTCCGACGAACACGAAACGACTAAAATCCCATCCACGGTATTCTCCAACTGCTTCTCGAAGAGCAAAGGCACGTCGAACACCAACACGTCCGTTTCGTCGGCGGCGTCTTCTGCGCTCGTCTCCTCCTCCTCTTTCCTCCTCCTCGAACGAACGCACTCCTCGACGAACCGTCTCCGCTTCTCCTCCACCAGCGGGTGCACGATAGCTTCCAGCTTTGCCATCTCCTCGGGTACGCCGACGACTTTCTCCCCTAACCGTTTCCGATCGATTGAACTCTTCGTTTCCGAATCCACAACGTCGTCGCCGAATATCGCTCGTATCTTCGTCACCGCTTCGCCTTCTTCGTATAACTCGTGCACCGCCGCATCCGAGTCAAACACTGGGACTTGTAACTGTTCTTTGAACATTTTCGCGACGGTGGATTTCCCAGAGCCAATCGATCCGGTCAGACCGAGTTTATATGCGTAATAACGCTGATTTTGTTGTTCTTGTCCTCGTTGTTCGTTTCTCTTTTGCTGCGCATCACCGGAGGAGGACATCGTCGTCTCGAGCGAAATCCACCTCGGGGTTGCTTTCCTCCCCGTCGGATGAGATGTCGTCCTCGCGCGCTCGACAGAAGAAGAAGAAGAAGAAGAACAACTTTTCCAAGAAGAAGACAAAGAGAAAGACAAAGAAAATGCACGCAAACTCGACGAAGCACCACTGAGAAACGGAATAGGCATAAATGCGAAACCAACGACGAGGAGAGTAGAATAACTCAAGCGCGAAGAGAATCCGATTTCTGAAGGTCTCGCGAAAGAAAACAACGGAAGAGAGAAAAGAACGCGAGAAGAAGTTAAAGAAGACAACAAAGAAGACAAAGATTTTAAAAGGAAAAGCATACGTTTCATCTCTTTCGTGGTTTCGATGCTAGGATTATGTAACACTTTTCTTCGTCCTCGAGTTTAAGCAGAGACATTAACACACGCGCTCGTGACGTCGTTTCGTTTCGTTTCGACGCGAGTAATAAAGAGCGTACGTATCAATACGCAAAGACGTCGCATACGTCAAACCTTCTTAAACGCTCTCTCTTTTCCTTCTTCTTAAACTTCTTTTCTCTCTCTTCTGTGCACTCGTCGTCGTTTTCTCTTCTTCTTCTTTTACGGTTCAAAGTACACTTACGACGTCTTGTTAAATCCTAATCCGTTATCTTCCGCGTATCGCGTCATGAATCGCATGAATCTTTCCCACTCTTGGGAGGAACGCATGATGTATCTCGCTTCTATGCATTTCGGTTTCCCGTTTACGAATTTCGCGTTCACGTCCACCTGTGTAAAGTTATTCATCATGGTAAATCAGAGTTAAATAGAGTTTGTTTGTTAGAGAAGAGTGGGGGTTCAGAGAGAGAGACAGAAAGAGAGACGAAGATGGAAACATCGAGAACACGATGATGATTTTGAGTCAAACGGGGAAGCGATGACGTCTGACGTTTTAAGATACGAAACACATCGCGCGATGAGATGATACAAAAGACAGCAAGAACTCACCGTGGTCATCTCGCCTTCCTCGTCGGACAAGTACATCCCCGTGATGTCCCCTGTCGCGCTTTCGAACACGTCCGGGTTTTCGAACGTGAAAAACGCCGTCCCGGACGTTCCGTCTCTCGACTTTGTGAGTTTCACGTCCGGGACGGATGTTTCCACGGAGTCTCGGACGAAGGAAATCGTCGCGCCGTTCGAGACGAGTAAAGACTTTCTTCTGCTGTTAAAATTGCTACTGTGTGGGTTGACTACTGATTGTTTTGCGTGTTTTCGGAAGGAAGCGAGGGTGGTGGTGGAGGCACGAAGGCCCACGCGCGAGGATAAAGTTGACATTTTTTTCTATCCGCGCGAAGAAAGATTAGTGGTGTTTACGTCCGTATGGATGAGAAGAAACTGCTGAGTAAGCCAATTCTCCGAAGAAAAAAGTATCAAAAAAAGTGCCAAAAATGCGTGAACGCTTTAAATAAGAAGAGAGGAGTTTGGTGTGTTTGTGTGTGTGTTTTTCTTCGGTGTACGAACATACTCGTATGCGCGATGAAAGTATTCAATGTATTTCTTCTCTGATCATCTATATGTGGTACAAAACAACACGTTGGTCCTCTCGTTAGTAGTAGCGGAGAGGAGTATTTAAGCGTGAAAGCGTCGTCGTCGCGTTCAAAATGCGGAAACGCGATTATTTTATTATTATTATTATAGTAGTATTATTTTCTTTCCGGAGCAGGATAGTAAGCGAACCCGTTGGTGTCCGGGTCGATCCGGCGGACTTCTTTTTCAATCTCGACGAGTTTCTTCTCGGCTTTTTTCAGGTTGATGTCGAAACCGACGTCGTTTTTACCGCCCTCGTTGCCAAACGCGCGTTGCGGGCCGGCGATTTTCTGTTCCGTGGCTTGTTCCAAGCGGAAGAGGTTGCTTTCCAACGCTTTGATTTCCGAGCCGAGAGCTTTCTCAATCTTCGTGATGTCCGATTCTAAAATTTTTTCCACGTCTTTACCGACCAGTTTTTCCGTGATCTTTTCCACGTCTCTTTCGACAACTTTCTCTACCGCTTTCACATCGTCGCCCAAAGTGTCCAAATCGGCGATGTTGGTCACTTTGACTTCCTCGGGCGCTTTACACGAGTTATCGGTGATAACCATCTTGTTCCAATCGACGTTCACTTTCTCCGCGGCAGCTTTCATGCGCGGAATAAATTCTGGCCGTAACGTTGGTTCAGTCGCGTATACGACGGCGCCACCGTACCCGTCCCACGCGTCGTTCGTGCCTCGGTAATACACGAACGCGACGCCTTTCTCTTCGTCGGCGTAGAAACCGTCCTTCGGGATGATCCAATCGTCTTGGTAGTGCAATTTCGTTTCCGGGTTCCCTCTGTTCAAGAAAATCGCCTTATCGTCCTCCTGGTAAAACCGTTGCACGTCGCCTCTCTCGTAAAATTGTCCGTTTGGCCTGTTCACTCTCCAATTGATTTTGATGTACATCTTATCGTCGTCGCCTTTCGCGAAGAAGTGTTCTTGACAATCGAAAATGTCGAAATCTTTATTCAAGCCGGCGACGATGTACCACCTCTTCTTCTTCGTCCAATCGTCGATGGTGACGTTCTCTTTCGTCTCAATCGCGTCAAAATCAGGCACCGGATATTCCCCCGTCGATTGTCTCTGCGCCACGCACGCGTTCCTGGTCACCGCGCACGTGTTAAATTTTTGCACCGCCGGCGACGCGTACAAATCCCCGCATCGAATCTGACAATCCGCCTCGTCCGGTTTCCCGAAACACACGTTCAAGCACGCCAACGATTCCACGCACTTCTCGTCAGCCAAGCACCCCGCTAACTCCGCTTTGCAGTTTTGCAATAAACAATCCCCGGTGCGCTTCGCCGTGTTTTCAATTCCATTTCCAGTACTGGCGTATGCGACTGATGTTGATGGTGTCATCATCATCATCGTTGGATTCCCTCCCAGTGATAAAGTTAACGCCGCGAGCGCTCCCACGGACGCGTTTTTCATCCTCGTTTCTATTCCTACTCTCGCTAACGAATTTTCCTCGGACTTCGTCTTCTTCTTCTCATCGTCAGAATCTGTGGACGACGACGACGACGAAAATTTCTTTCTCCTCCTCCTCCTCGTCGTATTCCTCCTCGCCGATGATGATGATGATGATGATGTCCAAGACTTTGAGTAATCATTCCTGCCACTACAACTGCTCTCGCTTTTGCCGCTGCAACTGCACGACGCGTTTCGAGAAGAACACGACGACGGAATTTCGAAACGTAACGCTGGTCGCATTTGAATAATTCAGAGTGTTGTTGTTGTTCTTGTTCTTGTTGTTGTTCTTGTTGTCTGTGTTTTCTTTGCGTTTGGTCGTAAATATATTTATATAATAAAACACGTGCGCGTTTGTGTGTGAATACAATGACGACGATGATGATATTATGCGCAGGTGTGTTGTCTCGGCTTTTCTCGTTTTTTTTTCTCGGATATGGCATGCACCAGTCAGAAAAACACGACAAAAAAGAGAGAATCCTCGTCATTTGGTGGTGGTGCTTTTAATAAAAAGAAGAGATTTCGAGACGACGAGATTTTCTTTTTCTTTTCTTCTTCGAACAAGGAGGGAAATAAAAGATACATTCGAGACAAAAAGAATCATTTCATCTTCTTCAGAAGAGAGCGCGCGCTTTGAAAGAACACAGACACACGCGCGCACACAAAACCAGAGAGAGAGAGAAAAAGACGACGCTTTTTTCTTCTTCTCTGATATAGTTGTTTGTTTATTTTGTGTTCGTATTATTTGCGAGGACCACAGAGAGAGAGAAAGAGAGAAGACATTTTATCATCTCGCCTCTGATAAAAGAGAGAGAGAACATCGAGATTAGAAAAGAGAGGAGAAGACATTAACATCATCATGTTTTTAGCAGCAGCATCAGCGCTCTCGACGACGACGATACTACCGAGAAGAACGAGAGCATCATCATCATCATCATCATCGTCACAATCGGCCGTCTTTTCTTCCGTTTCTTCTCGACACCCAGGAGGAAAAGCGAGAAAGAATTCGACGACGACGACGATTTCAAGAAAATTCAAGAGAGGAGTCGTGATGGTTTCTTCTTCTGATGATGATGAAAATAATTCCAACGCGAACGAGAAGTCATATTCAGTCGACTATGAAGTCTCCCCGGAAGTGGAAGCGACGCGTAAGCCGACGCCACCGACGAACCCGAACCTCCCGAAAGTCTTAGTCGCCGGAGGCGGCATCGCCGGTTTGATCACCGCGGCGGCGTGCAAGCGCAAAGGGATGGAAGTCGTGGTCTTTGAGAAAGTGACCAAGTATAAACCGTTCGGCGGTCCGATTCAGTTGCAGTGCAACTCGCAAGGGGCGTTGGATTCTATCGATCCGAGGATGGCCGAGGAGGTCTTTGCGAGAGGAATTATTACCGGTGATCGCGTGAACGGGTTGTTGGATGGGATTTCGGGAGAGTGGTTCTACCGCTTCGATACGAGGCAGCCGTGTTATATGAACGGGTTACCGCTGACGTTGGTGTTGTCGAGGTACGATTTGTTGGATATTTTGCGAGAAGGCGTTGGGGACGAAAACATCATGATGGGCACCATCGTCGACGAGTACGAGCACACGAACGATGGCAAGGTGATTGCCAAGTTGACGGACGGGACGACGCACGAAGGAGACGTGTTGATCGGATGCGACGGGATTCGATCGAAGATCCGTAAGCAAATGCGCAACGGGCAAGAGACAAAGTTGGCGTACGCCGGGTACGCGGTATATACCGCCGTGTGCGATTACTCGCAACCGTTTCGAGAGCCGCAGTATACGGATCCGTCCAAGATTGGGTACCAAGTATTTTTAGGCCCGAAGCAATATTTCGTCTCCTCGGACGTCGGGGAAGGGAAACAACAATACTACGCTTTCTTGGAAGTGCCGGAAGGTGGTCAAGACATCTACGCATCTTGCGACGACTGGCCCACGTATAAAGAAATGTTGTTGGACCGATTCAACGGTTGGGCACCGGCGATCAAGGAGAGATTGGAGTGCACGAAACCGGAAGATATCGAGTTGAGAGACGTCTGCGACGTGTTACCCGATCCGAGATGGGTCGATCGCAGAGTCGCGTTACTCGGAGATTCCGCGCACGCCGTACAACCAAACTTGGGCCAGGGCGGCGGTCAGGCAATTGAATCCGCGTACGTTTTGGCGGACGAATTATCCAAGTGCGAAGGTAAAAAAGGGGTTGAGTTGGCGTTGGTTCGATACGCCACCAGACGCTTTTTGCGAACCTCGAGCATCCACGGTTTGAGTCGATTTTCTTCGTTGATGAACACGTTTTATCGACGATACTTGGGCGACGAACCGTACGATTGGTACCCAGAGCCGGTGAGAAAGTTTTGGGAGAGCGTGGCGAAATTAAAAATTCCGCACCCAGGGTCGGTCATGGGCCAAATCATTCTCATGGGATCGATGCCGGTGATTTTGGAATACGTCGGCGCCGGTTTCTTTGGTTTGTTACCGGAATGGTTAGCCGGCGCGGCGACCGGGAACGGTAAAGACCGCGTGCCGAGGAACCAAGTTCCGGGCATTTCTGCGCCTTTGCGTGACTTGAAACCGGATGACTTCAAAATGAAGGGCATCCCAGGCATCGCAAAATAAAAATCTAGAAGAAAGACAACAACGCGCAGGCACGAACGAGAAAGATCTCAAGAACAATAATACTAACACACACAAACAAAAATTGTAAAAGTAAACACACGATATATCAGTTATGAAACAACTTCTTATTACAGTATAGCTACTACTTTCTTTTCTTTTCTTTTCTTTTGTACTTTGTTTTATTTATACGATTCCGGTTGGATGCACCTCACCAACGACGGGTTCGGTACGAACAGCATTCGCATTCCTCCGACTTCAATCAACGCGTGTGAATGTAGTCTCGCCCGTTGGTTCGTCTCAATCGGTTTGTTGTTAATCCAAATCGGTCTTTTTCCTACATTCCTTAACGTAAACTCTCCGTTCCATCGCAACTTCAAATACGCCTGCACTCTCGAAATCTTCGCCGCGTTGCCCTCTTTGCTCAAATCCACGTCCACGGCGCTATCCGTCGCGCTCCTCCCAACCGTGGACTCTCTCTTCGTCAACGTAAACATCGTGTTCTGTCCGATAATTTTCGCGATTATGCCACTTCTCGTCATCGCTCGTGATGCTACCGTCGTCAAATCTTTCTCTAACTTTGCAATTTTATGAATGTTCCTCTCTTTCCTCTTCGACTCTTGTCGTTTCAAGGTTTCGTCCAACTGCGCTTTGGACGGTAAAGGATCGCAATCGGTGAGAATAAACAACTCCGCGTCTTTGAAAAAGTTCACCGCGGCGGCGTTATCCTCTTCATCCTCCTCCTCTCCTTCGCCAGAAATTAACCTCGGCACTTCTCCGCCCCTCCTCTTCTTCCAACTCGTCCTAAAGTCGTCGCCGACGTTCGCCTCTACTTTCGGCGCTTCCTTCTCCGCGTACTCTCTCAATCGCTTCGCCGCCTCGTACGTGCTCTTCTCGCCGAACAAAATCCCTCGCCATCTTTTCTCGATTTCCTCCAGCGCGTACTCTTTCGAAAAGTTCACGATTGGAACGTGCGTTTGTGTGTGTTTTCCACCTTTCGTCGTCGTACTCGTTCTCGCGAAAGGGGCTGCTAAACTTTCCAACGCGCACCCGTTTTCCACGCATTTGATCAAAAGAAAGTCGTCCGAGACTGGCCAATCCTCGAGGACGAAGATGATTTCTTCCTCTTTCTTTTCTTCCTCGTCCTCGTTCGTTGTTTTTTTCTCCTTCTCTTCTTCTTCTTCGTCTTTTTTCGCTTCTTCTTCTGCTCCCCCCTTTGCGTCGTTTCCGTCCTCCTTTTCCTTTTCCTCGAGTTTGTTCGTCTCCGGCGTCGGGAACTCTTGGGTTCGATCGAATTCCATTCGAGCTTTTTCGTTAAAGGTGTTTGCGTCGTTCGCGTTCTTAAAAGCACAGTTGGACGCGTTGTTATCGACACGTTCGTCGTCGTCGTTTTTGGTCGTCGTCGTCGTCGCCGCGAGTGGTGTTGCTGCGAGCGGTTTCTCGTCGTCGTCGTCGTCGTTTATATCGTCGTTCATGTTTCTTCTGTTGCTTTTGTGAATGGTTGTTGGTGCTTTTTTTTTGTGAAAAATGAAGAAAAAATCGAGAGAGAAAAAAGAAAAAGAAAAAGAACATTTGTTTTTGTAGGAGGGCATTTATAAGAACACAACTTTAGTATTTATGGGATACGGGGACCGCGTGAAGTCGTCGGCGATCCGTATCTACTTGAGCACGCACGAACTCGCCGGACCGGAGACGGCGTTGGTGCACGTAAATTTCGCTTGAAAAGCAGTCGCGTCGCGAAACATGTCAAGTTGCGCCGTCGTCGCCGCGAATCCGCTCCACGAGGAAATGTCGTGGTTGAACGCAGAAGCTTTATAAAACATATAATCCATTCTCGTCACTGACGACGTCGTCCAACTTCCAATGTCTTGGTTGAACGCAGAAGCTTCAGCAAACATTCCATTTATACGAGTCACTTGCGCTGTGTTCCAACTCCCAATGTCTTGGTTGAACGCATAAGCTTTATAAAACATATGATTCATATCAGTCACTTTCCCTGTATCCCACTTCGAAATATCGCCGTTGAATGTACTTTTACCACCAAATCCTTTATGTGCACTTCCAGTCCATCCACTCATATCCGTCACCAAACTCACGTCCCAATTCGGCATCGTTCCATACGGTTTTCCAGACGCCCACTCAGTGCACTCGCCAGTTACCGGCGCTTCCGCTAAGCAATCCGAGACAAACGCGTGCCAACTCGCGTCCGGGATGCACTTGGTACACGCGCACGAATTCGGTGGACCGGAGACGGCGTTGGTGCACGTAAATTTCGCTTGAAAAGCAGTCGCGTAGTTAAACATTTGTGTCATATCAGTCACCTGCGCTGTATTCCAATCCCCAATGTTTTGGTTGAACGCTGAAGCGTATTGAAAGATAGCTCTCATAGTCGTCACTTGCTCTGTATTCCAACTCCCAATGTCTTGGTTGAACACAGAAGCGACATGAAACATCCCCTGCATAGTCGTTACTTGCGCTGTGTTCCAACCCCCAATGTCTTGGTTGAACGCAGAAGCTTGATAAAACATAGAATACATAGAAGTCACTTTCCCTGTATCCCACTTCGAAATATCAGCGTTGAATGTACTTTTACCGCCAAAGCCTTCAAATGCACTTCCAGTCCATCCACTCATATCCGTCACCAAACTCACGTCCCAATTCGGCATCGCGCCGTGCGCGCCGTATTTGTCCCACGAAGTGCACAAACCATCCATCGGCGCAATCGCTAAACACTCTGCGACGTACGCGTGCCAGTTTGCATCGAGAATCGGTTCCGGCAACGTGCACGTATTCGCCGGGCCGTCGTTCGCGTTCGCACACGCGAATTTCGTTCGAAACGAAGTCGCCGCATAAAACATGTCGGTTTGCGCCGTCGTGGACGCGACACCGGTCCACGCAGAAACGTCTTGGTCGAATGAAGAACACTCGTAAAACATCCGTTCCATGCTCGTCACTTGAGAGACGTCCCAGTTTGTAATGTCTTGGTTAAACGAGGCGACAGATTCAAACATTGCGTACATGTCCGTGACTTTGGACGTGTCCCAACTCCCGATAGGTTGGTTAAACGCCAAAGATTTATAAAACATGCTATCCATATTCATCACGTGAGAAACGTCCCAATTTGAGATGCCGTCGCCAATAAACGATGCGGCGTCGTAAAACATAGATTCCATGGATTTCACGCGCGACGTGTCCCATTTCGAAAGATCGCCTCGGAAATCTGTTTGATTGTAGAACCCCATGTAACCTCTTTCCGAGGAGTATTTTTTACCCATATCCGTCACCAATCCGGTATCCCAATTCGGCATCGTCCCGTACGTCCCTACTTTATCCCAACTCATGCATTCGCCGTATTTTGGTTCAAGTTCTAAGCATTCCGAGACAAACGCGTGCCAACTCGCGTCCGGGATGCAATCGGTACACGCGCACGAACTCAGTGGACCGGTGACGGCGTTGGTGCACGCGAATTTCGCTTGAAAAGCAGTCGCGTAGTTAAAGATGCCACCCTGCGCCGTCGTCGCCGCCAAACCAGTCCAGATGGAAATATCGTAGTTGAATGTATTCGCTTTGTAAAACATATTAGTCATAGAGGTTACTTGCGACGTGTTCCAGTTTCCAATCGGCTGATTAAATGCGTAATCTTCGTAAAACATTTCTTGCATAGACGTCACCGACGACGTGTCCCAGTTTCCAATCGGCTGATTAAACTTATACGCGTGACGAAACATTCGGTACATGTTCGTCACCTGCGACGTATCCCAGGTCCCGATCGGTTGGTCGAACACTTTCGCGAGATAAAACATTTGATCCAAGCTGGTTACTTTGGACGTGTCCCAATTTCCAATATTTTGGTTGAAAGCATACGAGTAATAAAACATGAGTATCATATCAGTCACTTGCGACGTGTCCCAATTTCCAATATTTCTATTGAACGATATAGACCCTCGGAACATTTGGTACATGTTTGTTACTTGCGAAGTGTCCCAATCGGAAATATCGCCGTTGAAATATCGTATATTTCCGGTGTCGTGTTTCGTCCCGAAGCCTTGACCCTCTGTCCCCCATCCGCTCATATCCGTCACCAAACTCGTGTTCCAGTCGGATATGACGCCGTGATTGGTTTTTGATCCCCAACTCGTGCACGCGCCGTTATAATTCTCACCTAAACAGCGATAGACTGCAGAATGCCACCCGTCGGCAGGGATAGGAGTCACAGTCTCGTACCACTGCTCGGTCCAATCGGGGTCGACGGTCGTGCACGTCGACGGATCGACAGAAAGCTTCGCAGAATTTGTGCACGTGTATTTCGCCTGAAACGCTTTCGCGTACGCAAAAATGTTGGAAAAACTGGTGACTTGCGACGTGTCCCAACCACTGATGTTTTGATTAAACGCGTAATCTTCGTAAAACATTTCTTGCATAGACGTCACCGACGACGTGTCCCAGTTTCCAATCGGCTGATTAAACGTATACGCGTGACGAAACATTCGGTACATGTTCGTCACCTGCGACGTATCCCAGGTCCCGATCGGTTGGTCGAACACTTTCGCGAGATAAAACATTTGATCCAAGCTGGTTACTTTGGACGTGTCCCAATTTCCAATATTTTGGTTGAAAGCATACGAGTAATAAAACATGAGTATCATATCAGTCACTTGCGACGTGTCCCAATTTCCAATATTTCTATTGAACGATATAGACCCTCGGAACATTTGGTACATGTTTGTTACTTGCGAAGTGTCCCAATCGGAAATATCGCCGTTGAAATATCGTATATTTCCGGTGTCGTGTTTCGTCCCGAAGCCTTGATACGTTGTCCCATATCCGCTCATATCCGTCACCAAACTCGTGTTCCAGTCGGATATGACGCCGTGATTGGTTTTTGATCCCCAAGTCGTGCACGCGCCGTTATAATTCTCACCTAAACAGCGATAGACTGCAGAATGCCACCCGTCGGCAGGGATAGGAGTCACAGTCTCGTACCACTGCTCGGTCCAATCGGGGTCGACGGTCGTGCACGTCGACGGATCGACAGAAAGCTTCGCAGAATTTGTGCACGTGTATTTCGCCTGAAACGCTTTCGCGTACGCAAAAATGTTGGAAAAACTGGTGACTTGCGACGTGTCCCAACCACTGATGTTTTGATTAAATGCGTAATCTTCGTAAAACATTTCTTGCATAGACGTCACCGACGACGTGTCCCAGTTTCCAATCGGCTGATTAAACGTATACGCGTGACGAAAGATTTGGTACATGTTCGTCACCTGCGACGTATCCCAGGTCCCGATCGGTTGGTCGAACACTTTCGCGAGATAAAACATTCTATCCAAGCTGGTTACTTTGGACGTGTCCCAATTTCCAATATTTTGGTTGAAAGCATACGAGTAATAAAACATGAGTATCATATCAGTCACTTGCGACGTGTTCCAATTTCCAATGTCTCCATTAAACGATATACAACCTCGAAACATTTGTTACATATTTGTTACTTGCGAAGTGTCCCAATCGGAAATATCGCCGTTGAAATATCGTATGTTTCCGGTGTCGTGTCTCGTCCCGAAGCCTTGATACGTTGTCCCATATCCGCTCATATCCGTCACCAAACTCGTGTTCCAGTTGGGCATCGTTCGATAATTGTTCTTCGAAGCCCACGTTTTACAATCTCCGTGAGTGTGCTCACTTAGACACTGAACGACAAACGCGTGCCAACTGGCGTCCGGAATTGGGTCGCCCCCGACGCACGAGTTTACGGGACCGTCAGTCGCCGACGCGCACGAAAACCTGGCTTGAAACGCAGTCGCCGAGTTGAATACATCATCTTGCGTCGTCGTCGCCGCCGTCCCCGTCCACGAAGAAATGTCTCGATTAAACGCAGAAGCAGCGTAAAACATGTTCGCCATGTTCGTTACTCCTGAAACGTCCCAATTTGCGATGTTTTTATTAAACGCAGAGGCAGAATGAAACATTTGATACATGTCCGTGACCTGCGACACGTCCCAACTTCCAACGTCTTGATTAAAGTCGAACCCTTTATAAAACATAGCGCGCATGCTCGTCACTTGCGAAGTGTTCCATTTAGAAATATCGCCGTTGAAGCGTGAAAACGAAGACTTCTTTCCGAACCCGAAATAATCATCCGAGCCGCTCATATCCGTCACTAAACTCGTATCCCAGTTTGGCATCGTCCCGTAGTTATTTCCCAATGACCACGTCGTGCACTCGCCAGTTACTTCCGCGACATCCTCCGCTAAACATTCTGCGATGAAAATGTACCACATCGCATTCGGTATCGGGTCTGGTATGAGCACGCAAGAACTCGGAGGTCCATTAGTTGCGCTCGCGCACACGAATCTTTTCAAGAACGCCGTCGCGTCGCTGAACATGTGTTCCGTATCCGTCACTTTTGATGCTTCCCACTTTTTTATATTCTTTTCAAACGCGACGGCTTGTGCAAACATTCCAAACATACTTGTCACTTGCGAAGTATCCCAATTCCAGAGGTTTTGATTAAACGCGGAAGCTTGATTGAACATCCCACGCATATTCGCAACTTTTGAGACGTCCCATTTAGATACGTCTTGGTCGAAAGAAGAAGCTTGGTAAAACATGTTCTCCATGCTTGTTACTCCCGAAGTGTCCCATCTCGATACGTCCGCGTTGAACGATGTTTGAGTTGCAAATCCTCGGTAGACTGTCCCGTCGTAGCCGCTCATATCCGTAACTAAACTCGTGTTCCAATAACGCATGGTGCCGAAATTTTTCGTCGACGCCCACGTCGCGCACTCTCCATCTATCGGCGATTCCGCTAAACACTCGCTCACAAAAGTAAAAAAGCTCGCGTCATCCGGGATGGCGTGACGTATTCTGAACCAAATTTGATGTAAAGTGGTCGCCGAGTACGCGGTCGTGGTTGTATAGGAAGCGTCGTCGCATTCCCACCGCGACGCGCTCGCGCCGGCGCCGATGCTCCAGTAATACGCGTCCGATTTATAAAACGGAGTTTCCGTGAAATCTTTCGCATCATCGACAGAATCGATTTCGTCTGGCAAAAAACCCGTGTGTCCATCGTGTTTTCTCGTCGCATTTTCTGTCCAGTGTGATACCATATTACCAGACGTCGAACCGCTCACGATTGCGGACTTGATCCACTCGCTCGTGAGCGAGAAATGCACGACGCGATTGTGATTCGAGCTCGTGCAAAAAAAACGAACAGAATCAACGTCGTTTGCCGTTAACGACAAATCGTTCAACCACGCGTGCGAATACCCTTCGTTCGGCGACATCGGTGGCGTTCCCGATACGAGCGCTTCATTCTCGCCGCCGACGTGCTTATACGCGAGTAACAAAATCCACCCGGTTGAGTCTTGCAACAACTCTTTGCCGTTGATGTCGATAACAGCAGCGGGTGGCGGCGACGGACTCGGAGGCGGACTCGGAGGAGGAAACGGTGAGCGGAATACGTACACTTTGCCCGCATTGGTCGCTTTATCGTCATTCGAAGTAGCTCCAATAAGAGCGGTATCGCCGTATAACGATACCGAAGTACCGGTATCGTCATTAGCGGACGCGTCAATCTTCGTCTCTTCATTCCAAGAAACAGTGTTGATTCCATCCGATCCATATGATCGCGTAAAAATGTACACCGCACCGGTATTAACAGTAATGAGAGCGGTATCGCCGTGTAACGATATCGCCTTGCCGAATTGGTTACCAGTCGCCCCGTCTGAAGCGTAAAGCATCGTCTCTTCAGTCCAAGAAACGGTAACTCCGTCCGATGCGAGTGATCGCGCGAACACGTATACTGCACCTGCATTCAACTCTGGATCATCCTCATAACTCCCCACCATTGCGGTATCTCCGTGCAAAGAAACGCTATTGCCAAAGTTACCCCAGGAAGACGTGGATGGGTTGGACGCGTACAGTTTTGTCTGTTGCGTCCACGTCGTCGTCGTTCGAGAAAAGACGTAAACGGATCCCGCGTTGGTGCCTTTATCATCGTCCGATATCGCTCCAATCAACGCCGTGTCTTTATGAAGTGAGACTGACGTACCGAAATGGTCGTAGGTAGCTGCGTCGGACGCGTACAATTTCGTCTCTTGAGTCCATGATGTCGAACTGACTTTTGTAAAGAAGTACACCGCGCCGGCTTCGGTACCCTTAGCATTATCGTACGACCTTCCAATCAGAGCTGTGTCGACATATAACGAAACGGAAGTTCCGAAATACGTCGATGCAGACGGATCCAATGGATATATTTTCGTTTCTTCGTTCCACGATCCACCCGATCGCATAAACACATACACCGAACCACTTCCACCACCTTGGTCGTCATCTTTCCAAGCTCCAATTAACGCAGTATCGCCGTAAAGCGATACACTCCTCCCAAAACTATCGCCGGCGACTGCGTCGCTCGCGTAAATCGTCGCACCCGTATCCTCGAGCATATTCGTCAAAAATATTGGCGGATTCGGGGGCGGATTCGGCGACGGTGGTGGACTCGGCGGCGGCGGATTCGGCGGCGGACTCGGCGGTTGATACACTTCGGATTGTTTCGCCTTCACTGCCAAACACATCATTTTCACTGCAGCAAGTTCCTCCATCAGGAGCTTGTTTTTAGCAACGAGCTCGTCCATTTCTTCATCCTGCTCTGCAATCTTTCTCCCCACTTCAATTTCTTCGCCGTCCAACAGCGTCATGAAAAATTTCTTCTTCACGGTCAAACTGCCGTAAAACTCGGTATCGTGCGCGAAGATGACCAAATTCTTTTGGCACAAATTCGTTTGCCGCCACTTCGGCACGTTCGAGACGCACTGCGACGACGCTTTCGCGCTACCGTCGTCATCAACTTCGGCGGCGGAAACGCCGCCGCCGCCAAAGCTCGTCCCGAAAATAAAGGCGACAAACGCGAACGCGAAAAGTATCCGCTTCCTAAACGAGAGACGCACTGCCAGTGGTACCATCTTCCTCGTCCTTTCCGTCGTTCTTCTTCTTCTTCTTCTTCGTTGTTGATGATGATGTTGTTGTTGTTCTCCAGCGAATGAGGAGGAGCGCTTCATTTTTTTTTTCATTTTTGTCCGTTTGTGTGTGTGTTTGCTGTCTCTGACTCGTCGTTTTCCGTCGTCTTCTTCGATGATTCGATGAAGATTTTCGTTTTCTCTTTCTCGCTTTGCGTCTTCGTTTACGTTTACGTCGTCTGCGTCTTCGTCGAGATCAGAGCGTCTCGTCTTTGTTGTTTTCGCCGATCTCGCGTCGTATTGGTTTTGGTGGTTGTTCAAAAAGTAAACGTCGTCTCTCTCCGATGTTTGCTCGTCGTTTCGGAACGAAAGAAAACCTCGAAGAATTAAAAGGAAGAGAAGGAGAACGAAGGAGATCGATGATCGCGAAAACGAGCACTGCTCCTCTTACTACTCGAGAGATCTGCTCCTTCTCCTTTTAAATCGCTGCCGATTTAAGATGATGGTACGATGCGCGAGCGAGCTCGTTTGTTCGTTCGCGGCATGCGTGTGTTTGCGGAATGAGACGCGTTTCTATATAATTTCTCAAACTCCAATTTTTCGACTTTTTATTTGAACGAAAAGGTCAAGATAAATTTTAGGTTTTTTAAAATACTGGTAGATACAAGACCTCGATTTTTTTCTCTGCTGCGCTCTGTTGACGCATCATCGTGCACGGATGATGAATAATAATAATATAATTAACAGAAAACGAACATGTCGTTGTCTTTCTTATCCACCTCTTTGGTTTCTTGAATCATTTTCTTGCCTCTTTTCGTACCGCAGACGCGTTCAATCTTCAAAGCGTCTAAGCGCGTGAAGAGAGCGTGAGCGGTTTTGTTACCGCTCACTCCTGCTCCTCTTCCTCCTCCTCTGAATTGGTTTTTGGTGTTGCTCTGGTGGTTTCTGGTTGGCGATGGGTTCTTCATGAACGAACACACTTCCGCGTAAAATTGCGGGTTTTCCGGCAACGAGTAGAAGAAGACTGAGTTGACGCCTCGGATGTTGCGTCTTTGGTAGAAGTAGGCGCGTTCGGAGAGGAGCAAACATCGCTTCCGGCCGTCAGCGAATAACGTTCGCGCTCGAGCGGCTTCGGCGATGTCGGTGTATTCGCTGTTGATGGCGAAGGAAACTTCTCGATCGACGAGGAGGTTTCGCACGCGGACAAACTCAAAGTAAGTGGCGCAGAAGATGAGTTGGCCTTGGTCTGGGTTTTCGCGGATGCGAGGAAGAACGACTTTGGCGAAGTGGCGGAAACGAATATCGTCCGCGTCTTGGATGTTTTTCTTGGAAACGCGAACGAGCTCAAACTCTTGTCTGGAGATGAGGTTGGGTAAAGTCGCGGATTCGTTTTTCCGTAGATTCCTCGGATCGTCCGGAGAGGCGACTAATCCTAGCACGCCTTTCTCTTTCGTCGCGCGCAAACGAAATTTACCCTCGACGTTTGCGCATAACGCTCCGTTAAACGTCGCGTTAATTTCTGCGGTTTCGAATTGCGACAGAAATATTGTCTGTCGCGCGCTAGCGGCGGCACCGTTCAGGTGAAACTCGTGACATCGATTCACGTCCACGTCTTTGGCATCTTTCGGTAACTGGTTGCACTTTTCTAAAACCGTTTCCAGATGTTCCCAATTTTGCATGGCGACGACGTCGCATCGGTCGACGATGACGAGCTCAATAGCAGAAAGGAAATCAGCGGCGCTTATATCGTCATTCATTGCGGTGACAATGCCGAGAGGTGAAGCGAAGACGATATCGGCGCCGAAAAAATCAACGAATGGACGCACGGCTGCTTTCGTGATTTTCACACCCAATCGAAAATGATCGTCCTGATTCCCTCGAAACAGTTCTTTATACTCCAAAGGCACGTGCGTTTTGTATTTCTTCTTCTTCTTGGTCACTTTGTTTATTTTCTTTTGCATTTTCTTCTTCCTTCGCTTCAACTCTTCGTCGTCTTCTTCGTCGCTCGCGTCCTCGTCCGAGGACGTTTCGTCGGACGAGTAACCGGCGAGGAAGTCATTCTCTAGACGTTCGAGTTTGTTCACCGCGTCGGCTCGACCGTGCGCGTTCGGACATAATTTCAAAAAGCGCATGATTGCGCGACCGCACACGTTTCGCATCGGCGAGAGGAATAAAACCGTCGGTCTCGCAAAACCTTGATCTCTTGGCGTGTCGTCGATGGAAATCTCTTGACCAGCTTTCACTTTCTTGGCTAACTTCTCGTTATTCTTACTCACGCGGTTTCGCGTTCGATGAATGTGCGTCATCGCGTGGATGAGTATCGCGTCAAGTTCGTCGTCTTTTTGGTTTCGCCAACGAAGAGTGGAGTCTTCTTTATTTTTTTTCTGCGACAAATGCGATATATCCGGAATGCGTCTGGTGTGCGAGATATCAGCGTACGTGCTCACCAAGTGATATAACTCCGCCTGCGCTCGATTTTTGAAACACGACGGATTCTTGTTCTCTTCATCTTCATCATCATCATTTTCTTGTTTTTCTTCTTCGTCTCGAATCTCGTTCGCCCGAACGATTTTCCAGTGTTCGCGGATTTTTAACGGAATGTCGCCAGGAAGTGCCAATGGATCTTCTTCTTCTTCTTCTTCTTCTTCTTCTTCTTCTTCTTCTTCTTCTTCTTCTTCTTCTTCTTCTTCTTCTTCGTCGTCGCTGTTTTTGTTCTTTTCGTTCTTTTTCTTTGCCTTTTTCATCGTCTTCTTCTTCTTCTTCTTCTTTGGGGCGAAATACGCCTCATCTTTAAACGCCATCGGTAAAGTCGTCACGTTCTCGCTCATTTCCCATCGCGCGTTACTGTTATTGCTCTCGTCATTTTTCTCATCTCCACTGCAGTTGTCCTTATTGTTAAATATCGATGTAAACGTCACCCTCTTCTCCCTCCTTTCCGCCAAAGTCTCCTCGTCTTCGTTTTGACATTTTTTCAAATGCAACGTCAACGCGTTATCTCTGTCTTCATTTTCAACGTCGTTCGCGCGTAAAGATCTCATCTTCTTCGTTTCCATCATCTTTTCTGCGTCACTCATCATTGCTTTTTCTTCTACTTCTTCTTCTTCTTCTTCTAACTCTGCATCGCTCGACGATACGTCCGATACGTCGTCCTGCGGTCCCATCCGGTCGAACCGTTTTTGCCTCTCGTCCGGGATCGGTTCCCACTCGAGCACTTTGCTCACATCGTCGATATCTTCCCCGTCTTCGTCTAATAATTCTCGCGCTTCTGATTCTTCTGATTCTGATTCTGATTCTTCGTCGTCGGAATCATCGTCCTCGTCTTCTTCGTCCTCGCCGTCGTCACCCGAATCGGAATTCTCATCGTCTTCGTCTTCATCACTTTCGCTTTTCCCGTCGTTACGGTTCCTTTTCTTTCCGATCATGTGAAAAAGCGCTCGGTGTGCGTCACCTTCAAACTTCGTTCGGACGATATCTTCGATCTTCTTTTCCTCCTCTTTCTCTTCTTCTTCTGATTCTTCTTCTTCTTCTTCTTCTTCGTTTGAAGAAGAATCGTCGCGTTTTCGACGGCGCTTCGCCTTCCCGGCTGCCGATCGAGGCATGGTGGTCGCCGTCTTTTGAGGACAAAAAGTGCCACATTTTCGCCGTCATTCTGCGGAGAAAAACAAGCGCAAACAACAACAACCTCTGCGTAAAAACGACGAGATGAAAACGACGACGACGAGTGCGACGACGAGAATTCCTCGAAACGGACGCCGTATTTTTCGCTCTCGTCGTCCTCGCGTGGGGGGTGTTTTGGTGGTGAAAAACAAATCACAATCCGGGGAAGCCGCCGAAAACGCCCCCAAAGCATCCGGAGTGGACCGAAGTTTAAACCCTCGCGTGCGAGACCTGAACGAGTCGAAAACAGTCGCTCTGACGGATTTAGCGAGAACGCTGAAAGAGCGAGGCGAAGACGTCATCGGCTTAGCGGCTGGGGAACCGGATTTTGAGACGCCGGACGTGTGCGCGAAAGCAGGCATCAGAGCGATTGAGTGTGGGAAGACGAAGTATTCGCCGAATCCGGGGACGGTACCGTTACGCGCGGCGATATGCGAGAAATTGAAACGAGAGAACGGGGTGGAGTACAAGCCGAATGAGATTGTGATTTCAAACGGGGCGAAGCAAAGCGTGACGCAAGCGGTGTTGACGTGTTGCGGCCCGGGAGACGAAGTCATCGTGCCGGCGCCGTATTGGGTGAGTTATCCGGAAATGGTCACGTTATCTGGAGCGGAGAAAGTCATCTTGAAGACGGACATTAAGAGCAATTTTTTAATCACGCCGGAACAGTTGGAAAAAGCAATCACGCCGAAATCGAGAATGTTGATTTTGTGTTCGCCGTCCAATCCGAGCGGAGCGGTGTATTCCAGAGAGACGCTGGAGAAGATTTGTGAGATTGTGACGAAACATCCGAGGCTGTTAGTTTTGTGGGACGAGATTTACGAACACATAATTTACGCCCCGAACGAACACGTCTCCGCGGCGTCGTTTCCGAACATGTGGGAAAGAACGATAGTGGTGAATGGATTCTCGAAGTCGTTCGCGATGACGGGGTGGAGGTTAGGGTATAGCGCGGCGCCGGAATACTTTTCGAAAGCGTTCAACATGTTGCAATCGCAATTGACGTCAGGTCCGAGCTCGATTGCACAGGAAGCTGCTTTAGCCGGGTACGTAGAATTGGGCGACAAAGGCGGCGCGCCCGTGGAACTCATGCGTAAAAAGTTTCAAGAGCGAAGAGATTACGTGATTGAGCGATTGCGCAAAATCGACGGCGTAGCGATTGAGACGCCCGGAGGTGCTTTTTATGCCTTTCCCGACGTCACGAAACTTTGCGGCGGCGATAAGGGCGGATTTGTCGAAGGGTTCGGCCCGGTCAAAGGCTCGGACGAGATGTGTAGGTATTTATTGCAAGAGGCGAGGGTAGCGTTAGTTCCGGGGAGCGCGTTTGGCGTGGACGAGTGCATAAGAATATCGTACGCGGCGAGCGACGAGACTTTGGAGAAGGCGCTGGATAGAATAACGCAAGCGTTAGATCCGAAAAAGTTTAAAAGGAGCGGTAGTTGGTAGCGAAACAGTGCTTTTTTTCTCAGAATAGTGCACACGCGTCATAGTTTAGCAAGGATGAGAAGGAATTTTTATTCTTCGCGCGTCGTGTGTTTTGCGCTCGCGCTCGCGTTTAAAATACAGCATTTTTAAACATCTTCTTCTCAAAACTAATCGCTTCTCTCTCGCATTAATATAAACTTGCTCCCTTTCTGTCCGACGCTGACTCTTAACTCTTCATCCAAATACGTCGTTTGAAACCACCCTTTCGTTTGTCCCGGCCTCACGCTTTCGATGAAATCAAACGGAACGGGATACGGCAACTTCAACTCCCCTCGATTGACGTCAAAATACCCGTTCGAAAATCGGTAAAAAAAGGATTGCTCGTCTCTCACGCCTTCAATGTTTGCTTCGATGATCAGCTCCACGTCTTTCCTTTCGCCGTTGAACTCAAACGTAAATTTGGCCACGTTTTGCCACTTCGCGTTCGGCGCCTCCTTCGGATCTTCCAACACCTGATACACGTTCTCCACCGTCGACGTGTTCCCCAACACCAGCGATTGCACTGGACTCGGACCTTTCTCGAACAAATATCTCTGCCAACTCTTCACGTCGAAAAATTCAACCACGTCCACGTCTTCTTTATACGTGCAAAGCAGTTTCCATCGCCCGCAGAGCAACTCGGTTCGCTCGATCGTGTTCTCGTCAACCATCGTTTGCTCCAACCGAGCGACGACCGATTGGAGTTTCGTTTTATCCAAACCTTTCGCCAGCCGTTTTTTGCGTTGTCGTTGGTTCCTTTCGTCGTCGTTTCTCTCGTCGTTCGAGGAAGAGGACGAGGAGGCGATCCCGAACACGTCGAACAGTTCTCTCTTGAGCATTTCTTTCGTCACGTCGTCCGACTTTGCACTCGAGGAGGAGGCGGACGCGTGCGAATTCGCGCGAGAACGATTTGTCCTCCTCGCACAATTTCGCTCTCCGCGTACCTTACGCGAAGTTTTGCACGAAAACCTCGGATCGACGAGCACATCACAGAGGACGGAAGTGTTGGTTGTCATTGTAAAAGTGCGGACGTTTTCCCCTAAAATCTCCATTTCAATCCGCGGTTAAGAAGAAGTGAAGAAGTGAAGAAGTCAAGAAGACGAAGAGGAGCGGGATACGCGCGACTCCTTTCTCTCTCTCTCTCTCTCTCTCTCGAAAGGCAGTTTGGTGGTGGTCGTTTGCGCTTTGCGAGACGCGCGAGAGAAAGATCGAGTGAAAGAGAAAGCAGTTGTTTCCCTAACGAACAGAAAGCGCTTCTCGGTATAAAGTTACAGAACGTCGCGTTCGTGTTCGCGACTTTTGAAGAAACGAAGACATACGGAAGAGAGAAGCGAAGAGCACGAGAAAGAACGTTTCTGAAAATGTCCACACTTGGGCCTCGACTGCACGCGATCGCGCTGAAAGCTTTAGAGTTCCCGCGAATTCTCTCCCCAAGCTTTACGAAAGATGTGTGCGTGGCCTCGGTGTACAATTCCGAGACATCGAGAGAGTATCGAGAGCTCGTCTTGTGGCTGGAAAATACCAAAATACGCAAACTCAAACGCGAGGGAGGGGAGAGAGAAAAATTGCTCAGCGAGACTCTGGAGGACGAGGCGTGGTCGAAAAATTACGAGGCGTATTTGAAGGCGTGCGAATGCGACGAGACGCACTTGAGGTGCGCGGAGAGTAAGATTGATTTTTTAATCAACTTGGCGTTAGCGGAGGAGTATCGGGATAGATTTGATATCGCGGAGGAGGAGGAGGAAAAGGAGGAGGAGGAGGAGGAGGGAGAGGATGCTGCTGCTGATGATAATGAGCGAGAACAAGAGAGAGCGAGAACGCCGACGGAGAAGATGCGAGGGATGGGGATCGATAAAGACGATGGTGGTGAAAATACGAGAGAGGATGTGATGATAGACGCAAACGTAGAGAACGTCGGGAGCGCGGAAAAGAGGACGAAAGTGGAAAACGAGAAAGGCTTCGCGTATTCCCGGTTTAAACCGAAAGAAGGAGAAACCGAAGGCGAAGGGAAAGGGAGAAGAACGGACGCGGTTTTGCCGTTAGACTCTCCGCTCTTGGCGGATTTACGAGACGTTCAAGATGTTATGGACGATGAAGAGACGTACGATGCGTTGATGAAAGTTTTGAATACGTTTGATGTCGTTCCTGCGTTTGAAACGAACCGACCGACGGTGGACGCGCGGCTCGTTCGATTAGCGACGAAGACTCTGGAGAGATTCGTGGTACCGTTCCAAGAAGAAGAAGTTGAGGAGGAGAAGGAGGAGGAGGCAGAGAACGACGATATGGAGAACGATGAGCCATCCTGGAAACTGGATTTGAAACTGAGCGACGAGGACTACGTTTTGCGCGATTCGGGAGTTCCCATGAAAAATCCAAAAGTCAAGCGAATGGTGGACGCTTTGCGCGTGCTTTACGTGAACCAACTGAGAGTCACGCAAGACTGCGCCGACGACATTTTGCTTCAAGTGCAATCGAGAGTCGCTGATCCTCGAACCGATGCGAAACAAGGCAGAGTCGGTCGATAAGAAAACAACAACGGTGATATATATGATGTACAAAATAGCTCTGCTGCTAAACTGCCGCATACGCAGAGAAATCGAGAAGGAAAATTTCACATAGCCAATAATATACATAGCCAAAAGCATAGCCTATTACACTATAAAATTACAACCTTCCGCTAATACTTTCCGCATGAGCGCTCTGCCTTTCCGGCTTTCTTTTCGATTCATGACTAAATTCAACAACGGATTCTTCTCGTCTACTTTCACGGTTTCAAATCCGAAACGTTCGTACACCCGCACCGCTTTCCCGTCCGCCTCTCTGACGTGCAACCACACGTCACACCCACCAACGCTCGGCACAAACTCTCCTATCGCTTCCAACATCGCCTTCGCCACGCCTTTGTTCCGATGTCGCGAAGAGACCGCCATGTTGCACACGTACGGCGCGTCCGAGGGCGGCGGGTTCGGATCGTCCACGATTCTCGAGCGCACGTCTAAAGCTACCGAGACTAAAGATATCACCTCATCTTCCGTTATTTCTTTCGTTTCTCCGTTTTTAATCGTCGTCGTCACGCCGACAAAACACACCTCGTACGGGTTATTCTTTTTGTTCTTTTTGTCATCATCATCATCATCATCATCCACAACGCACGCTTCCAATAAATATCTCAACACGAAACTTCTCGGCTTCTCGTCCGGAGACCCGCTGAAGCTCTCCTGAAAGACTTTCGCGGCGGCAGAAACGTCTTTCTCTCGTATCGCGCGCACGACGATGCTTGTTTCTTCTTCTTCTTCTTCTTCTTCGTTGTCCTCCTTCTTCTTCGCGAGCGTAAACGACCGACGAAAATCTCGAGCGATGTTTTCGATGATGATTTTGTCTCTCTCGACGACGTTTACGACGGGTGGTGTTGCTTCTGTTTTCGCTTCATTCGAGGAGGAAGAGGAAAAGGAGGAAAAGGAGCGAGAGGATATCCTCCTCCTCCTCCTCCTCCTGGTGTGAAAAGGCAAATGCGCTTTCGCGCGCTCGATCGCGTTCACGCTTTTACAAGCGGAGGCAACACCTTTGAGAGGCTCGACCATGTGTGATGATGGAGAGGAAAAAAAACTGTTCGCGCACTGATTTTGAGGAAAAGAAGACATCGAAAGAGAGCGAAAGAAAGAGACCAAAAATGGTCAAAAATTGCACACAAAAGCAAAAAAAAAGAAAAAAGAAAGAAAAAAAGAGCAGACCTTTTCCTTTTGCATTCGTCTGCACAAGAAACACACAAAGAGAGAGAGAGAGAGAGAAAGCACTAGTGTACGAGAGAAAAAAAAGATGATGCGCGAGAACATCATCAATAAAGACAACAACAAACAGATGACGACGAGAGAACGGCAGCACATCGAGGTGGCGAAGTTAGAGGCGGAGTTGAACGCGCTGAAAGTGGACGCGTTCGCGAAGGTGCGTCGTTGTTGTTTTTTCTTCTTCTTACGTTGGTTGTGCGTTTTGAATCATCGTGACGATGAGATCTCGTCGCGCTCGATCCGCGCGTTGTCTTCTCGGTTTTCAGCGGCAACAACGGACCGCCAAAAACCCAAACGCGTTTACTTCTACACGCGCTGCTGATGAATAATAACTCACCTTTCTAAACTCTCTCTCTTCTTCTCTCTTTTATTATATATAATACTATACGCGCAACAACGAACGATGCAAAACGCACACATACATACAATATAGCCTGGAAACCTGTCACCAATTCTGGAAAAAATGCTCGTTCTTGAAAAATCCTACCGATTGTCGGCTGATTTCGTCGCCACGCCTCGCTTATGCGTGGCTATTCTCGCGGTGTTGAGACAAGCGAACGACTGGCAAGGGATTTGCGAACACGTTATATTACTGTCGAAACGAAGAGCGCAGTTGAAACAAGCGATTGGGGCAGTCGTGAGGGAAGCGATGTCGTACATCGACGAGACGCCGGACGTGAAGACGAAGACGCAGTTGATCGAAACGTTGAACGAAGTCGCGTCGGGGAAGATTTTTGTGGAAGTGGAAAAGGCGAGATTGACGAGAATTTTAGCGCGTTTACACGAAGAAGCCGGGAGAATAAGCGAGGCGGCGAGCGTGATGCAAGAGGTGGCGATTGAAACGTACGGCGCGTTATCGAAGAGAGAGAAGGTGTTTTTTATCGAAGAGCAAATTCGTTTGTGCATGAAGAACGACGATTACGTGCGAGCGAGGATTTTAAGCAGAAAGATCAACGTGAGAAGTTTCGACGAGATTAAACGATTGGAAGAGAAAGAAGCGCTGAAGAAGAAGAAGAAACTGGAAGAAGAAGGCGGAATAGATGCGATGATGATGGACGAGGACGAGAAGAAACGCTTCGAGGAGGTTGAAAAAGAAGAGAAGAAGGAGAAAGAAAGCGCGGTTCAACACGCGAAAGGCGTGTTCGCGGAAACCGATCCGAGCGTTCCGGATTTACCGACGTTGCGTTTGAATTATCACAACTTGATGGTGCAATATTTCGAACGAGAGAAGGATTACTTGGAACAGTGTCGATGTTACAAGGCGATTTTAGAGTGCGAGTTGGTGAAGGAGGATAAATCAAAGTACGAGCCGGCGATGGAATCGTGCGCGTGGTTGGTCATTTTGAGCGAAAGAGACCCGATGCAACAAAGCTTACTCCACCAAACGCTGAACGACGATAGGTTAAAGGAAATGAAAACGTACGAAGAGTTGTTGAAGAAGTTCACGACGTACGAAATCATCCGATGGGACGAGTTGAGCGAAACGTACGCCGAGGAAATCACGAAACACTTTGCCGCCGGTCATAGCAATCAACAAAAACAAGAGGAAATGAACGTAAAAGCGGGTACGACGATGAAAGTAGACTCTAGCGCAGATGGGAAAGCCACGACGAAATTGGAAGACTTGCAATCGCGCGTGATTGAACACAACTTGTTCGTCGTCGCCAAGTATTACAACCGCATCTCTTTATCGAGACTTTCCGAACTGTTGTGCTTAACCGTGGACGAAGCCGAGACGCGCTTGTCGAAATCCGTCTGCTCGAAAAAAGTCCACGCGAAAATCGACCGACCGAACGGCATCGCCACCTTCAGAAAAGTCAACAACAACAGCACTTCCCCTGGGAACGAGAAAGACGGTTCTAACGCTTCTTCCTCCTCTGAAACCGCGCCGGACCAACTTCTCAACTCGTGGGTAAACAACGTCGACTCTTTGCTCGCGGCTTTAGATAAAGCCGGGAACTTGATCTACAAAGAAGCGATGACGCACAAAGTCTCTCTTCTCACTTTGGAAGCGTAGTAGTCGTTTTAGTAGCGAGAGGATAATAACTATATACTCTATATATATTCCATCGCGAATGAAGGAGACTCTCGCGCGATTCTTCTTTCTTAAAAAATCTCTCCTTCTCCGTTTGCTTTTTCTCACTCCATTCTCCTTCAACATCGACACAGAAAAAGGTCCGCGCTTTCAAAGTGACATTCAACGCAACGCGTCTCCTTTTCTCCTCTTCAAAACGACGACGTATACACGACGTATACACGACGACTTAACGATGTCCACGCGACAGCGCGCGTTATCCGCTCAACCGAAGACACCACACACTTTTGAAGACGACGAAGAAAAAGAGGAGGACGACGACAATATGAATACGAACGCGACTAATAATTGGTTACATCTCATCGACAACCGGAAAGACAGAGAGAAAATCATCCGTTTACAAAACGCGGACGACCCGTCGTTGCGAGCGATGTTCGAAGCGATACGCGTGACGATGAAAAAGAAGGACGAAAACATGGAACGCGCGGCTATGATTGGGTTCGAGAGAGGCGTGAGTTTTGGAGTCGCGGAAGGAGGTGGTGGGAAGACGAAGACGATTAAGAAGAAGAAGAAGAAGGAAAACGATTCAGACGAGGACGAAGAGTTTGCAATTTCAGAGGAGGACGGTTCTTCCGATTTTAAAGAAGAAGAAGAAGATTCCTCCTCGGACGAAAACGAAGACGAAAACGAAAACAGAAATAAGATCGAGCGAAGGTCGAAAGCTTCGAGCAGCGCGCCGGGTACGCTGCTCGTGAGCGATGATGATGATGATGAAGAGGATGACGGCGCCGAGGAAGTTAGGAGAGGTAGATATAAGAGTAACGCCGACGGCAAATTCGCGCGAATCGAGAAGAAGAGTAAATCGAACGAGGACGATGAAACGGCTTTGCGATGGGTGGTGGAGAGAAATAGTTGGAATAAAAACGAGGAGACGCACAAATCTGTTCTGAACGATTTAGAGGTGGTCGATTTGAGAAGGAAATTAGCAAACGCGGAGATTACTACGAATAACGCGATACTGAGCAAAATGTTAACCGCGTGGCGTTTAGCGTGCTTTACATCGAGAAGGAACGAGTCTGTGATGCAACGAATGCGCGTGGCGTCTGAACACAGGAAGATGCGCGCGGCGTTTCGTTCGTGGATGGACGCGTCGCTGGAGTTTAAAAGACGACGCGTGCTCGTCGGCGTCAGAGATGCCGATGGCGGCGATAGAAAGAAGAAAAAGAACGACGAAGAGGAGGAAGAAGAATTCGCGCCGGATTATAGCGAAGAGTGCGAACGATTGCAGCTCGAAGTAAAATCGTTGCGCGAAATGCTTGAACGAGAACGAACAAAACCGCTATCGGGACCAGGAGCAGAGTTCAAAGAGCAAGCGAACGCGTTCAACGCGCACTTGAAGAAAGTGGTGAGAGATTTAGAGGGGACGAGGAGTTTGAACGCGCAATTGACGCGTCGTTTGGAAATGAAGGAGAAGCAGGTGCAAGGGTACCGAGGCGGAGGCAACGAGTACACCGCCGACGCGATGAAACCCACGAATCGTGCAAATCAACGCACCATGGGTACACAAACGATGTTCGAGACGTATCCTGGAAGTCAAAACAACAACTCGAAATACCCGAAAGTTGTTTCGTTCAAGAACGAACGCGAGCAAAGCTTTGTGAAAGATTCCGCGCCGGGCAACAGATACGAGCACGTCAAAGCTGAAAACGAAAAATTACGCCAAGAACTCGAAAAACAAACGAAGGTTTTGCACGAAAAGTTCGAAATGCAACTGAGAGCGGCGGAAGTTGCGGAGCGCAAGTTGAATGACGAAAGACAGAGACGCGCGCGAGAAATTGAGTTGAGAGAAAAAGCGTCGAACGATTTGAAGAGAGAACACGAACGCGAGATGGCGGAGATGATTGAATCCTACGACGCGTTATACGGTGGTCGCAATAACAACAGCATCAGCAAGAACAATAAAGCGAACGATTCGAGCCTTAATAAGTATGCGAGCAAACCGAGCCCTCCGAAGAAAATGTCCTCCACGTCCTCGGTGATGAAGAAACGAAGAGACGAAATTGTCTCGAGTCTCCGTTCGCCGCGGGACCCTCGTGTGCGCGAGGATACCTATCGTAACAACGAATACATGCAGCAGCAGCAGCAACAACAACAACAACAAAACAACAACAGCGACAAGCTTTCCTCTATTTTGAATCCCAGGGAGCGCTCGTCGCCGTTATCTCCTGACAAGGATGACGCGATGACGTTTGAGAAGATGGCTTCGATTCGCGAGGATTACATCAAGCAACCGCACCATCGAACGACTGGTCGACCACAAAGAGAAAAGACATCGCCTCCACCAAACAATTTTGCCATGCTCAGACCTTCTTCCATGAATACGTTAGACTCGTACGGGGAAGAGGAAAGAAGAAGTAAGAATACGAACGCGGACGAGTACGAGGACGCGGACGATATGTTTTTATCTCCGACGAAGACGTTTTCGGAATCCGAGAATCAATCGTTTCGCGACGCTTCGTCGGCCTTAGGGACGCCGGCATCCTCGTCGGCGGCGAGAAGTACCGCTAAAGGATACTTCAAACGCGGTGGACCTAATGGAAGTAATAATACTAATCCTCCTCCTGCTTCTTCTTCTTCTGTTGCTGCGAATTCTTCTCCTCCTCAAAGCAAAGTTACGCCGAAAGGTTTCACGCCGAGAGGCGAACAGCTCACTTTGAGCGCGTTCAACGAATACGCGAATGCCGGGAAAAAGCAAAGTCGAACAATGGGAACGAGCATGCAAGAAGACAAATTCGACGATATCGTTGGAAATGACTACGATGATAAAGACGTCAACATCAAGAAATCGTCGAAAGGACGGGATTTGGTATCTTCTCTCCCGTCGCGTTTGTTCTCCGCGAGCTCGAACGAGATGAACAAATCAGCTTCTGAAGACGACGAGGACGACGACAGAGAAGAAGAAGAAGGAGAAGAAGTTGAAGAAGAAGAAGAAGACGATTGGGGTCTCGCCATTCCAAAGAAACCGCACCATCTCACCACCACCGGCGGCAAAAAGAACAACGCCATTACCAAAGACGAACTCGAACTCTCTCGATCCGATTGGGACGACTTGTTGGGTAAAAAGAACTCTCATCCAAAGGGCGACGGTACCACCGCCGCTTTCAGAGGTGCCCGCCGAGACTTACGATTCTCCGAGTCTCAACAAAGCGCACCGCCTGCGAAAACGAAAACCATGGTCGTCGCAGAACTGGTCGTCCAAGGATGGTCCAAAAACGAAGCGTTATTCGCGTTAGAGAAAGTCGGCGAAAACGACGTCAACAAGTGCGCCGAGTGGCTCATTCGACGCAATCATTAATTAGCGGTAAGTGTGTACATACTCACATCACGTGTGTGTATATAGATAGATTTGTGTAATATATTCTAGTATTTATAGACTTTAGCGCGGCAATAGTGCGAACGCAGTTGTTCTTTTCCTTTTCGTTTTGGCGCTGGCGTTTGTCTTTTCATTTTTCTCTCGTATTTCTGTTGTTGTTTTGGAGAAACAAATCATCACAAATTCAGAAGACGCACGCGCACGTCGTTAGAAGAAGTTTAGCAAAGATGATGATCAAAGTGAAAACCTTAACCGGCAAAGAGGTGGAACTCGACGTCGAAGTCTCCGATACCATCGTTCGAATCAAAGAGCGCATGGAAGAGAAGGAAGGCATTCCTCCGATACAACAGAGGTTGATTTTCGGCGGGAAGCAAATGCACGACGAGAAAACGGCGAAGGATTACAACATCGAAGGTGGAAGCGTGATTCACATGGTTTTGGCGCTCAGAGGTGGAGGATGTGTTTAGAAGAAGATCATATATGATCGCAGATAGTAGAAAATAGTATAAGAATAATAATAATATTAAAGCGAGAGACAAGAAGAGAAACGAGAAGAGAAACAACGAGGAGAGAAAGAGAGATTCAAATCTCAGTAAAGCAGAAGAGAGCAGAAAAGAGAAATTTTCAAGTGCCCATTTAAAAGTTTTCGTGTGAAAAGGTGACTTGAAATGGTGTGTTCGTTGACTCTTGGGCGGCGGAGTTGAACGCCGCCGACGAAAAGCGCGCTTCGGTTCTTTCTTTTTTTAAATTGCTACAAACTTACTTACAATCGTGTACGAATACCTAATATAATATGTATACTTAACTCTCTCTCATTCTCTCGTTGGCTACTTTTCTCTCTTTCTCTCTTCGTCGTCTTCGTCGCTCTTTCGCATATACCACGTCGATAGTAATTATCTGTGCAATCGAAAGAAAGTGCTTCTAAGAAACACCTCCTCCTCGCCGATATCCGGGTTTGCCATCACTCTCTCCATCTCTTTAATCGTCGCCGGCATGCACGAGATGTCCAACTGTACCTGGTACGCGTCCGGGTACCCTTTAATGTTGTACATGTTGTTTTGTAACCCGCGTTCCGTGACTTCAAACGAAGAGCCTTCGTCTTGGGCGACTAACGTGCGTAATTTATCCATTTGTACTTGTTTGATGGAATCTTCCACGTCCGGTCGCAACAAAACCATGCCTTCGTAGTTCTTCAGGGACGTCTTCTTCACGGACATGGCGGAGACGTTTAATTTCCCTCCCGTTTGTCTTCTGTTCGAGACAGACGAGGCACCTGTTGTGTTTTAACAGTATTCATATAAAGTAATACCGAAGAAGAAGAAGAATTGGTTCGTCAGCGGGTTTTCTCTCTCGTTTTTATCCAAAAAATCACTCGAATTCCTCCCTCGAAAACGGCGCGTTTGAACGCGTTTGAGATCGGATTTCGCTCGCGGAATTCGGCCAAAAGCGTCGAAAACACCGTTTAGCTTGCAATTCAAACGCGTTCTCTCATCTCTTCCCTTCGCATCTTACTCTCTCTCCCCTCATTTTCAGGAAATCATCATCGCGCGCCGGCGAAAAAACACTCTCTCAAATTAGTACGCGCATAAACAATAAAAAAACAAAACTTAAACTCTCGCGAAATTCGTACCTCTCGCGCTGCTCGCGATTCGAACGCCGTGAATGAAACTCGACGAGTTAGAAGTCGTCGTCGTTGCGTGCATCATTTTCAGATTTATTTATGTGCGTGTGTATTGTGTGTGTGTGTGTGTAGACTACGAAATGCCTTTTTTTTTCTGTTGTTTGTTCTTCAGGTTTTTTCCTTGTTTTTTGCTCTCTGGACGAACAATTTTTTTTTTTCGAGTTCGAGGGAAAAATTCGATCGTTCCTTTCGTTCCTTTGCAGAGAGGAAGAATGCATCACACCGAAAGAAGAAGACAAAGAAGACAAAGAAGACAAAGAATCGAAGAAGAGGAGCGCTGAGTCGTTTTGTTCTCGTTCCGTCTCCAGGCCTCTCTCTTCATCTCTCTCCGCAGGCGCTAAAAGAGAGAGAGAGTGGTGTTTTTTTTTCAAAGAGTAAAAGCTTCTTCCTCTCGCGAGATAAAAATTCATCGGGTTTCCTCTCGTCGTTGTCATCGTCATCATCATGGCGGCTTCTTCAACGTCGTCGTCGTTTACGTCGTCATTTTTCGCGCAAAACAGGAGCAGAGGAGGGAAAGGAAGCGCTTATTTCAGGGAAAGCATCGAAACTCGCACTTCTCAGACGACGACGACGACGAAGAAACAACAAAAGCGGAAAAAGAGGGTTGGGGTGGTTGTTCGGGCGGCGGCTGAAAAAGGTGCTTTTTTATGCAAAAGAAGAAAAAACGCACCGCCAGCGATGATACTAAGAACTGAAACAAATCACTTTAACAACCAATACCGCGGGAGAGGCGCGTTGCAAATCTTATGTGCGAAGAAAGGAAAAGGACCGCGAAATCTCCCGATGGATAGAGAATACATGTTCGACCCTCGAATTCCTCGGTTGAAGAAAGGGCACAAAGTCCGAACGACGGAAGATTTCGAGGAAAACCACAAGGCGTACTTCGACCAAGAACCCGGCGAAGTGCACGAGTTGATGTCGTACGAAAGGCCGCAGATGATTTTTCCGGAGTTGCCGCCGAAATTGACCGGCGGAGCCAGAGTGATTCCGCCCAGGGTGTTTAGCAAGTGGTTAGACCCGTTCATAATGGATTATTGGACCGTGCCGAGGATATTGAAGGCGCAAAGGATTTGGGATTTCGAGAAGGATTGTAAAGAGGTGGACGCGTTGTTGGAGAGGATCGATATCACCAAGAGGCGAACGAAGAAGAAGAATTACGAATTGTACGCGCCGGATTGGATGAAGGAACAAGACACGAAACTGTTAGATATGTTGAAGAAAAATAAAGGGTTCGAGAAGATGTTGAAATCGGAGAAGAGACGGTTGTTGGCGAAATTTAGAGCGCAAGAGAGGACGTATCCGGAACGGTTTCAATCCGAAATGAAATGGGGGAAACGATTGTGGATGCGAAAGTTTCCGGATTGGTTGGATCAGGCGGAAAAACCGGAGTACATCGAAGAGCTCATCGATTACTCGCAATTGATGAGAGATTTGCAAAATCAACGCATCTCTAGGATTAAAATTTACGAGGAAGGCAAAGTGGCAATTTGCGAGTACGAAGACGAGAAACACCGCTTAAATTACGATCGGGAATCGTACGGGGTGAAGAAGTGTAATTTGCCCGGCGACGCGTGGGACGATTTAGTCATTCGCTGCCAAAAAGCGTCCGTCACGCCTGATTTCGTCGATTTCGACGTTTGGGAGACGAATCCGTCCAGTTGTCAGCTGTTCATGCACCGCTCGCCGTTGTATTTCGGAAGCTTGTTACAAACGACGTTACCGTGGTACGGATCGATGGCCTTTTTGACGGCGATTGCGATGTCGAGAAAGAAACCAGAACATTGGGCGGTTTTTCAAGGGAACCCGGCTGGTAAATCGGAAACGAAAAAGTACAAACCGCCGGATTCTTTGAAGAAGGATAAAAAGTCAAAGTTGGCGAGACAACTCGGCATTTCCACATACGTCTTAGACCAAATCATCTCCGGGAAAAAGACGTTGCAACAAGTTCAAAAAATGAGTAAAGAGGAACAAAACGAAGAGTCAAAGAACCCGTTCGTGGCCATGACTAAATCAAAAGCGAAGAAAATCTCCAGGCGCATGTCCAAAGTGCGCTTTAACGACGTCGCCGGATTGGACGAAGCCGTGCACGAGTTTCAAGAGGTTATCGACATCATGAACGGCGATCCGAGATTTGAGGGCCAAATCGTGGACCCACCGAAAGGTATTTTGTTAGAAGGCCCACCAGGTACTGGGAAGACGCTGTTAGCTAAAGCTGTCGCGGGAGAGGCGATGATGCCGTTCTTTTACGCCAATGGCTCGGAGTTTGTCGAGATGTTTGTCGGCGTCGCGGCGAGCCGCGTGAGAGATTTGTTCAAAAGAGCTCGAGACGTCGCGCCGGCGATTATTTTCATCGACGAATTAGACACTTTGGGAAAATCGAGAGCGTTTTACGACATGTCCGACCCAGCCTCGCAAGAACGCGCGCAAGGTTTGATGCAATTGTTGGTTGAAATGGACGGTTTCGATCCGAACCAAACGCCGATTTTGATCATCGGCGCGACAAACTTGGCGTCGAATTTAGACCCGGCGTTGTTGCGTTCTGGACGCTTCGATCGCTCTTTTCGAGTCGGGAATCCCAAACGGTCCGAAGATCGCTTAAAGATTCTCAAAGTGCACGCGAAAAAATTGAACGTGAACCACGACAACGACGACGCATTTTTGAAGAGAGTTTCGGAAATCACTGAGGATTATTCCGGCGCCGATTTAGCCAACTTGTTGAACGAAGGTGCTATTTTATCCGTTCGAAGAGATAAAGAGTTCATGGACATAGAAGATATCGAAGCCGTGATTGAAAAGCAAGTGGTTGGCTTAGTCGGCGCGCCGTTGCCGCACAGTTGGGGTAAAGAACACTTGGCGATTTTAGAGGCATCGAGAGCAGTGATTTGCTCGAGTAGACCACAGTTAACTCCTGAGTTGATTCAAGTCACGTTAAAACCGAGAGGTGAAGCGGTGTCATCCTTGTTATACGTCAACGAACCCGACCACGTGACGCAAGCGAAATTGTACGCGCAAGGTCCGGATACCATCGAGTATTACGTCGAGTGTGCGGCGTTGATAATTTGCGGTCGCGTCGCGGAGAGAGTGTTCTTCGGCGAAGACGACGTCTCGTTGGCGACCACACCAGATGTCATTTACGCGCAAGACTACATCTCTCGAATTGTCAACGATACTGGCATTACGTATGTACGAGATGGTAAAGTTCGCCCGCACTTTGACCCGGCCATAACGGAAGGTTTTAGATTGGACAAACTCTACGGCAAAGACGACCAACAATTAATGTTGAAAGCGGCGATGAAACGAGCGGAACAGTTGGTCAGAGAGTACGCTCCGGTGATTAAGCAAGTTGCCTCGGAGTTGTTGGTGGACGACAGAGTCTATGGCACGCGCGTCAGAGAGTTGATTGAGAAATTCGACGGCAAACGAGACGATGTTTCCGTTATCCCGACGTTGGTCGACACGTACCCGGAGAGCAAAGTCCAAGAGGTGACATTGGAAAAACCGGAGCCGTGGGTTAAAGAAGGCACGAAAACTCGAACGAAAAAAGAAGGCGAAGGCGAACCGAACTTGTTCGATTTGGAAATTGGCGCTCGACACTGGCTCAACGCCGCCACGGGTGGTTTCTACGAAAAAGAGGAGAACGTCGACAGCGCGTTTGATGAGAGCAGAGATTTCGTGACGACGTTTGAAACCCCCGAAAACAACTACCGCAAAAACTGGACGGCGTTTGAAATCAAGCATCAATTGTATACGGTTCCTACGATTAAAGAGGTGATGGCGTTTTGGGTGGACGAACTCAACGGCGTCCACGACGATTGGCCGGACGAGTGGTTACCGAAATGGTTGCAGCTGGACCTGGTGAAATACGGCGGCGTCGGAAAACCGTTGGAGTGTTATCGACAAATGCAAAGAGACCGAATCGCGCACGGTGGCGGCGAAGAAGGCTTTAAAGCTGTCATGAAAAAGTACCATGCCGGAGAGTACGATAAGGATTGGCGCGGTTTGTCCGAGAAGGAACAAACGAGAAAGAAGGAAATCGAAGCCGTTGGGATCAAAACGGACGAGAAGCCGTTCGGAAGTTGGCAACCGTTTGACGACGACAACAATGCTTCGGGGAAACGACCGTTATATGCCCCGCCCGGGACGGGGAGGTTGAATGATCCGAAAGACGTGGGACCGGTTTCTGATGATGGATATATGTCTCCTAGCGAAGAAAAAAAAGAAGAAGCTTCTTCTTCTGATACTACTACTACAACTCCAACTATTATTCCAACTACGGCTAACGAAGGAGAAGAAGAAGATTTCATCAAGAAAGCGTGGCAGTCGCAGCTCGGGTCTAGTGAAGTTTCTCCTCGAGAAGAGAGAGGAACAAATAGTATGTCGTCGTCGCCTTTGGGTTCCGGCGTCACCGAACCGAGCGTTTCGAGAGAAGTTTCAACCGCTTGGCAAAAGCAAGGTTTCGATTGCACGAAAATCGATCGCGTTTAGTAATAACAATAGTGTTGTTTATCTATCTAAATCGTTTGCGTAAACGCTGCCGAGAGAGGGTAAACTCGGGGCGATTGCGCACTTCAACGCAAAGTTTGCGGAGTACTTCAATCGCACCTCTTCATCTTCTCCTCTTCCTCCTCCTCCCGAGAAGCTCATCTTCAAAAGCTCAAACGTGGTCAACTCACCTTCTTCAGGTGGCATCGTTCTCAACGCCATGCGCTCAAATTCGTCCCAGGTTAGGAAATCTTTCATGTGTTTGCTCTTCCACCTTTTTGCGATTTCTTTCGTGCACAAAGCACGTTTCTTTGCGTCCTTACACTTTGGCGCCAGATGTTCAAACGCGAATTTTAACTCTCGTTCGATGGCATGTTTTGATAACACAACTTCCCTCGCGAGCAGGCGCAACGTCTCGTCGTTTTCACCGGTTTCGTTATCTTCGCGAATGATGCGTTCATCGTTTTTCGCTTCGTCTATTCGTGAAAGCAAACGATCGGCGATGTCGACGCGAAACGCGTTCGCGGATTCAAAGTGTCCGAGTTGCGCGGCGACGGTTGACAACGCGGCGTCGTTAGACCACGCAATGGCGGAACCGACTATTTGTAACAAAACGCGGCCTTCCGAAGTGATATCATCGTCCGCTTTGAGATTGCGCGAGTGAATAACGGCGCGTTTGATTTCCGCTTCCAGTTCGCGCTGGTAGTGAACTTTCCGTTCCGAGTTGGCTGGTTCCATCGCGACGTGCGCGAGGAGACAGTTGACGCGAAGTTCAGGGTTGACGATGCGTTTTTGAAACGTCGCGGATGCTTTTTGGTTGTGGTACGCGATGTCAAAGAGCTTGTTCGTGTTGAATGCTGTTTTGCTGTTTTCGCTGTTTTGATCGCTCGACCGAGGCGAGACGGAGGGCGAGATGTTCGTATTGAAGCTAGTGTTTCCACCGGGTCCAACGTTGCGAGTGTGGTTATAACTCAATGCGTTTGTGCGACCTTCCTCGCCGAGCGCCCAAAACAACGTCGGCAATGCAATTGAAAGACTTCGCGGGATGTTGTTTTGTTTGAGTTGATTCTCAAAATCTTCTCCAACGTCTTTGTTGTTCTCATCGTCTTGCTTCGTGGCGCTACGCCTACCTTCGATGTTGCTCTCGCTCTTAGTCGTCTTTTCCACATCTTTACTATCCCTCTTCCCAAACAAGATATCCTCCTCGCTCGATCCTACGTTCAAAGCGCGCACGAGCGAACCAACTGTGCGCATGTGCACGGAGACAGATTGCGTTTTTGGCGCGTTCGTGCGATCTCTCGTGCGTCCATTGGCGCGTTTCGCTTCGAATAGGTGGTGGTTTTGACCACTACTACCACCTTTACTTTCGTTGTTAGAGAACGTATCATTTTTCTTCATTGGCGAATCCGTCGGCGTCCTAAATGCATCGCCAACGCTCAAGTCTCCTTCCTGTTTGAATGCGTTATGATTACCCTCCTCGAACGCTTTGATTGCATTTTCCATGCGTTGCCACTTTGGAATATTTTCGTTTTCGCTCGTATCGCGCTCATTGTCAAACTGTTCGCTACTCGGAGAATCTGAACAACACGTTCGCGCCAAATTATCGACAAACTCTTTGATGAACTCAGAATCGGCGAGCTTCGGTTCAAACTGCGCATCGTTTTCGATGCCCTCGAATTGTTCTCGAGTAATCTCTTCCTCGGTCCCATCATCTCTTATGATCACCACGGTTGTCGATGCTGAAGCAGAAACTTCGGCGTCGAGGAGTTCATCGCACGCCTTCAAACACGCGACACCTTCCTTGGACGACCAAGCGATAATATTCGCGCGCGCAATTCGCGCTGTCTGAACGGCCACTTCGATATCTCTATCGCGCGAGCGTTTCAAACATTCTCTGGCGTCCGCACGAAACGACTTTTCTGCGGCAAAATTGTTGTTACTGCTGCGCAGTGTTTGTTGCTTACTCCCGCTGTGTGAGGGCGACCCCCCGAGTGATCCGGCGCGAGATCCAGCGCGAGAGCCCCATCTGGAAAACGTCGCCGCCGGCGAAGACGGCTCGGAATCGAATCCGTTCGCTCCAAAATCCCAAGCATCCATTGTTTCGAGTAAATGCTCCGTAGCACGTACGTGCCAGGAACGTAAGCACGCGTCGCAAAACCTTGCGAGCATTTTGTACCGTTTCTGCGGTGAGTCCGAATCCGACCGAACGGCAAAGTAATACATGGCTGCTGCAGTATCGCCCCGTCTCGCATTTAAAGCACGTTCGCACGCGTGTAACGCCATCTCGGACGCATCTAAAGCTAAAGCATCCGCTAACTCCCTCGCTCTCGAGATTCGACCGCTCAATGCGAGTTTCTCGTACAAGTCGAAAACCGATGCGGTTGGAGTGATTTCAAACACGCGACTCGTCGTCCAGCACACGACGCCTTCAAGAATGATTGAATTACGTCCGATATCTTCTCCGTCCTCGTCAACGTCATCATCATCATTGTCATCATCATCACCATCTGCGCGTATATCTGCTGCTAGATCAATCGCCAATTCGTACTTGGACGAACGCACCGGGATGCCTCTGACTAATCCTTTGATGGCGCCGTACTCCACCGGCAAGACGATTTTCTGCACCAAGGTATTCGTCGCCCGACTGATGACTGCGATCGACCGAGAGGACATGACGAAGAATGCAAAAGCGTCGACAATGTACGCGAATCGAGGCGAACTATAATTTGGCGTTCGAATAGACGCAATAACTTTTGAATCAGAAACTTTCGCATCATAAATGTCTACTCGACCGTCGGCGAAGGAGGAAACGACGAACGATTTGCCGCCGTGTTCGAGCGTCGAGTGACCGGTAAAGTTCTCCGGACGCGACACCAACACGCCACCTTGAAAATCCGGAGAATTCGCCCCACTCTCGTGCGTTTCGTAACCGTCGTGTCCGAATCGACTGCCGACTTTCTCCGGTCCAGAAAACAAAATGTTTTGTTCCGGTACGCAGGAAATTTCATCGATTCGCGCCGAGTAGGTTTCTAAATCCAACGTTTGAAAGTACGTGTCTACGTCTTTGTAAGTGTTGAACTCGTCGTCCATATCGTCGTCTTCATCGACATTTTCTCTATACTCGTTGTCATAATTTTCCTCGTAGTTCTCGTTAATGGACATTCGCGATTCGCGGAATTTTTGTCGCATGGAGTTCACCCGATCCATAGTGCGGATGATATTACCGTGTTCATCTCGTTCTCTCGCGACGCGTTTGGAGAGTAACAAGAAAGTGCTGCTCGAGCTCGCCATTTTGCTATTTGCTTTGTCACCAGTCGTCGTCGCCGATGAGAAATCACTCGTCAAGGATTCTTCGCTATTGTAATACTTTTGCGATTGCTGTTTGAGAATCTCGTGCACGCGTCTATCGTCGATAGCCTCTACGAGCTGGAGTTTTTTCAACGGGTTACACTTCGTAGGGATCGTCATGAGTAATTCGCCACTTTCAACGTCCCACAAGCGTACCACTCCGGTAGAGTCGCCGCAAATTGCTATTTCTTTGTTGTCCTTAGCTCTCCGCCACCAAACAACCGAACGCGCTTTTGCCGGTTGTCGTTGATTCTCGTTTCTACTATCCACACCAGCACTCTTTTTCGAATCTTCCGCGAGCACGCGAATGGCTTCTTTCATTTTAAACGTTTCGGGCGTTTTCGCTAAATTATCACTATTTCTTCTATTCGTTTCGGAATCTTCGTCGGAATCATTTTCTTTGCGTCTCTCTTCATCCACGGCGGGCATGAATTTTGGATTCAAAGTCGTACCCAAATCGACGATGTAGCATTTACCCGATACCGTGCCAACGAGCGCGCGACCGCCAAACGGTGCTAATGCGATGCACGTTACTTCATTCTCTTCGCCGGGATACCACGGTAAAGCTGCCGTCGTCGGTTTGAGCACCATCTCCCGGTATCCGCCAATTGATCGAACCAGTAAAAAAGTCTCCACAATTTCCTTGTGCGAAATTTCAATCTTTGGAGCGAGCACGCGAACGTTCTGTTGCTGTTGATAATCTCGATGATCTTGACTTTGTCTCGCCGGGAAAGATGTCGAATCGCTCGTCACGACGACCACTTTCTTCTTGTTCTTGAATTTTTGCGCTATGCCTTTTGTAGAAGATGACGTTGAAGACACCATTTCGTGTTGAAACTGTGGAGTCGTTCGTGTCGTCGTCTCTGTTGATTTAGACACGCACGCGCTCACTAATATAAATCTCGAGGTTGCAAATTTTGGGTTCGTGTGTACGTCTTCATACGCCGCAGCAACTGCGCATAACTCTCGCGGTTTTCTGTGCACCTCCTTCACCGTGGAAGGTTCCGTAGGATACTTCTCGTTCGCAGTCGACCCTTCTGCTCCTCCTCTCGACGACGCAGATCCATCCGTGATGCGATTATCGGTGCGATAATTTGTCCATCCCAAAAAGTTTGTAAAGTTCATCGCGATATCTACCACCGATTTATTCGCGCCAGAGTGATACCCGCTCCCTTCAAACGGCGACGGATGATGTTTCCGATGATGTTGCCCGCTTCTCTCCGAAAGCATCGTTGAGCTCGTATTGGATTCCCACCCGCTGCTCCCACTCGCTGGTGAAATCGCTCCCGACCTGTATCCATCTTGTTGTTGCTGTTGCTGTTGTAACTGTCTTTGTCTCTGCTGCGCTTGTTGCAACTTTGACTGCTGATTTTGCGTCGAAGTCGCCCCCGTCGTCCCGGCACTCACAACACCAATCCGTCTCTCCAAAGTAAACAACTGCACATTCAATGCAAACCTACTCGCCTCTCCCCCTTCCTCTCCTCGCGAGCGATTCAAACTCTCCTGATAATCCTCTCTCGCAATGTCCACAAAATTCGCGCGCAACTGATATCTGTAAAAGTCATTGCCTCTTTGGTCCAATTCTCCTCTGCTAAATCCTCCTGTTAGGTGATCGTCCTCGTCGTCTCCTTTGTGTCCTCCAACCGTGTTTTTCTTTTGCGCGTGGAAGAAATCTTCCAACAGGACCGGTTGCGCGTGTAACTCCGTGCCAATTCGAGGCGTGCTGCGTTTGAAAGGGAGAAAAAGAGAGAGAGAGAGAGAGAGAGAGAATTTGTGTGAGTCATTCGGGGAAGAAATTTGCAATTGATTTGCTCTTACATCGGCGGTCGCGGCGGTTTGTGCGACAACAATCGCGGCGGCGACTTGTATATGTTGTCTCTGTTACTGGAAGACATGTTTAGTATTTACAATTTGTCATCGTGTTCTTGTCGTGAGCGTTCGGTATATCTTAAAGCGTAAAACGCCTCTAATTTTATGGTGTTTTCTAAAGCGCTATTTGAGCTAAAACTATCCACCAATATGCGTGCGTAGTACGCTACTGTTTGACGTTGAAAGTCACGACGGCTAACGCGCCTACGATTCGTTCTATGAGCGCTGGTTCGTGACACGATAACGCGAAGACGAGATCTTTAAACTCCTTTTCCGTTAATACTAACGAGGCGTCGATATCTTTTCTTCTTCGTAACCGATTTTCGTTCATAGCGTGTTGACGCTTGGAGGAGGAGGCGGAAAGAAGCGCGAGCGTAGTATCCGTCGAATCACGACCGAGTCTAGCGCAGCACAACAAGAAGGTTTTCGAGGCGTCGCGAAACGGCTTTGGGAACAAATGATGCGTTTGTGGAGTCCATACTAATGGCGAAGCAATCGACCAACAGGACGTCAACCGCCCCGCACTGGAAAACAGGCAGATTGTAGCGTCTTCGGCGCACTTGGAGGCGCTCAGATACGCGCGATCGGCGACGACAAAATTGACCGAACCAGTCGACGCGAGAGACTTGGGGTCGTGAGCTGCACTCAATGTTTTCAATACGACGCCCGTTCTTGGAAGGACGATGCTCACGTCGCCGTTGACGTGTGCGAAGAAGATGTAAGATGAGCTCACCGGCGACGAGGTCATCGAATCCAGATCGATTGGACTCGTGACGATTGAGTCTTCCAAATATACGCGATGCGTCTCCTCCGCTTGAACGAATTTTTTCAATCCTGTTTTTCTGCTCGTTGCAATTTTGACGTCGTACATCACTATGCGAACAACGCTGTCTCGTTTCATCACGTGCCGCGCCATCCCTCGTTTCAAATGTAACGCGTTTAAGTGCGCGCTGTCCTCGGAAAACGCCACGCAGAGTTTCGGATGCGCGTGTTCGGAATCTTTCCTCGTCGCTGGTAACGCGCATAATCCGCCTATATACTGATCTAATCCTCTCGTCACCTGAGGGAGAGATTTAGCGTGCAAACTCGCCGTGTATTCGTCCTCGACAACTTGGAACAACTCGATGCGTTTCCTATCTCTCGTTCTCGCAAAGACGGCGCACCACCCTTCCTCCATCTCTATCGAAACCTGCGCAACGACTGGCCAAACTTTCGGTTCACACGGCTGATTTTCCAAACGCTTTCCCTCGTAAACAATATCCCCAGATTCTGCGTCTACTAGCCAACTCTCCGCGAAATTCCGCGCTCCGCACGTCGTGACCACGAGCGTTCTCGATCGGCGGCCGCGTAAATGTAAACACGCGATCGACGCGCTCATCTGACGACGACCCCGAGCGAGCGTCTCGATCCGCCAAATTTCTGCAAAGTGTGAAACCATCTTCCCGTCTTCCTCTCCGTACACCGCCTCAAACGCTATGACTTGCACTCCGTCTCTCTCCGCGCTGCTTCCGCACGCGACGGCAAAAATCACATCTCCAGAGATGTCCACGCAGGAGAAAAAATCCCCCCCCAAACTCCCTTTGCTTGTCTCGAAATACGCGCGAACGTGCGTCCCACCGCTCGATTTATCGTAAATATCTACGCCAGGGCACGGAATCTTCTTCGTCTTCATCTCCAGGGTGCTGTTGCTCTCGTCCTCGTCATTATCGCGCACCACCCCTAAGCGTCTTAGGGAAGTCAAATTGGATAAAACCACCCACTTATGATTGACGCAGACGCTCGTCACGACTCCATCAAAATCATCATCGGGGCCTCTGTTGCCGTCAAAATGTTCTGACGACGACGCAAAGGGTTGGAGTAAACATCCGCTTCTCTCTAAAGAGAAGTCCGACGGTTCCTCGTATCCCCTAAACGATGACATTTTGTTTTCTGGGGAAATGTCAGACAAATCCAAATCCACATTACGCGTTCTCCGGTCGTCGTTTCCGTCGTCTGCATCATGCCTCTGCCCAAAAACAGATCAAGAGGAGGAATAGGAGGACGAGGAGGACGACCAAAAAGGAAAAAAACGTTCAAGAACAACGCGAAAGGCGAGAGGAATACCAAAAGACGCGAGAAAGGAGGAGGCAAAGGAAGCACCACCTTTACGAAATTCATCCGCGCGTTCGTCGCGACCGCGTTCGTCTCTTGCGCTTTTATCTTCCAGAAAGAGGAGAAAAAGAGGAAACAGGAGGAAGAGCATGTGCGCAATCGATTGCGCTCGAAACCGATGTCAATCACGGAACACGGCGCCTGCCGAATGGACTGTCGCTTCGTCTCCAAGAAAGATATCAAAGACGCCTTGAAAGAAGGTCGGTTATCCAAACGACACTCCTCCTTCGACCAAAACAAGTTCGCATTCGAAAAAGGTCGCGTTCGAGCGATATTCGCAGAAAGCGAGGGAAACGAGACCGTCAGTGTAGTGACAGTGATTGACGTGGAGACCGATCATCCGTGCGGGCCGTGTTAGAGAGTAGCGGAAGATCCCGCTCGTCTTTCGACGCCGGACGAAGAGTTCGTTCGCCTTGGAGCGGCGCGGTCGCGTCGTTCGAGCGATATTCGCAGAAAACGAGGAAAACGAGACAAAAGTCAGTTTGGTGACGGTGATTGACGTGGAATGCGATCATCGGGCCGTGTGTGATGATACAAGAGAGAGTTTTAGACTATAGCAAAGAGCGCTTTAGAGCAGATAGTATGTGTAAAGTCCCCCAATTAAATTAGGTGTGAAAAGCTGATACACTTTTTCTTCATTTCCTCCGCGGTGTACGCGACGCGCGTGTATATATCAAAACAAATAGAACAGAGATGCAGGACATCGCGTCGCTCTCGAAAACGCTCTCTGACCAATCGTTACCGATCCAAGACCGGTTTCGAGCGCTGTTCACGTTGCGTTCGCTGGAAACGAACCAAGCGGCGGTCCAAGCGTTGATCGACGCATTGGCGGCGGATTCTTCTTCTTTGGATGATGATGATGATGGTGATATAAATGATGCGCATCAAAAGAGATCCCCCACACTTTCATCGTTACACGCGGACGCGTTGTTCAGACACGAAGTCGCGTTCGCTCTCGGACAAATGCGTGCGAAAGCGGCCACTGCGACCCTGATTTCAGTGCTGAAGAACCAAAGGGAACACGGGATGACGAGGCACGAGTGCGCGGAGGCGCTCGGGGCGATCGCGGACGAGACGTCGCTCGAAGTTCTGAGAGATATGCGAGAGGATTCGAAACACCGGGAAGTGAGGGAAACGGCGAGTTTAGCGCTGAGGAGAGTGGAATATATGGTTGGATCCCGGGATGAAAGTACCGCTACGAGTACTACCACCGCTACTAATACTACTACTTTTAATAATAGCACGGGCGCGATCGTTGGGAGTAAGAAAGAGAGCATTGGAAAAGTCGCAGCAGTAAATGAAGAACAAGAAGAAGAATTCGCGTATTCGGTGGATCCGGTGCCGGCGATGGACGAATCCATCGAAACGGAAACTTTAGCCGCGATAATTTTAGACGACGCCGCGGACATTTGGGACCGATACGCCGCCATGTTTGCCTTGCGGAACCGAGCGCAAAAGACGTTCGGTTTGGTTAAAAAAACGCAAGAAAACGAACAGTTAGTCCAGCTCTGTTCCTCCACGCTCGGCAAAACCTTGCGCTCGGAAACGGTCCAATCCGCGTTGCTCAAACACGAAATCTGTTACGTCCTCGGTCAACTCCGAGAAGACGACGACAACGAAATCGCGCGCAAAGCTCTGTTTGAATGTTTGGAAGACCCGAACGAACACGCCATGGTGCGCCACGAAGCCGCCGAGGCCATCGGCTCGCGAGGTGGCCGAGGCGCCGAGGCGCTTCTGCGTAAATATTTATCCTGCGAGGATCGAATCGTTAGCGAAAGTTGCGAAGTCGCGTTGGACATGTTGAAAGAAAACGAGGAAGGGTTCGTCGCCTTGGAGTAGTATACAGTTTTAGTTTTAGTTTTACACGTTTTAGTTTTAGTTTTAGTAGTAGTAGTAACAATGATAACCTTTCGTCCGTCGTCGATTTTGCGCTATTTTGCGTCTACTTTTCCTCAGTCAGTACATTTCCTCACTCCAATTCGCTCTCGAAAGAAACGAACAAACACAACAAATACAATGGATCCAACACCGCAGCGACAACACCAACAGAACCAACACCCAAAACCTCTGGCGCACAAAAAGCTCCCCCCCGAGGTCAACAGAATCCTTTACGTCCGCAACTTACCCTTCAACATCACCGACGAGGACATGTACGACATTTTCGGGAAGTACGGCGCGATTCGTCAAATACGGATCGGTCAAACTCGCGATACCAAAGGTACCGCGTACGTCGTGTACGAGGACATTTACGACGCCAAAGCCGCGTTGGAGAAGTTGAGCGGTTTTAACGTCGCGAATCGATATTTGATCGTTTTGTACTTCAACTTGAGTAAATTCGCGCAGAAGCAATTGGAGAAAGAGGAGGAGAATTTACGAAGATTGCAGAAGAAAGAAGGCGTGAGTGGTGAACAAACGCGGGAATAACGACAAAAGTCGGACGAAAGAGAAGAGTAGCGGAGAGTAGCGGAGTCACGATAGCGTAGAATTTAAGAGCATTTTGTAACGATAGAAAGAGAGTAGCGCAGAGAAAAGCTGAAAACACCTAATTAATCCTCACTACGAATCTCCCCTAAAGATGGCTTTAAAGAAGAAGAAGAAGAAGAAGAAGACGAAGAGTTCTCACGGGAATATTACTACTCATAATAACAACAACAACGAGGACAAAGACGACAACGACAGCAACGCGTTCTTTTCGCGCATTCGACGCATCAAAAGCAGATGGAATCAACGACGAAATTCATCGACTTTTAAGGAAGATTTCGTCGCGTTTTGTTCCAACAAAACCACCACAAAGCGGAATGATACCGATGATACCGATGATCAAAACGAGAAGTTGTTCTTAGTAGACGACGTCGTTTCTCAGGAATCCATCTCGGACCAGACGTACGCGATGAGTCGCGCGTACAAAATCGATCGATTGGGCGCGAAATTGGCGTTGGATTTAGCCTTGGGAAAGCAAACGGAAGTGAGACGAGTGTTCGAAGCGCTCAGAGGAGGAGAATCGAAAGGAAAAGAGGACGACGACGAGGAGGATGAAGAAGAAGAGGAACGGACGATGTTTGAGCGCGTGTTTGGAGACGGGTGTAAAAAAGTACCGAAATCGAACGACGTGCGCTTTCGAGCGCCGCTGGAGGCGTTGCGAGAGGCGTTGGATGTCGTGGATACTTTAGAGGAGAAGAAGAGGAGGAAAAGGAAGAAGAATGGAGAGGAGGTCGGTAGGAGTGGCGATGATGGCGAGAGTCACGCGAGCAGTGAATACGATTCAGACGATTCGGGCGATTCAGACGATGAAACGGAATATTCGACGGAGGATTTTCAATCGTCCGAGGCGTCGAGTTTGCTTTCGATTGGCGAACACGCTCGAACAATAAGAAAAGAGAAGAACAGCGAGAAAACGACAAGCACGCAAGAACAAACGACGACAACGAGTAGTAAATCCTTGTTTAGAGACGTCGTGTTTGCCGCTTACCACATCTTTGCGTTGAACGATGCCAAGAAGCAAGCGTTCGATAAGTGGATTTCAGACGACGTTAATCGATTATACGCTAAAGATTTACTCTTATCCGAGAAGGAAATCAAAGACGACGATAAGAAACCGTGCGCGGCGACTAGAGCGGAGTTTTTACGAGTCGCGTGCGCGTCGAGAGCGTCAAACGCGGAGAAAGTAGCTTTAGAAACGCTGGAAACACAATTCCCTCGTTGGCAAATACAAATCCAACGAGCGAAACGAAGACGAGACGTGTCGTCGAGAATAGCCAACGAACGATGGGTGCGTTTGTTACAGACGCACGCGTCCGAAATTCGACAAAAAGTAGAAGAGTTACCGGGAGATGCAGATTTTGCGTTGGCGTGGAAAAAAATGCGCGAGTTTACTCGGAAATTCGACGTCACCGAGGCGCAACAAAACGCGTACGCCGCGACCGATCCAATCGCACAAAAAGAAAGCGCCAGAGTCGCTGATGCGTGTCGAGCGATGCTTTTAGATGGGTTAAACGCCGCGTGTGGCGTCTCTATATCGAACTTAAGCATCGTCGAAGACGATTCGCAATATTACAACAGCGATGTGTTTGAAAAACAACGCCTTCTGATTGCTAAAGAGTGCGGCAGACCTTTGCGTTCGCTCGAAGCGCGATGCGCGCAAGCGAGGAAAGAAATCGGCACTTTGACGTCGCGCGCGTTCGCCGCCGCGCCAATCGTTTCCACCGCCGCCACCGCGTCTATGTTTCAAAATCTCTCTCTCCAATACGAGCTCCACGAAAAAGAGCAAATCCAAAACGAGCTCTTGGAGGAAGAATCCGTCGAACAGGAAGCGCGAACCGAACGCGAAAGACTGAAAAAGCAAGCCAAACTCGACCGCCTGCGAGAACTCGCCAGACGCAAACTCGAAAAAGAAAACGAACGAAAAAGAGCGGAAGAGGAACTCCTCCTGCGTAAAAAAGAAGACGAGCGTTTGCAAGAACTCGCCATCGAAGAGCGAAGAGCAGAAATCGCGCGCGTCGAAGCGCGAAGAAAAGCGCGAGACGTCGAAGAGCAACGTTTAATTTTGGAGGAAATCGAACGCCAAAACAAAGCGAACAAAACCTGGGCGGATTACGCCAGCGATAGCGAAGAGGACGATCTGAGCGATTTGAGAGCGTTCGTGGATAAGGTAAACATGAATGAATAGAAAATGGTAACATTTTAACGCAACGCGGAAAAGTAGTCATTTTAGAGTAGAATAGAGTAGACAGTTACCTCATTTCCTCACACGAACGCCCCGCACAACTGAACAAAAACACCAATGCCACCACCAAAGCCACCACCAAAACTGGCGAACGACCAAATAAGGCAAACGTTGAGAGGTGATTTCACGTTTAAACTTCGTAAAAAGAGGTTACATCCTCTTCGCGAGCTCCTCGCCATGCACGTTTGGCTCGGTTTGTTCCACGCAAACGCGATGATTGTTTCTGCGCTGATATTCATAGTTATGAAGGACGTATCAACTCCTTCGTTTAGGAACGGGTTGATTATCACGTACGTAACGATTTGCTTCCTCCCGAACAAGAAACCGTACCCGAAATGGGGATTACGCTTGGCCAATCACATCGTCCACGCAGCCATGCAGTATTTCCCGTTGAAGAACAAACACGTGAGCGAAGAGAAACATTTGAAGTTGATCGCAAACGGGACGCCTATTTTGATAGGTTTAGAACCACACGGCGTTTTACCGTTACAAATGGCCGCGATTGCGGATTATTACTTGTTCGACGGCGCGATACGGACGGCGAGAGATCACGAGTGTTTTAAAAATGAAGAGGAGAGACAGCGGTTGCGGGACGCCTTCGCGGTGTCGAGCGCGTTTGCGAGCTCGAGCATTTTTTACGTGCCGTTGGTGAGGCATTTGTGGCCGTGGTTAGGTTTAGATCCAATCAGTCGGTACCACGTGAAGAAAGTGTTATCGAACGGTGGGGTGGCGATTATCGTTCCTGGAGGCGTTTCGGAGGTTTTGAAGATGGAGAAAGAGAGAGAAGTCGTGTACTTGAGAAAACGGTACGGGTTCGTGAAAATCGCGATTCAATCCGGAGCGGCGTTAATGCCGGCGTACGCGTTCGGGGCGACGAGAACGTACAGTTGGTGGCGACTTGGCCCACCTCTGATGACGAAAAAGTTAGCCGAGCGAATCTCAAAGATTTTATTGTTCGCGCCGATCGTATTCTGGGGACGGTTCTTCGGACCGTGTCCGAGGCGAGGCCGAGTCGTCACCGTATACGGTCCTCCGATTGAAGTGAAACAAACGGACGATCCGACGCAGGAGTACGTGAGAGAGGTTTTAGACAAGTTCATAGAAGAGTTGGAGAAAGTCTATCGAGAGAATCGAGACGAGTTTGGGTATAAAGGTGTCGAGTTAGTCGTCGAATAGAAATACGAGTAATATGTAATATTAAAAGAGTCGTCTAGCCCTCATTTTAGTCCATACAACACACAAATCACTCATAAAAGAAATGGCATCTGGATTCGGCGCGAAAGGCTCCGAAGGGAGGTGTTATCCTCTCTGGCAAGGGTTTTCGAAGGTATATCGAGCTTTGATCTTACTTTTCTCGATGCGTGTACTCTCTCTCGTTCTCTCTCGTCCGCGCATACGCTGCAAAAGCGATCGATGACTTTTTCTCATCCGTTCGTTTTCCCCAACGGGTAGAGGTGAGACGACGTGATGTTTAAGAAACAAAACCGCGCTCTTCTTCTGCGCTGACACTTTAAACGCTTCTTTTAATACCAACACACGAACAACAACAACAACAACAACAACTTGAAACAGTGCATGTCAACCGCGCGAGACCCGTCGGAGTGCAAAGACTTCCGCGAGGACTATTTAGAGTGTCTTCACCACAAGAAGGAGTTTCAGAGGACGAACGCGGTTCAGGCGGAAGCGGATCGGCAACGAGGCGAAGAGGCGGGGAAGATTTTAGAGAAAGTTGAGAAACACATTTGGGACACGAGTTGGGGAGAGGTGAAAGGAAAAGATGAGGAGGAAAAGGCGTGATGAGGAGAATGCTGTTTTCTTTCGTCCCGGAGGAGAGCCGAATGTTTAGTTAGCAAGCGTAATCCTGTGTAATATTAGTATCCCCGCGTCGACGACGTAAACGACGACGCGAAACCACTTCTTTATTTAATGTGTGAAAAACTAATATGCGTGTGTGTTCTAAATCTAATACGCGGGCGGCGTCGTCTCTTTCTCTCGTCACCATCGTCATCGCCGTCGTCGTCATCCGGTCAACGCTCTGAGCATTTTGATCACCCTCCTCATTTCGCGTTTACCAAACTTATTGTTTTCGTCAAACTCGTCGAAGACGACGGGTGAGATTTCGTACACCTCTTCTTCGTCGTCGTCGTCGTCTTTTTTCTTCTCGAAACCAAACGCTCGTAAACATTTTTCGCCCTCGTCGCCGACGCTTTTGACCCTTTCCGTGAACGCTTTACCGCTCGTTTTAATTCGTCTGTATTTCGCGTCCTCCTTTTCGATCGCGTTGCTCGCGTACGCCGTGACTGTTTTCACCAAAGTCACGAACCGTTGTTGTTCTTGTTCTTGTTCTTGTTCGTCGTCGTCCTCGCCGCAAAAAATTTTCGCCTTTGCCTCGCTCAACGCCTCGAACGCGTCACGTTTCAATCGCTCGAATTTCTCCACGTTATACGCGTGCGTCTCTAAACCCTCTCTCAATTTCGCCTCGTTCGCGCCTTTTACGTCGCCTCCTTCTAACTGTACTTTTTGCCCGGTGTGTCCGTCGTACATTTGTGCGCACGGGAACCCAAAAACGCCCGCCTCGTTCGCTAAGCGTCGATTCATATCGCTCTCGTGTATGTTGCACTTCACGAATCCAACGTGTAAATCTTTATACTCTTTTGCCAATCGATCGAGTTTCGGCGCGAATTGCACGCACGGTTGGCAGTTGTTCATAGAAAACACTAAAACGATCACCGAACAACGAATCCCCCCCGCGTTGTTGTTGTTGGTATTCTTCGTCGTGCGCATCAAAATCTCTCGAAACTCCTCCCCGCCTCTTTGCAACTGTTTCACTTCCCCGTCTTCGGAAAGTCTCGTCGTCGTCGCTTTGCTCAGAGCACTTAAATCTTTCGATAAAAGCGCCAGGCGGAGTAATTCCGCGCAGGCCAGAGACGCGTCTTCTGAGTCGTCCTTCTTTTCCTCCTCCTTGTCTTCTTCGTCTTCTTTAGTCTCTTCGCTCATTGTTCGTAAACTTATGAGGGAAAATGCTTGACATTTCAACGCTTTCAATTAAACAACGGTGTAAGAAGTTAAACGACGGATGGAGGAGGCCTGAGAAGCGCTTTTACCCGAATACTACTCACAACACGCGCAACGAAGAAGAATCTCTCGGTGCTCTCTCTTTCGTGATGTTTTCGTGAAGGAGTTAGTGGTGGTATTGTATCGCGTCGTCATCGCGTCATGGCACATCTTCGGAAAAGTCTCAAAGGCGCAGGTGGACTTCCCGAGGAGGACGGAGAACACGAACGACGAGGACGAAAAGCAAATCTGAGGAGAAGTCATCGCGATATCAAAGGTAAAAGCAACAAAAGCACGGGGTCGAATACTAAAACGAAGAACGAGATTATCAAATCAGTCGCGATTGGAATCGTATGCGCAGCAATGTTGCAACTCCTGTTCGTGTTTTTCCTTCTGAGCGAAGATACGGACGAGTGGCGAGCGTCGGAGGCGTTTACCAAAACGAGGAGTTTCGGAGGAAGAAGAGGAGGAAATGATGAAGAAAAGAAGTTAACAGATGTATTTGAAGACGTTACGCACGACATCGACGGGTCCGTTCAATACGAACCTCCAATGAAACTGAACGCGTTCGGGTACGTGTATTGGCACCGAGACCCGGGCGAAGGCGTCGTCAATTGGCACTCGTCGTTGGCGGAAGTCTTACGGTTCGCGCGAGCGCACAGGAGAACGCTCATTAGTCCGTGCGTGAGGAACGGGCAGTTGAAACCGTGCGTGTACGACACGGACGACGCGTCGAGTTTGAGGACGAGCACGTGCAGGACGAAACGGGTCGGGTGTAAGTATCCCAGGAAAAGGAGGGAGAAAGATTTGGAGGTGGAGGATGATCTGAGCAGCGACGTGATGAGACCGATGACGTTGGCGCAGTATTACGATCAAGGACGTTTGAAAAGTTACGTGGACGATATGGTGAGCTACGAACAGTTCGCGGAGAGGGTTTTTGAACGCATTTTAGAGGACGAGAGAGGGAAGGAAGGGGAGAAGTTAACGACGAGAAAAGGAGGAGGAAGAGGAGGAGACAAAAAGAACAAATCGAAGAATAAAAAGAAATATCGCGCGTACAGAATGGATTGCAGTGGCGACCATTGCGTGTTACCGGAGGATGAAATGTGCGTACCACCTACGGAGGAAGAGCTGTACGACGAAAAAGGGGAGATTATGAAGAAATGGCGCGAAGACTTTGATTTCGATTGGCTCGAATACGCCGACGATTTAGAACATCCGGTGACTGCCTCTTCTTCCGGTAGTCCGCGAAAAGCTATGAAAGAGAGTAAAGCGTCGATTTCCATGCACGACGAAGACGACGAAGAACTGTATGCGAACATCATCAAGAAGCGCAACAGCAAACCCGACGACGAAGAAACGAAAAAGAGACGAAAAGCGCCTCTCGTTGGACGCGCGGATCTCGAAGAATTTGCGCGAAACGGTGGAGTCGTGCCAAAACGGCCAAAAGACGATAACGAAAGCAGGGAAGATGCGAGAGAGAAAAAGAAGACGACGAATCCGTTGCTGACTGTCGGCGACGACGAAGGGACTACCACTGAGACAAAAGACGAGGACCAAACTACTTCGTCGATGTCGTCGTTAGGTCGCCTCACCTTGGCTACGGATTCCGAAACCGTCGGTACGGACGTCATCGTATGCGACGATAAAAACCGATTCGTGACAAAAATTGCAATGATTTCGTATTTTCACGATAAAGCAGTCAGTTCGCGTCCGTTGACGGTGACCCGACGAGGTTTGATTCGCGCGTTAAACTCAACGAGAGTCGCGCCGAGAGAAGGCGCGAAACTCGAAACGCGTAGGAAAGAGTACGCCAAACGTGAAATGAACTTCATAAAAATAGAGCACCCAGACGCGTTTGAGCTGCTGGACGAAAACTTCATCAAAGGCTACGAGAACTGCGAGATTCACTTTTGCCACGCGGTTGTCCCAGACGAACCAGACGAAGCGCAATCGCTGTCCATGAAGACGTTAAAGAACGCGTTGAAGATGCGATACTTGGCGAAAGAAAACGAAAATCCTCTGATCAATTGGAAGATGAGCGTCAACGCGGCGTGGTACGATTTTACCAGCGACGAAGCGCGGTTGATGTACGCGACCGAAAAATGGTCGCGATACATCGAAAATATCGCCATCGATTTCCTCAGCTCGCGAAACTTGGCGCACCCGTACAAAGCGTTTCACTGGAAATCCAAAGGCTATTTGGATTGGCGATCGGCAGATTTGGAACAAGATGGCGTTTACGAACTCGCGACGCGCGAATTAGAACAAAAAAGCATGTGGTGCGCCTCTGAATTCGTGAAATCGGTGAGGATGGAAGGCGTGGACGCTAAAGCGCGCATCGCCCTCGTTTCTGACATCCCGGCAAATACCGACGGCGGCGAGGACGATAGCCGGCACTTGGTGAAACCGTTGACGCCTGGCAGAGAACCCGGCGACGTGGACCATCGCGTCATGCACATGCTTTGGGATTTACTCAACAAAACGTACTCCGACGACGACGAATTAGTGAAAGATGCCACGCTCAACTCTGCCAGCGCCTCTCGCCTTACCACCCGCGGCGTCGTCAAAATCGACGTCTCCAACCCGTACGCCATCTGGGCGAACACCACCGACTCGGGCGTCGTCGGCGTCGTCGACCACATCGTCGCCGAAAAAGCCGCAACTTTCGTCACGTGCGCCGACCCGACCGCCGAGTGCGCGCATTGCATGAACGTAGAGAGCGAGTTTTTAGCGAGCGTGTTAACGAAACGGCTCTTGGACCGAACGCCGAAAGCCAGGAACACGCTTTTGAAGTGGAGTTAGTTATACGTATAGTAGGATTAAAATTTTAGAACATTCACATTTTGAGCACGAGAGACTTTTCGCCTGTTTATACTCACTCTTGACCACCACCACTACGACGACGCGTTCTTTTAAACGCCCGACTACAGTGTGGTTGTTTCTGCTCCATTTTTTCATTTTTCTCTCTACACGAGACCGTCCGTTCAAAATTCGTCACTCTTGGAACACACACGCACACACCAAAACGCTTTTCTCTCGAGCGCGAGAGAGAAAGAGGACCCTTTTTTTTACCGAAGGCTTTTGGACGTTGTTGTTGTACACGACGACGAACAATCGAGACTCTTTCTTCTAAAGCTCTTTTCGCGTTCTTGTTCTCGGTGAAAGAGAGAAAGAGAGAGAGAATTATCAAATGGCGATTGGCGACGCTACTGCGCGGACGAATCCCCCGAACGATGATGGAGCGGCGCCTTTACCCATAGTCGCGACGGAAAATGCGACGGAAACCACCGATGGGGGGATAGACCGGTCCGTGCACCCGTCCGGCATCGTGCCCACTTTACAGTGCGTTCTTTTTTTGTTCTTTTATCGTTCTTTTATATGTATTCTCTAACGAGCGAGATGAGACGATGAGATCGTCTCGCCGTTTTGAATTCGATTGAATTCCAATCGTTGCCGCTTTCTGACACGAACACCCGACGTTCTCTCTAACTCTCTCTCTCTCTCACTGTATCTTTATTTCAAACAATATACAACACAGAAACATCGTGGCCACGGTGAACTTAGATTGCAAATTAGATTTGAAGACGATCGCGTTCCACGCGAGAAATGTAGAGTATAACCCAAAGGTATGCAGAGCCGTCGGTGGTGTCCAATTTTGACCTCTTTCGCGCTCTCGGAATTGAAGAAGGAAATAGTGAAGACTGACGCATTTTTACACCACTCTTTTCATCAAACTTTTCGGTGTGCTCTCTTAAATAAACAGCGTTTTGCAGCGGCGATCATGCGGATCAGAAACCCGAAAACGACGGCGCTGATCTTTGCGTCCGGGAAGATGGTGTGCACGGGCGCCAAGACGGAGGCGTTGGCGAGAGAGGCGGCGAGGAAGTACGCGAAAGTTATCATCAAGTTAGGATTTCCGGCGCAGTTTAAAGATTTTAAGATTCAAAACATGGTTGGGTCGTGCGATGTGAAGTTTCCAATACGATTAGAAGGTTTAGCGTGGTCGCACGGGCATTTCGCGCAGTACGAGCCGGAGTTGTTTCCCGGTTTGATTTATAGGATGCAGATGCCAAAAATCGTACTTTTGATTTTTGTCAGCGGGAAGATTGTGTTGACTGGAGGGAAAAGGAGAGAGGATATATACCAAGCGTTTGAGAATATATATCCGGTGTTGACGGAGTTTAAGAAATTGCAGTTGGAGTCGGACGAAGGGGACGCCGGGGGAGGCGCGGCTGGGGCGCCGAAGGCGCTTCCGGCGCCTTCGGCGAAGAGGGGCAGGAAACCGAAAGCTTAATTTAATTAATCATCATCATCATCAAAGATATAACAACAAATGCACAAACCGAAGAAGAAGAAGAAGAAGAAGAAGAAGAAAACGATACGAAAAACTCATGTACTAAAACGAAAAGAAAAAAAAGAGAACGTAGAAACGACACATTTAAGAAGAAAGGTGCGCGAGACGACGTGAAAGACCATCGTCATCGAAGACATCATTAGCAAACTTATATATACATGTAAACACACACACACACACATATATATATATGTAGGAAAAGAACGAGCGATGATAGAAAGCGAGAGAGTGCTTGTTGTAAGACATTATTACGTAAATACAGCTCGTCAAATATATCACTTCGTGTCTCTCTCTTTTGACTCAAAATCACAACGATATTAATAATCAATCTGGTGTTTATATGTGCCTAAGTTTTACATTTGATACCTCACGCGCCTCTCTCGTATCTGCTATTTTACTAAATACACCGACGAGGACGATGTAAACGACGATACTACCACCGCACTCCATCGCGTCCTCGTCTCTCTCTCTTCTTAATCTTAATCGTTCCCGCCCAACACCGGTAACTGTATCTTCTCCATCTTCATAAACTCCCACTCTTTTTGACACAACGGGCAAAACGACCGTTGTTTCAACCACTTGGAGATGCAATCTAAGTGGAACACGTGACCGCAGTTCCCCCACTGTACGTTTATTGAGACGAGACGAGAAAGAGCGCGAGCGCGGAATGCGCGTAAAGAGGTGGTCAGTTTTCCTCAGAGCAGAAGGAGATCTCGTTTTTGAATCTCTCAATCAAACACGAACGCGTTCGAAAACGCGCTTCTTTTCTCGAAAGGGCAAACGAAAGTAAAACGAGAGCAACATATGCGCGCATACTAGTAAAACGTACCGCGATGGACAACCCATCCGCGCCTTCTTGTTGACTGTTCGCTTGAAACTCGATCGACGGTTCGTGCAACGTATTTCTACAAATCGCGCACGAATCGAACGAGGTGCTCCACGACCACACCGCGACGGCGTTCCATTTTTTCACCTCGATTTTTCTTTTCGTAGTATTACTCGTCGCAGTTCCCGCTCCTGCTGCTCCGAGCGCCGTCTGTTCTCCTTTGTCCGCGTCCATGGCATCATCGACCATCTCTCTCTCACACGTAAAGGCGTTGTCTCACTTTAATCTGAAGAAAGAAAGAAAGAAAGAAAGAAAGAAAGAAAAGAGAGAAAAAAAGAAGCGAGACTAAAAATATTTTTAGGGTGTCCAACCCTAATTTCTTCGGAGAGAGAGATTTCTTTGCACAGAAGAGATTTTTAGATTTTGGATTTTTCGGTTCCTCTTTGCTTGTGCTAAATTCACCATCGCGAAAGCGCGTTATAACAGCACCTCTCACGTAGCGCGAACACGCGAATTATTATTAGTAGAATAAATGTTCACCCTGAGCACATCGTCGAGTGTTTTAGCTTCTTCTTCTTCGCGAAGTTTTACGTCGAAGAGAAGATGCGCTTCTTCGTCGAAGAGCGCGAGTTTGCGCGCGGTGAAAATGATGATGGTGCGCTTATTTTACGTGTTTACGCTCTCCTCCTCTCTCTGCTTTGTTTTTTTAACCAATCGGAAGATCATCGCGCGCGGAAAGATGCGAACGCGAGCCTGCGACGCGAAATAAAAACTCACCTTTCCTTTATAATTTCTCGTTCACAAATACGTGCAGTCTTCGGAAACGAAGGTTTCTAAAGAAGCGGCGAAAGTGGGGGCCGCCGTCGCGACGACGTCCGGTGCGCTCGGTTTCGCGCAATCGTCGTTTGCCTCGACGACGCAACCGGAAGAAGTTGTGAGTAACTTGGCGGGTATCGATGGCAGAATCGCCATCTTCTTCGTGTTCGCGCCGGTCCTCGGTTGGGTCGCGTATAACATCCTGGGCCCGGGTTTGAAGCAGCTCGACGATATGCAAGTCAAGAACGCGAAGAGAAAAGGTATCGTTGGTGGGGCGATTGGGAGCGCTTTGGGAGCGTCTTTGACGATGCAACCGGAAAGCGCGGACGCCGCGGAACAAGTCGTCGGGAACTTGGCGGGTATTGACGGTAGAATCGCCATCTTCTTCGTGTTCGCGCCGGTCCTCGGTTGGGTCGCGTATAACATCTTGGGCCCGGGTTTGAACCAGCTCGAAGATATGCAAAAGAAAAACGCGAAGAAAAGAGGGATCGTCGCCGGTTTGACGGGTTTGTCCGCGGCGTCGTTGATGGCGATGCCGGAGCAAGCTGATGCCGCGGAGCAAGTTGTTGGGAACTTGGCCGGCATCGATGGCAGAATCGCCATCTTTTTTGTGTTTGCGCCGGTCCTCGGTTGGGTCGCGTACAACATCTTGGGACCGGGTTTGAAGCAACTCGACGATATGCAAGTCAAGAACGCGAAGAGAAAGTAAAGAGAGAGAGAGAGAGTTATATAATCAGAAACCTATTTTGTTAGTATTGTAAATCTTATTATGCACAATACTGTATCGCTAATACTAATAATCTGTTTGTACATACAAGAAGACGAAACGCTCTTCGGCTGCGCAAAAATTTATCCAAACAAGTCGGCAAACGGATCCTTCTTCGCCGACGTTCGAGCTACGCCGCCGCTGATGGAAGATTGCGCGTTCGGTGACGATGGATCTTTATTATTGTTATTTTGCTGCTGCTGCTGCTGCTGCTGAGAAGTTTGACTGTTTCCTCCCACAGTGATTTCACCGAGCAAGTCGCCGAGTAAATCCACGTTCGGAGACGCCGTCGATGATGGCGGTGCCGCCGCTGTTGCCTGCGTCGCCTGCGCCGACGGTACGCCGGATAACAAATCGCCCAGCAAGTTAGAACTCGTGGTACTCGTTGGAGTATACGTAGTACTCGTAACTGGTGGTAGTTGCGAAGGTGTAGACGCCGCTGCTGTTTTCGGTCCTCCGAACAAATCGCTCGCGAGTTTTTGCTTCCTCTGTTCAGATTCGGAAATCTCCTCTTCTCTTTTCGCAGTCGTTGGCGCGCGCGGAGGAGGCGATATTGTCGGGAATGGTTGTTGTTGTCGTTGTTGTTGTGGTGGTTGTGGTTGTGGTTGTTCAGCGGACACTTCTGCTGCGGATGATAACACGATTTCTTCTTCTTTCACCTCTTCCGTCGCAATCTTCGGTTTCGAATACGGTTTAGCACCGTTTGCGAGCGCGCGTTGCGTGTACGCGTCGAGGGCTGAAAAATCAAACGACACCGTACTCGTCTTCGCTACGTTCGCAGTTGCCGAGGCAAAAAGCACCCCCAGTTCCGGATCTTTCGCGATTTGAAGTAAGTCGCTCGCCACGCGGTGCGTTCGAACGTCCGAGCTCGAGGCGCACCATTCAATCACTTTCAAAGCGCGTTCAGGGAATTGCGTTGATGCAGATTTTTGACGCATTTTCAAGTGCCAATACGCGTCTAATACGAGAGGAGCGTTTCGGACGTCGCTATCAAAAGGTATCGCTAACGTGTTCGATACGTTTTCAAACGCGGCGTTCGAGTATCGTCCAATTGCAAAGCACGCGATGTCGACGATTGCCCTGGGCAACGGTTTACACGCCTCTCGTTCGGTGCACATAATCGTCGCGTATAACGCGCTCGCTTCTCGACGCATCTCGTCGTCCGTAGACTCGTCTCCAGAAATGCCTTCTCTGAGCGTATTCTTCACCCGTTCGGCAATCAACGCCGAGGATTCGAATTCAGGAATCGTCGGCTCGTGTCCTTCGCCTTGTAACAACTCGATCACTTTATTCGTATTTTCTAAGAACCATTTCGCGTCCGGGGCAAACTTTTCGATCGTTTGACTCGTTTTCAACGCGAAGTCGGCGCGAACGTACCTATCGTTGGATTTGCGCAAAAAGCTCAACATCTTCTCGATGATCACGTCGCAGTTATTCGCGGTGGTTATCTTGGACAATAAGTCAAACGTTTTCGCTCTCACGGATTCGTCTTCACTATCCAACGAGTCTACTATGTGCATTTGATGCTCCGCCGCGCAATCCGGAAGTCTTGGCGCTAATTTTGCGAGCGCGTCCAACGCGGCGTACTTCAAATTCGCGTTGCGCCATCGATCCGAGCTACTCACGTTCGTTTTCACGTTCCCATCCTCTCCGACGCCTCGATTGATAAACTTTCTGACGATCCCTTCGCATTGCTCCAATAACTCTTTGTTTGGATAAATCTTCGCAATCGTAAACACGCACTCTAACAAAATCCCATCCCCGGTGCTACTCTTCGCCTTTTGCGCTTTCTTCATCGTCAACTGAATCACCTCGTACGCCTGTTTAGACGCCTCTCTGTCTCCACTTCCTAAAATGCCTAATATTTTCAAAATCTTAATCTGCGCGAACGGCGCGGGTACCTTGTGATAATCGTACGACGTCGGCAAGCGTCTCTCCACGATTTGTTTCAAAATCGATACGAAACTCGGGACCAAGTTTACGTACTTCCCCGCCTCTCTTTCGCACAAATCCCTCAACACGCACAAACTCGCAAACATCACGCTCGGATCGCGATCACACAACATCCTCCGAAACGCGTTCCCTAAATGACTCGTGCTCTCCGGCGAAAACATGGCAAACTTTTGCAAGCACAACACCGCCTTCTTTCTCACGTGCGCGTTCGCGTGGTCCAACAACTTCTCCACGCTCGGCAACAACGCCGGTATCGCGTTATTCTCGTCCGTGATCAACTTCGCGATCGCGTTCAACGCCGAGCACACCACCAAATATTCCTCGCTCGCCAAATCGTGTTGCATGGTATTAATCAACAACACGACCAACTCGCTCTTATCGTCCAAGACGTGCGAACACGCTAAATACGCCTGCCTCTTCACGCTCAAATCGCTCTCGTGCGTCGCTTTCACCGCGTAAATTTCCCCGAACGACGCGTCGTGATCCAGCATTTCCACGTACACGAGTCGTAAGAGGAGTTCTTTCAGAGTGTTTTTGTTCACTTTCGGGTGCGAGAGTAAGTGTTTCAGTAAGTGTGCCTCTCTTTTCACGATTTGGTCTTCGTCCATTTTGTTTTTACACTCGCCTGTTTAATCGTTCGTTAAATAGAGAGCAACCGCGCGCGGCGTTTAGTTTTACCAACGCGCATTCGAGAGAGAGATTTCGAGCGAAAACAGAACGAAAGGAACGCGACGAAAACCCGAGAGACTTTGAAAAGTCTTCTACGCTCAAAACGACTGAGATTTCCAAAAGAGGAATAACGGAAAAGAAGACAAAGACAAAGAACAACAACGCGCACCGATGGCTCGCACGAGCTCGTAAAACTCCGTGGATTTCAGTTTCATCGGCGGCACCGGTCGGTCGCCACCGAGGACGGAGAGTCTTCCTCCATCGGAAGCCGACGACATTTTTTATTCTTCACACCGATGGGTGATGTCTTTTCAACGAAGGAATTTAATTGTGTGGCGTTTTTCGGTCCTTTCGCGATTCGATGCTTTTGACTAAATATTTAGTATCACTACAATGAAAACTCTCTATCTCTCTCTCTCTCTCTTGCGACTATTTTACTACCGATGATGCGTACTGTGGATGCGTTTATCGTTGCACAAAGCTCTCTCCGCGAACGCGCGGGCGGTATCTTCACCTCTCGGAACGTGACCGTACGGATTTTCTGTCCATCTCGTTCTTCGTCGGTAGACGGTGAAATCTAAGCCGGTGTTCCCCCAGTGCGTGCTAATAGATCTGGTTTCGATCGGTTCGAAAACGCAACAGGATTTTATCCTCACTTTACACATTGTCGTGCATAAACGAGATTCGTTGATGACGAGGTGCGTGAGTAAAGGTAAGCTCGCGGCGACGTTGACGATGTGGTCGATGGTTTTCGTTTCAAAGTTTTTCGTCGTGGCGAGGATGTGGGTGGCGTTGACGCAACGGTGGAGTTCGGATTCGGCGGCACCGGCTATGAAGGTGACTTTGTGGCCGTGGTCGGCGCGCGAGGATTCGACGAGCTCTTTTTGGATTTCGATGCCGCAGACGGAACTGAACGGGAAGGCGTCCTTGATGCCCCGGGCAAAATTGCCGCAGCCGGAACCGACGTCCACGATGGAACATCCAGCGCCTTCCGCGTGAGGCATGGATTTAGTTTCCAGCAGAAGTTTGATCATAGGACCAGAGGAGGTGCGACCAGGGTGCAAGACTTGAGAAGTCATGTTGTGGTCGTTTTCGTTGACGTGCTGTATGAAGCCTTCGTAGTATCGCGCGTTTTTCATGATGCGTTTCTTATTGTTGTTGTTACTCGTGTTGTTGTTGTTGTTGTTGTTGTTGTTGTTCGTGTTCGTGTTGCTCTCGAGGTTGTTCTCTCCGTCGCCGCTACCGGCACCGGCCGCGGTGTCGCTGGCGCCGTGTCCAATCATGTTATGCATGTTGTTGGACCCGTTCGGATAGTTTTGAATTTTCATGAAGTGTCGATCGAAAGTCGTGATCGCGTCTCGTTCGGCAAAGCCTCGGTCGCGAGACCCGTCCAACTCTACCCGCAAATTCTCCGGCGCAAGCCACGGTTGAAACCCTTCCGGGGCGTTTTTGCTCAACGCCGGCGAACGAATCATTGTTCCTGGAGACGCGCGAAGCTCTAACGTCGCCATATCAGTCAAATCCTCCTCGAAGACATCCACTTTCCAGCTTCCGACGGCGAAACCGTGAATGGTAGAAAAATCTGGGACGTGGTGAAAATCCCAGTGTAACGTTGGTTGTTGCCCGTTATCAAAGTGCATTGGCGCTGTAATGACTAACGCGTTGATTAAATCGTACGCCGTGGCGTTTTTATTCACAGCAACGATCGTCGGGGGAATCCGAATGGAGTTCGCTTGACTCCTCCTCGCTTTTTGCGTTATCGTGACGGTTATTTTGATTCGCCCGACGTCCGGGTTTTTCGTGTTCTTGTTCTGTTCTTGTTCTTGTTCTCGTTGTCGTTGAAGCGCATCCGCTGCTGCGGCCGCTTCGTCGCCTTCCACCACCACCGCTGTCGTCGTCGTTGTTTTTGCCGATGTGTCTTTTTTGTTGTTCGTTCCGTTTGAGTTCGCTCCCGCTTTTTGCTTATTAAACGGCGACTCCACGACAACCGTTTCCGAGGACACGTTCGAATTCTTGTTCAGCGAAAACGTGTTGTCATCTTTCGCGTTGTTTCCATCGGCGTTATTGTTCGATTGCTCCTCGGTGTTATTGTTCGATCCACCTCCGTTGTTGTCGATGTCGCTCTCCGCGTTGTTTCCGCTCGGCCCTTTCTTCTTGCGCATAAAATTCACCGGAATCTTCCCTCTCTTGGTCGCCCGTTTAATCAACGGCGACGTGACTTTCGCCGTATCGTCTTCGCCTTCTTCTTCTCTTTTTCTTCGCGTTTTTGTCGTCGTCGTCGCCGTTTCGTTTTCGTTCGAGTTCTTGTTCTCGTCGTCCTCTGAATCGTCGTCGTCGTTCTTTTTCTTCTTCGTATTCTTTGTCTTCTTCGCCGTCGTCGTTCTTCCGCCTCCGCTTCTTTCCGATACCAATCCTTCTCGTCGGCGGTGTCGTTGCCGTCGCTCCAACTCTTCCTCTCGTTCCCGTTGCTCCTCCACTTTCAAACGCATTTGTCTCCGTTTCGGTGCTCTCACTTTCACCGTTCTCCTCCAATCTCTCGGTTTCGCCAGGCTCACCGAAAACCGTTCCGGCATCCCTCGCGCTCGCACTTTTTGTAAATAGTGTTTCCGTTCCTTGGAGAGATTTTTGGCGATTATTGCCACCGGGTCTGGTATCCGTTCGGTTTTTGGTAACGGGGCGATCGTGTCTTTGTTGGCGAACCCTTTGTACGTGCTTTGTATCGCCGGGCATCGTTCGCAGAGCGCGAGGACGGATTGGACTCTGATCATTTTTCGTTCTTCTTCATTCGTGTGATTATTGATTCGGGTCCCGGTGGTGTGACTCATCGTCGGTCGTTTTCTGCGCGCGTTCTTTTCAAGATCAACGCGCAGAGAGGGACGACGGAACGGGACGAGATGATGATGTTCTCGTTCGATTCCTTCTTCGTATATAACAACACGCGCAAAAAACGAGGCGAGAAGACGCACACTCGCACCAACACCGAAAAAACCAATCGCGCTTCCGTCCTCTCCAAATCTCTCGAATATGGTTCTTCCGAAACGAAGACAGAAACAGTGAGAGAGTTCACGCGTGCGTTCACGCTCGACCAATTTGCGTTCGTTTCAGAAATTGGTTTCAAATGACGAAAAACGCGTCCGTCTGTTGCCTCAGTTTTGAAATTTTTTGTGCATTTCTAAAGGGCGAATAAAACGACCGCGCGACGCGATACGCGCGCTCTGCCGTGTATCGCCGCGCTCTCGACGTTTTTTTTCAAAAGGAAAGAGTAGAGGAGGCGTTGTTTGGAGAAGAGAAGGTACGCGATGATGATGAAAATGATGATGACGATGAACTTTGCGTTCGTCGTCGCGACTGAACTTAAAAATTAAATACGTACGTTTTTAAATCTAGACACTTATAATAAACACGCGCGAAAAGCCTCCTCGTCTTATTTAAATTGTTGTCGTTGTTGTCTCTCGCGCGTGTGGAGGAGAAACGCGCGCGCGTTTCTTCTCTCTTTTTCTCTCTCTCTCTCTCTCTTTTCACCCTCTCTCTCTCTTACTCTTACTCTCTCTCGTTTTATCTAAAATCAAAAATCTTCGCTCGTCGAATTCGTTTCCAACCACCAATTCGTCGATATTCATTCTATTCTGATTTGATTGCTATGGTTATATTTCTTACTTTATGCTCGTTCTTCTCGTTCTTTCTCTCTCTTCTCTCTCTGTTTTTGTTTGCTCATTATATTAACACACATTTGTACAAAGTTTACAAGCCAGATCGACCCCAGACGACCAACGCCAACGAGAAGGAAAAGCAACTCAAAATAGCCCCCCACGCGACGTCGACCAAAAACGGTTCGCCCTCCGCGACTTGCGCGACGACGTTTTGCGCCGCGTGCGAGGCTTCCGGGGAGATGACGGTGGCAGCAATGAGAGCGGTGGTAGCGATGGCGGTCTGTTTGATACGTTTCGTTGTTCACGGTATCGTTTGAGAAAGAGAAGAATATTTCGGTGAGTTCTTTGAGTACTCTCCTCTTTTGGGGCCATCCACCACCTCTGGACAAGATATCGTCTCGAAAGACGAGGCAAAAAAGAAAATTATCCGCTTCTCGTGCACATCATCGAAATGTGTTTTAGGACGTCTCGTTGCGAAGGACGCATCGAGTGCACCTCCTCGGCGTTCACTCGGCGCCGTTCGTGCGGATACGAATTTAATGTCGTTGAATGCGCCGTAAAAACGATGCGGCGCGTACTCCTCCGCGCGCGCGCGCGCCCGAGACGATGATTGCAAAAAAAAAATCATCTCCCTCTAATCCATCGCCTGATGCGAAAAGCTCCTCTCGCCTCTGTGACAAACAAACGCGCGTAAATCGTAAAACGCGTCTCGAAAAAAGCGATCACAAAACAACGACGCGACGTACCTTTTCAACGTTGAAAGACGACGCTTTCACCGGTACTTTTGCAACGACTCTTTTCGTTTGCGACTTTTGCATTCGCATCGTCGGAGCGACGACTTTCGCGGAGGAGGCAACGGCGTACATGATGATGATGATGATGATGATGTTTCTTTTTTTGACGTGTGTGTGTGATTCTGACGGACTTGAAAGAGGGGCAAAAGGGAAGGATTATCCTTTTTTTTTTTTCGTGCGGTGTTCGAGTAAGGCGTGTGGTCTTATAAGTCTGCATCGCTTACTCAAATTTGGACTGCACGAGTGCGTATTTCGACTCTCGAGTACCAAAGGATGCACTAACACCCTAAACAGTACCACAGATCGGGGGGAAGGAAAACAAAAAATTCGAACGCTTTCCTCCTCAGAATTCATTCATCATCGCGTTCCCCTGGTATCACGCGCGCAAACGCACACACACAAAAACACAAACGCGCTTTGCCAAGAGCGACTCTGACGAGACAAGAAAAGTTTTGTCTTCTTCTGTCCTTTTTCTTTTCGTTTTGTTTTTGTTGCGCTTTGGAAGAGTATAATAAGGGTGGTTTGAAGAAAAGAGAAACACAATGGCGGAGCAAAATTACCACTGGGAAACGTCCAAAGAAAACGTCCTCCCGTTGAAGCAAGGACGAACGGTCGCCGCGATCGAGGAGACGTTCCAACAAAACAGCTCGAAGAAGGGGAAAATAAACAACGAGAAAACAGAGCGAGAGAAAAGGTACTTTTACGCGCGAAGAGCGTTGTGTACTCGTCGCGCGTTTCTCTTTCTTTTGCAAGATTCGTTCTTGGAAAAAAACGACGCCTTCCAAAAGAGCGACTGATTTTGAAAAATACTGACCTTTTCTCTCCGCGTCGCCGAACGAAACTTTAGGGCGCACTTGAACGAGATTGCGAATTACGACGGCGAAGACCCGTTGGAAAATTGGTTGAGGTGCGGCTCTCTTTTCTCTTTTCTCTTTTGTCTCTCTTTTTTAAAGCAGCGCTTTCGATTTTCGCGCGGCGTAGCTGGAAACGAACAACCGAACGCGCTTTTACTACGTGCTCACATTTTTTTTCTCTCTCTCTCTCTCAAACACTCTCTCTTTGTTAAAACTCTGGTGGTTATAAAATAGATTGATCAAATGGACAGAACAGACGTTTCCGACGAACAAGAACGAGGAATTACTTCCGATTTTAGAGAAGTGCACGGTTGAGTTGCAAGAGGACGCGAAGTACCAGAAAGATTTGCGGTATTTGCGAGTGTGGATTAAATACGCGGACGCGTGTTCGGACCCGTCGGACGTGTTCAAATTTCTCAAAGCGAACGATATTGGGCAAACGCATGCGCTATTCTACGAGTGTTACGCGAGTTTTTTGGAAATGAAGAAAGCGTACAAGTTAGCGGACGAGGTGTACAAGAGAGGCGTGGAGATGAAAGCCGAGCCGGTGTCGAGGTTGAAGATGCAATACGAAGGCTTTACGAAGCGGGTGAGAAAACGAGAGATGAAGAAAGAGGAAAGAGGAGAGGTTTTGGAAGATCAGAGCCAAAGTTATCGTCATTTTGGGGATAAAGTGACGAAAACTGGGAGAAGGATCGAGGCTGGGTTGACGAGTTTGAGAGCGCAGCAAGCGACGAGAGGTTTGGGCGGCGGCGGTTTGAGAAGACAAAGCGGCGCGCCTACGATCCAAGGCGATCGACGCGCCTCGAACAACAACAACAACATCATGCGTCCCTCCAACTTTGAGGTGTTCGAAGACGACGACGAAAACGGGTCGCGAATGACGCAAAATCGAGGTGATAGCGAAAATATCGCCACAAACTGGAAAAAATTGGGCACCCGAGAGGAGACGATTAAAGAAAACGCGGCGAAGCCGTCGCAATGGAACGGCGCATCGTTGACGGCATCGAAACGAAAACTCGCGCCTGGGAAAACCATCGACGCGACAATTGAAGTCTACGAAGACACGGAGTGCTTAGATGCCGAGATGGTCCAAAAAGCGCTAAAAACGACAAAGATTTCGGAAATGCCTCTTCGCTTGCGCGACCGCATGGACTTGAAAAACGACGTCAAAGTCAATCCGGTGTCCGCGCACGAAAGAGCAAAGTTACTCTCGCAATCGCAAATGAAAAAACCTTCTTCTTCTACCGCTATGGACTGTGGTTCAGAAAAGCAGGTGAATTTGAAAGAAACGTTCGAAGAAACCGCCGCGAGAGAGTGGCGCGAGAACCACCCGGAACACGAAAATTACCAACAACGCATGTCGCACCAATCTCCGATTGTCGTTGCGTCTGCCTCGAACGCCGCCGCATCCAAAGGAATCACGAGCATGGACGTTGACGACGAAGCTGCGAGCAAAAGAAACGAACAGTGGCTCCCTGAACGTCCGAACACGGCGAGTAAGAAGGAGAGCGAACACATCTCGCAAATCGATTCGTGCGAGAACGAGAAATCGGCTCAAAATTCCGCCGCCGCCGCCGCCGCAACTACCGCCGATGAAAAGGCAAAACCATCCGCCGGTGCGCGATGGACGAAAGACGAGGGTGGTTTCTTACAAAATAGCGAGCCGACGATGACGTTTTGCACGAAAGAAGCGTGGGGGGACGTCATGGCAATGTTCTCGGATAGAGGAGGCGCGAAGGAAGAGCAAAAATCCGACGACGAAGGCGGTACAAAATCTGGTTCTGGGTCCGGTTACGAAGGCGACGCGAGTCGAGGCGCGCGAACGCCGAAAATGAAAAGCACTCACGCTGTCAAGAGAGTGGCAGAAAAGAAAGACGACGACGACGACGACGACGACGGTGGATTCCTCGTTCGAGAAGACACGGTGCGCCTTCCCGCGAACATTGTCGTGACGAAAGAAGAAACGAATAATAATAACAACAACAATAACGACTTCGATTTCGACATTCGCGAAGACACGGAGTGCATTCCGAGCTTAACCGAAATCAAGAAAGGCGCGCTGCAACAGAAGAAAGGTTTTGGAAGTCCCATCGTTGTCTTGAAGGAAAGGAACATAGAAGGCGTAGCGCCGGCGAGGAATGAGAATGATGATGAAAACAAAGTACCAACGGGAGCGAAGTCGTCTTTAAACGATAACACGGTTAAACGCTTTTCTATTCCGAAAGGAGAGGAGAAGACGGTTTTAACGGCGGTACCGGCTGTTAATGACGACAAGGACAACACTTTGAAAGATGTCATCATAGAAGAAAATGTAGGCGCGCGCGAGAACAAAACAGCAATAAAAAGAACAAAAGAAAAAGAAAACGAGAAGAAGCATCTCATCGATCCGTTTGCAAACATAGATAGCCTCTTAAAGAGCGCGAAAATCGAATCGAGCAGCGTGCACGTGTCCGTATCGAACGATCCTTCAGAACTCGCCGGTCTCGTTGCCGCTGGGAAGCGAGTGAGCGGCGCGAAGGGCGCCATCGGAAAGAAAGCGGGCGAAGGCGTTGAGGTCACCATCGGCAATAAAGAGTACACGTTGAGAAGTAAAGCTGGCGAAGGCGCGCACGCGTGCGTTTACGAAGCCGAAGGGAAGGAGACTTTGAAACCAGACGATGTGCCTCCAGTGTTTGCGATAAAAGTCGAATCCAAGAAACTGGCCAGTTGGGAGTTTCTCATCTCCTCGCGCTTGTGCGAACGCCTCCCGCGAGGCGCACCGAGAGACATCGTTATTCCTTCGCACCTGCGCTTGTTACTCGACGATAAATCTCAAACACACACCACTGGCGCGCTCGTTATGAAATTTGGCGACCACGGGACTCTCCAAGACGTCGTTAATTTCTACAAGCTCACGGAAAGGAAGACTGGCGCCATGGACGAAAAACTCGCCATGTACTACTCCATCGAACTCCTTCGCTTACTCGAATGGACGCACGAAAGCGACGTTTTGCACTGCGATGTAAAACCAGATAATCTACTTTTGAGAAACGGCGGCGAGCGGTGGTTGGATTGGGACAAGTCCCGACCAGGATCGTGGAAGAAGAAAGGCTTAGCTTTGATCGATTTCGGACGCGCGATCGATTTGAGAGATTACGACGCGAACACGCAATTCGTAGGAAACGCCGGGACGGAAAGCTTTAGCTGCCCGGAGATGCGCGAGAACAAGAGTTGGACGTACCAATCCGATTGCTTCGCAATCGCGGCGACTATTCACGTGATGTTGCACGGCGAGTACATGGAAACAATCACGGATAGAAAGATGGGAAAATACGCGCCAAAGCTCGCGTTGAAACGATACTGGAACCAAGACGTGTGGAAACTCGTATTTGAAAAGCTCATGAACCAGCCGACCACGAAGAGCACGAAGGAAAAACCAAACTTACGAGCGATTCGTGAAGTTTTAGAGGACGCGCTCGATGGCGAAGGCACCGGCGGAAGCGTGGTGAAATCGCTCCTCGTAAAGCAAACGATTGGAATGTTTGAACTCATAAAAGAAGGAAAAGCTGTTTAAAATATATTTGTTGTAACACATAGAGAGAAAACGTTCGAAAGAATTGAAAGCACCGAAAGAGAACAAATGGTAAATAACATCATCTCTCATCAAATCTTCTTTACTACTGTATCGCCGAAGTGACCGCCATGCGCTCATTCTTCGCGTCGATATACAGGCAACACCCGCGAAACAAGTCTGCGCATACGATGCCGTCGGCGTGGCAGGACAATCCCAAATCAGGCGGATCGCCGTCCAAATGCGTCAAAGCGCGCACGGTTTCGTGTTTGAAACCAAACCGTCCTATTCTAAAGCTATCCGCTCGAATCGTAAACGTTTCGTTCGATACTCTCGCTAATCTTCCCGTATCTTCGCCGGCCCCGCTGAGAATGCCGCCGGGAGACAATCCTTGTTTTTGCTCGATGAGATCCAGTTCAGTGGCCACGCGATTGGATAAGATCACTCCAACGCCACCGACGGCTAACGAGAGCTTATACAGCCCACTCTTCGAGTTTACCGTTTTCACCATGGAATCGTCTGGATTTAAGAAGCACTCGACGTACGGCGCCCCATCGATGAACGTCAATTTCGACCACGGCAACACGAAATCGTCGTCGCTATTTTTACTACTACTCGCTGCCAGCAAATCTTCTTCGCTCGCAAACGCATCTAAGGTTACTTTCGGGTTCTTCCTGGACCCTGGCACGCGTTTTGGTACGTTCAAACGAATAATGGTATCGCGAATCGCGTCCAAGCCTAACGACCCGGCCGGAGGGGACATCAACGTCCCGGGTAATCTCGCCGCGGCGTCTAAGCTTTGCTCCCAAAACGCAACGTTCTTCTGCGTGCTCCCGAACGCATCGAAATCGCCGATTCTAATGTTCCCTCGTATTGGTGCGCCGCCGACGCCCAAAGAAGAAGTGTATCCACAAATCTTCAAATCTTCGTTTGCGCTCAAAGCCGCGGCGGTCTTATCGATACCAGACACGTGCGATGAAAAATCGATAAAGAAATACCCTCGACTGGTTTCGGCGAGAAAATGGCCACCCTCGCACCTCATGACGTCGATTGAAGTTGTTTTTGAAGTTGTAGTCTGAGTTTCGCTTTTTAAAGTTCCGTAATATGGCGCCTCGAAAGAGTCGTCGTCGTCGTCGCTACTCCTCACACATCTCTCTTCTGTCGTCGTGTACACGGTCACGTGTCCTGCGGCGTGTTCTCTGTGCGCGACTTCTCCCTCACCTTCACCACTGCTAAATCGCCACAACTCCACCCCTTCCGGCGTAATCAATTCCGCTCGCCAGACGGTAAAAGTGTCCAAGTTTACAAACGCCCGCATTGCAATTTTCGGTTTGATCGCAAACGCGAGCGCGACGACAGCCGTCCTCGTCTTCCCTTTCGGCATGTTCGGAGGCAATATCATCACGTCCTCGTTTACGTCGTCGTCATCGTTCTTTCTCTTTTCCTTCTTCTTCTTTTCCTTCTTCTTCGTCCAAGTAAGAGGAGGCGGTTTCATCGAATACCTCGCCACCGCGTCCGCCGCCGACGTCTCGCACACGCCCACCACTTTCCCTCTTAACATTTTATTCACCCCATTTTCCGTCGCCCATTGCCCGGTCCTCGCCACGAACGTGTTCAAAACGTTCTTCTCGCACCCATCTAAATGGTTTTTCCGTATCGTTCCGGAGAGTTCCGATTCGTACGAGTAGTACTGTTGACCATTGGTCGACGTTTCCTCCTCTTCGTTAAACCCGCCCAGAAGAGTCTTGAAAGAGCTGTCCGTGAAGTCAACGCGTTCCTTGTATTTGTTCTTCGCGTATTTGATGTGAAATCTTCCACGTGCGCCTAACGCGCACACGGTGCCTTCTTTTACGTGGATGCTGTCGTTGTTTTCGTCGTTCTTCTTCTTCTTCTCGTGAAACACTCGCGCGGCGATCGAGTCCGCGTCGATGGTACGCTCGACTTCATCTTCGCTCCCCGTTGGGGTCGTTGCCGCTGATTTTGCATCGCGCGAGAAAAAGCAGCGTTTTTGTCCCCGTGGTCGTCGCAGCGAGAGACGATTTTGATTCCTCTCGTCGCAAATTCTCCTCCTCCCGTTGTTTCGCCTCGTCGTTGAGAGCGACGACGGTGCACACGATGACGACGGTGTCGTCGTCGACGCTCGCGAGCATACACTCGTCGCCATTTTGAGTAACGTCTTTTTTTACCTCGGTGGGAAAAACAATTCGTTTTTGCTCCGCGATGTCTTGTTCTGGAGAAGTCACGACGAGAGCGCGGACGAAAAAGCGCGACACAGCGGAAGAGAGAGATTCTTTCGTGTCGTCGTTGTGGGAGTTGATCGTGAAGTGCGACGATGTGAGTTTCCAACACATTCTTCCGAGATTGAATGGAACCGATCTTAAATTCTTGTACGGAGTGAATAGTGAAACGAGAAAGTTGATTAAGAGATCAACTCGCGCGGGGGATTTGAAGAAGAGTTTCGAAGTCCAAGAGATTTCGTCGATATCGACTTTGGAAGTAGCGTGGGAGCATTATCCGTGGGGTACGTTGAGTGACAAGCGAGGCATAAAGATGGACGAAACATATTTCTGCTCTCGAGTTGCTGAAACGAATAAACTCGAGTTGCTCAAGTGGGCGCGAGAAGAGAAAAAGTGTAAGTGGAATGTAGCGACGATTAATATGGCCGCAAAACAAGACAATATGGAAATGCTAAAGTATTGTGTTGCAAATGAGTGTCCTATCGATGAGTGGGCGTGTGCATATGCTGCCGAAAACGGTCGTCTCGAGGTACTCAAATACTTACGCGAAAAAGTCAAAGCGCCTTGGGATTTTCGTACTGCCGCTTTTGCGGCTTATGATGGTCACCTCCACATACTCGAATATCTTGTTGAGCGTAAGTATGATAAATATAACGAAGCTGCGTGTGTATGGGCAGCAGAGTCCGGCCACTTAGACTGTTTGAAGTACTTGCACGAAACCGCCAAAGCGCCTTGGAACGAGGGCGCCCTAGAAGGAGCGCACGAGAACAACCACCCCGACTGTGTACAATACCTCCTCGACACCAACTGTCCTCTCCCACCCGGTTGGCGATACGAAGGCGGAACGTTATACGACGAGTTCTACGACTCGGAAGAAGAAGAAGAAGAATAGCTCCCCGGACGGCGCGTACGCGCGAGCGAGAAAAAAGAGAGCGTACTCCTCTTTTCGCGCTCGTTAGACAAAAGAGAGACACGTCAAATACAAGCACGCACACGTGTGCGACAAACATAATAAATACTAAACGTGTACACATAAATTGTAACATGCACTCGTAACGAACCAATACGAAAGCAAAAAAGAGTAAAAGAAAACCTACGAGATAGAGCGTTACCCCGCTGACTTTGTTCTCCGCTTTCCGTATTTTCTGCAGCAAAAAGAGCCTAAGAATCCGCCTTTTCGAGATCTTCACTCTTCACCGCTTTTCTCCGCTATTATTAAAGAGAGAAAGAGAAGACTTTAGTAAAGAAGCGCAACGAAAGAAGCAAGGAAAGAATATGGTTCGATTAAAAAGGGCGTTATCGTCCACCGCGGGTATGATGAACTCCTGGCCGAGCACGAACGGCTTGAGCAACTTCCAAATCGATTCCGTCGTTTCCAACGACGACAAGCACTCCTCGAAAGTTCTTTCGATCGCGGAGAAGTGCTCCTCGATCGAAAAACCACCGGTGCCGCACCAAAAGTGCAAAGTGATCGCCACGATTGGTGGGGAGATGAGCAAAACGGTGGACGATTTGTGCATGTTTTTAGAAAGCGGCGTGACCGTGGCGAGGTACGACTTTAGTCACTCGACCAGTTCACACGAGGAGTTTCAGGAGGTGATGAAGAATCTGACGCGAGCGCAGAAAATAACGGTACGTTTTAGAGCATCATCATCGGTCGCGTCAATCGTGGTACACGTTTCTTCTGATCGTCTTTTTAAGTGTTAGTATCATTATTATCAGCGCGCTTGTTTTGTCGCCGCGTACGTACTGACGACGAAGAACATCTCTCGCATCATCTCACTCTTTAATAAATATCGACGAACGTAGAAACGATTGTGCGCGACGTACCTCGCGTTTGGCGGGGACACGTGCCGAGTCGAAGTCGCCGAGGAGTTGGAAGAAGACGAGGAGAAAGAAGACTCGGCGGCTTTGTCGTCGGGCGAAGAGGAGGAGGAGGAGTCTTCGTCTCGCGGAGACGATCGGTTGTCCTCGTCGGAGAGCGTGGCGGCGAAAAGGTTTACTCCGGCGAAGAAAGGCGAGAAGAAAAAGTCGTTGAAATTTTCAAGGGGCGGCGCGGTGAAGTTGACCAACACGAAAGAGGCGCAAAAGATTACCAGCGCGAGATCGATTCCGTTGGGAGATCACTTTGAGCATTTCGCGGCGCACTGCGATGTTGGGGATGAGATTTTTATCGCGCCGTTGATTGGGAATAACAACGATAAGAGCGCTAAGTTGATTGTGAGAAACGTAGAGAGAGAGACGGTGACGTGCGAGTGCGACGGAGATTTAGAGTTTGACGTGGGTTTTGCCGGGAATTCAATCGCAATTCGGTTCAGGCGCGAATCCGGGGCGCTCTCGCCCGGGGACGAACAGTTGCTCAAAAAAATTAGTCGATCGGTTCCGGTGGATTTCGTCTCTTTCGGAGGCGCCACGGGAAGCCATCAGTTGGCGGATTTGAAACGAGCGGCGCAAAAGTTTTATCCGAAAGTCGCGTTGATTGCACGAGTGGACACGTTGAAGGCGTTGCAGAGCGTCAAAGAAACGTGTAAAGTCGCGGATGCCATTTTATTAGCCAGAGGCGATTTGGGTGCCGTCATTGCCCCGGAGAAGATGTTTCGCGTGCAAAAGTTCGTCTTGCGCGTGTGCGAAGAACTGGGAACGGTCGCGGTTGTCACCAGACTCGTCGATTCGATGATTAAGGCGCCACGACCGACCCGAGCAGAAGCGACAGATATCGCAAACATCGTTTTAGACGGCGCGGACGCTTTAATGTTGGGTAAAGAAACCTACTCGGGGATGTTCCCGGTGGAATGCGTCAAGACTGTTTTAGCCATCGCGAACGCCGCGGATAGAGTGTACGATTACGAATCGCGATATGCGAGACAAAAGAAGTTCGTTTCCTCTCGAATTTCCGCGTTATCGGAAGGTAGAAGCGATAAGTTCCCTTCTGGTAAAGGTAACGCGCGCGAATCGAAGGAAGAGAGCGCGTGGATGAAGCACATAAGCAACGTCTCGCGTAAAGAGTTGCACAAGTGGTCTTTAGCCGACGCCGCGGTCTCGTGCGCGTACCAAACGCGCGCGAGCTGTATCGTCGTATTTTCGCACACCGGGGAAACGACTCGAATGATTGCAAAATACAGACCGATTTGTCCGGTGATGAGTTTGACGATTCCGTCTATTCGAGGCGGCAGCTTGAGTTGGGTCATCGAAGGCGCCGAGGAGGCGAGGCAACAGTTGATCATTCGAGGCATCATTCCTGTTTTATCCGACGGGCGCGAGGCAGTGAGTAACATTATTAGCAACGATTCGGACGTATCGGACGTATTTTTAGACGCTCTGCGAAGGAATCCGTCCGGTGCGGCGGACGTCGAAGCCATGGCGCGGTTGCGACAACTCGGTTTAATTAAACCCGGAGGCGTTTGCGTGTTTTGCCAATTAATCGGCGGCGTCTCGACGGTCAAAATTCTTGAATACGGCGGAAGAGTCGTCGATAGCATTAACGTTGGGACGTCTTCTCCAGGTTCTCCCGAGAAAAGACGCGCCGCGGCGTTGCACGCGCAAACTTCCGCTTGGGCCGCCGGTCGAAGAGACAGTTTACACGACGACAATCCTCTCGGCGGCCAACCGCCTCAACTCATGGACGAACTCTTCGGTAACCGCGCCGCTTCGCCGTCGTTACAAGCGCAATCGTCCATTCGAATGGCGAATGTGGGCACGTTTTCCGGTGAAAACTTGAGCGACATGCAAACAACCGCGAACAATCACGTCGCGTATCCGCCGCCGATGTACGACAAATCAAAGCTCGGCAACGCGAGTCAACAAAGTCTCACGTCGTCCATCGGCAACTTGACCATCTCGCATTCCAGCCGCGAAAGTTTAGGAGACATGAAAGAGGGTCCACCGAGACAAATGTCACCGTTGGGCCGAATCTCAGGAGACGCGAAAAGGTCCTCGTTCGATCGCGAAAAGTTTGCGAGAAGACGCATAGAATTAGAGCGCAAGAAGGAAGAAATCGAGGGAGGAGAAGCGCCCGCCGCGGAAGCGGACGACGGCACGCCGTTCGGGAAAAATATTTCTTCTGGCATGCCGCCTTCGGCCAAGTACACGACGTCGCCGAGTTACACCGGACGCATGTAAGAAGAAGAAGAAGAAGAAGAAGTCATAGGAATATTTATACATATATAGAGAGAGAGAGAGAGAGAAATCGAAAGATTTTTGTATTTATTGGTTTACAAGGTTAGTTTTACAAACAAAATGTGTGTATGTACAGACGCCACGCTCGCCAGCGGGCGCGCGTGCGCAATGTCTTTCATTTCTTACTCTACTTAACGACGGCTAGTGAATTCGGCTCAGTCGGTTCGTTTGAATAATCAGAGATGTTCAGATTTACTGGTTTGCTCAAATTTTTCACATCATCGCCGAACACAACATCTCGCGCGTCACGAAATAGATTTAAAACGAGCGCACTCGCGCGTAAAACGTGACGGAATCTTCTTCCTCCTCTTCTCCTTCCTCGTCGTCGTCGCTCGATGTCGCAATTGGACTCTCGTTACCCAACTCAATCGCCGCGCTCATATCCAGCGCGTGCTGGAAATCCCTCTCTTCCTCCTCGACGTTGGCCGTAAAATCCTCGTACGCGAATCGGTGTCGTAACGACACGTGCGCGACGATGTTTTGACAGACGTAGTCCGGGCGTCCCCAAGGCATCGCGGCGCATATCGGACACACGGCGGAAGATCTCGACGTACCGTGCTCAGTTATGACGTGCCTCGTGAAACCTTCGACGGACGTAAACGTGTGTCTGAAACCGTCCTCGCACAACGGACACGCGTACGAAACGTTCGTCCCCGATCCTCCTCTGTTCGTCGAATTTTGCGTGGACGTCGCCGCCGCTACCGCCGCTGACTTTTTCCTTTCCTCTTCTCTCCTCTTTGCCTCTTCCACCGCCTTGGCTGCCGCATCGCGAAACTCTTTGTGCGCCTCGCATTTAGCCACGTGCTCTCGATGTTCGCTCAATTTGAACGACGTCTTACACGGACACGATTTCACTATAAACGCGCACAACTTCTCTTCGCACTGTTCGTCGACTTTAAACTTACGCGATAACGCGGAAAATTTTTCGCGACACACGGGACAGGGCGCCATCGCTTTCGTCGGAAATTTTGACGCCCATTGCTTCAGGCACGCCTCGCAAAACGAATGCACGCGACATCCCGCAAAGACCGGGTTAGATTTCGGCTGTTGTGGTTATTTGATGTAAACGTAAATGAGAGAAAGATGTAGAGAGAGAGAGAAAGGAAAGAAAAAAAGAGAAGAAGCAAGTATTCAAATCGACTGAAAGTCTCTCCGAGAGAGAGAAAAGAGACAGAAAAGAGACAGAAAAGAGAGAGAGGAGTGCCTTCATACGACGCATCGGTCACACATCGTCACGGGAATCGCCACAAGCAAACGCTCCGCTGACACTCTCTCTCACTCTCTTTTCCTCTTCCCTTCTGCGCTCTCGAAGCAGCGCGCGCGCGCGCGCGCGCGCGAAAAACACGTCACCCCCAATAAGAAGGTTATTTCCGATACAAAAGAGTAGACACGTACCTCGGCACAAATAGTGCACTCTAAATCGCTCGGAATCTCCTCCCCAAAACTGATCGATCGCGCGTGGTGCGCGTTCATCATCATTAGTGCTTTTGCTGACTGCTCTTCTTCTTCTTCTTCTTCTCGTTGTTGGTGTTCTTCAAAGTGCGACGGCGCGATGCCCATAGTAGGCAAGAGAGAGAGATGGTCGTATTTTTAAATTTTGCCTCTGTGTGTTGAAAATATTTTTGACGAAAATACAAAATATTGCCGTTTTTTAATGCATGTGTTGCATGTCCTCAATTTTAAATACGCTTTGTACGAAAGCAGACGATGATGACGATGTTTTCTGAGATCATCTCGGTGAAAAGCAGAGAGGAAAATCTGCTCTCGTGCGCGCGAAAGTCGTTCCAACGCGTGTCATCCGTTTTCAATTCAGAGGTGGTTGAAGTGATGATGTTCTCGCGTTATGAAAGATATTTTCGTACCTTGTGCACAGAACAGAAAACAGAAGAAAAGTTTCACACAAAAAATTAGCGAGAGCGATGGATTCACGAGAAGAAGAAGAAGAAGAGAAGGAAAAGCATCCAAAGCGCGACGAGAATCCACCGTCGCGAGAAGAAGAAGAAGAAGACGGAGCGATGTCGATAACAAAGAAACCAATCGTACCTCCGTTACACGCAGCCGCGAGAGAAGGTGACCTCGAATCGCTCTCCAAACTGCTCGCATCACATTCTTCCCCGACCACCACCACCAACAACAACAACAACCACATCATCAACGAACGAGACATGCACGGACGAACGGCGATACACTTAGCGTCTTGGGCGAATGAAAAAGCAATCGTGGAAAGATTGCTCGATTTTGGAGCGGATGTGACTGTTGGTGCCGCGGATGGCGTGCAGGCGATACACTTTGCATGCATGAAAGGGCATTTAGGTATCGTCAAAACGCTCCTCTCGCGAGAGAGGACGAATCGCGCGAACGTTCGAGCGAAAACGAGCAAGAACGAAAACTGCATGCATTTTGCCGTCAAGAGTGGTAACAAGGAGTTGGTGGAGTACTTGGCGAAGAAGAATGTCTCGGTGCTTTTGAAGAGCGCGAAGCGTAAGTACGCGGCGGATATGACGAATAAGAGGGAGATTAAAGAGATCGTCGAACGATTGAAAGAGACGCAGGAGAAGGAGGAAGAGGAAAAGAAGAAACGGAAGAAGAAACGGGAGGAGGGTGATAATAATAATAATAATAATAATGAAGATGAAGATGATGTAGTTGTAGCGGAAGACGACGCGGTCGTTTTAGAGGCGGCGGCGGGGCCGATGCTGCCGCCGCATTTGATGACGCGGGAGTGCCCGGGTACGAGCGACGATGAAAACGAGAAAGAAGACGAAGAAAAAATGGCCGCGAGTAAAAAGAAACGAAAGAAGGAGACGAAACCGCCGATAATGGGTTTGAGCTTTGGCGAGGAAGATGAATAGCGTCATGATATGGTACAAAAATAGTCGATCGATTTTTCCTTGTCGTCAAGTGTTGTTTTTTATCGCCCGCGACCTTTATATCCTTTCGCGCCTCCGCCGCTCTGTTTCGTCTTCTTCATGCCTTTCTTTTCGTCGCCAAACGCGTACTTCTTCCTCCCGATAATCGCGCTCAAATCGTCCTCGCCGACGTCATCATTTCGAATCCTTTTAAATCCACCACCTTTCTTCGCGTCCGCGTCTCGCATTTGACTCGCCGCGATCCTTTGAGCCTCGTTCACGCGTTCCAACATCACCAGGCACTGCTCTTCTTCCACCGGGTACTTCTCCAATCTCTTCTCGATGAGCCGTTCGATTTTTTGATACAATTCCACGTCGTATTGCGTGACTAACGTGATAGCTAACCCGCTTCTACCGGCTCGCGCGGTTCTTCCAACTCTGTGCACATAATCCTTACTATTCATCGGGACGTCGAAATTGATAACCACGTCGACGCTGGGAATATCTAAACCTCTCGACGCCACATCCGTGGCGACTAAAATGTTTCTCTCGCCGCCTTTAAACTTATTCAACGCGCCTTGCCTTTTCGGCTGCGACATTTGCCCATGAATCGGAATCGCGCTGAATCCAAGATTTCTCGCCACCAGCGCTAACTTTCTCGTCTGTTCGCACGTCCTCGTGAACATCATGATCGTGCTCGCGCTCAGCTCGTTCAACAAGTAACACGCGTAACACTCCTTGTGTTTCGCCGGCACGAACAAATAATTTTGCTTCAAACTTTTCACCGTGGAATACTTGCTCGCGACTTCTACTTTCACCGGATCTCTCAAACACGCTCTCTGTAACTTGTTCACTTTACTCGTCATCGTCGCCGAAAACAACTGCGTTCGTCTCTCCCTCGGAATCACCTTCAAAATCGTATCGATTTCCTCCTCGAAATCCAAATTCAACAGTCGATCCGCCTCGTCTAATATCAACACTTTCAACTGTCGCAAGCTAAACCCTTTGGTATTCTCCAAGTGATCGACCACTCTCCCAGGCGTCCCGACTAACACGTGCGGCCGTTTCCCGATCTGTAACGACTGCGACGTCATGTCCATCCCTCCCACCAGTACCGCGCACTTCACCCCGATATCTTTCCCTAAACACTCAAACTGCTCCGCGATTTGACTCGCTAACTCTCTCGTCGGTGATAACACCAACGTGTGAAACGCCCTCGGCTCGTGCAATAAGTCTTGCAAAACCGGTAACGCGAACGCGCCGGTCTTCCCTGACCCGGTTTGCGCGAGACCGATGACGTCTTTCCCGTTCAACGCGTGCGGGATGGATTGGATTTGGATTGGGGAGGCGGCGGGCCATTTCATGGCATCGCACGCGGCGCAGAGTTCTTTGCAGATGCCCAGAGAGGCGAACGTGACGACTTTAGCATCGTCGTCGTCTGAATCGTCCGAATCGTCGTTGTCCTCATTTTGTTTCTTTTGCGTGGGTAAAGGTTTTTGTTCACCTTCGCTCTCGGTGTCCGACATTTTATTCTACTCGAGCGCTTTCTTTATGAGGACGGAGGAAAAGGAAGAGTTGAGAAAGAGAGAGAAAATGGTACCGTCGCTTCTTCTTTCATTTCTTCTTATTGCGTGCGTATATTATAATTGCTCTATGACTACTGCGTCTACTCTCTGTTACTTTTACACGACTACTACTGCGTGTGTGTTACTCTTTGTCTTGTTCTTCTTCTTCTTCTTCCTCCGTGTCCATCAAAAACAGCTTTCCGAACAAAGCGGTGCTCGTCGATTGGCGCAAATAGAACAAACCGAGACCGCCGCCTTTCTGTTTCGCTTTTTGTAGCAAGTCTTGTTTCCTTTCCAACAAGCGTTCCGTTCTTCTTTTCAAGTTGGAGGTAAGGATGTGCGGTTCGCCTTCGACGACGTTCGCCAAGGTGAATTCCGGGGTGATTAAGAACCCGGTGGAGGTGGTCGGCGGCGGTTGATTTTTGGAGGTATCGTCGTCGTCGTCGTCTTTTAAAACGACGGAATCGTTTTTGTTCGTCGTTTTCAGCGCGAGCGTTTCAATGAAAGCCTCTCCCTCGTATTCATCTTTTTCGAAACTGAAAAATTCTCTCCTCAACGTCTCCAATCCGTCTTTCGCTTTTCCAATCTCCTCGCTCGTCATCAACAAAATCTGCGGGTTGTTCTCAACCACCCAATCCAAACGTTTCACGTCTCGCAAAACCATTTTCCATTCAATCGCCGCTTTCGTGATCTCCTTAAAGCTTTTCTCCAGAACCACCTCCGGTTTTTTCCAAAGCATCGCGTTCACGTCGCAATTCGGGAATAATATCTTCATCCGATCCAATCGATCGACGAGCGATTCGGAATTTTTCTTCTTCTTTTCATCATCCTCCAGCCTCTCTTCCATCATCATCTCATCCTCCAACCGCATCTCCGCCAACACCCCGCCTCCTAACTCTATCAATCGTTTCAGCATCTCTCGGTCTTTCACTCCTCTCGTTTGCCAAAATTTCGTCAGGCTTTCCGTTTCTTCGTCTTTTTGCGGCTGAGGAAACATCCACGCGTTTTGTTGGACCAGTCGGTCGAAATTCGTGACCCGTCTTCTTTGTTTTCCATCATTCGTCGTCTCATCGTTTTCATCGTCATCGGAAGACACGGAAGAAGAAGAAGACGCGGAACTCTTCCTCCGAAACCTGGTGCTTCTTTTTCTGCGAGAAGAACTCGTTTTCGACCTAAAAGACGCGACGAAAAGGACGAGTTGTGTTGCACAAAGATGATGTGTTTTGTGCATTTTAACTGAGGAATTTCCCGCAGAAATCAACTCTTAAGAAGAAGACTTTGATGATGCGGACGCTTTCGTCATCGTCGGTCTCACGCTTTATGAGAAGCAGAGGAAGAAGAAGCGCGACGACGACGACGACGACGACGACGAACGCCGTCATCGATCATCCTCCGTCTTTGAATGCGAGCACTGCTGCTCGAAATGCACCGTTATTGGATTACTTGGTGTACACCTTTCCATCGCTTCTTTGCGCTTCGCTCGGGTACTGGCAACTCCAACGGAGAGAAGAAAAACTGCTCAAAATGAACGCGCGAGCGGCGGCGTTGCACCGCGAACCGTTGCAGTCTCTCTCAGAGGTGACGGAAACGACGGAGGAGTTTCGAAGGGTTCGCGTGGAAGGCGAGATGATAAAGAATTCGATTCGAGTCGGACCGAAAGTGAGAACGTCGGAGGTTTCGAACAACGAGAAAATAGCCGGGTACGATTTAATCACGCCGATGAGAGAGAAGAGAAACAAAAACGCGAGAAGGAAAGGGGTCTGGCCATTTGGCGGCGGTGGTGGTTCGAACGACGACGTAAACGACGACGACGTCGTCGCGCTCGTGAATAGAGGTTTCGCCGAACGCGCGTTTGAGGACGCGAAAGGCGGGATGTGTTTGAAGACGATCGGGGTGGTGAGAAAAGGAGATGTGAAAGGGTATTTCACGCCGGAAAATGTGCCGGAGAAGAACGTTTGGCATTACGTGGACGTGAGAGGGATTGGGGAGTATTTGGGATTAGTCGTAGGCGGGGGGAGTAGTCATAGCAGTAGTATCGCAACTCTCGGGAAAGATGAGAATTTGAACGAAGATAAAAAGGAAAAGGGGTTCGTGCCGTACGTTCAATTAATCAGGCCGATTGGCACGACCACGTCGACGTCGTCGCAGCAGCCAATACCAGTCGCCGAGGAAGAGTTGATGAAGTTTTCCGTCCTTCCCGAGCAGCACATGAATTATTCCATGACGTGGTTTTCACTTTCCGCGGTGACGTTAGGGATGGCCTCGTTCGCGTTGTTGAAGAAGAAGAAAGTCCCAAAGTTGTGAAAAAAGAGTTGTTATTCGTGCGTTCTAAAGAAGCCAAGAAGAAGCTTTCATACATTCGTATTATGGATTTTTAAAGTTCTACTACTGGTACCTTTCTATTTTTCATGGGATCCAAACGTTTGAACAGAAACTTGTTCCAACGCGCTTAGCGAAGGAGGGCCCCCTTCACCATCACCTACTTCCACATCTACCCACACCTCCTTCACTGGACCGCCGCCGCACGCGTTCGGCATCTCGTGCTCTAAATCCGTACTAATCGCTCTCGCTATTTCTCCGAATTCGCCGTGGACGTTGATTTGGTCTCTGGAACTGTACCCAAAATGAGTAGAATCCATCTCCCATCGTTTGGCATCCGTAAACTCGTCCGTCGTCGTCGAAACTACTGTCGTTTCCCCTACTTCTACGTCGTTATTTCCCATTTTCACCAAAATACGTTTCGCGAACGGATCTTCTAGCTTGTATCTCACGTTAAATAACCCAAACATAGCTAAGGAGCTCAAACAGGAAAGTAGGCACGCGTACGCGAGAACCCAAATTTTGGTCGATTCCGATGGATTTGTTGTTCCGTCTTCTTCGTCGCGCAACATGCTCGTCACTAAATTCGCGTAATACGGCCCCCAAAACATCGGGTGGACGAAAATATACACCCTCGCAAACGCTCTGGTAGCAATTGGCGTGCGATAGGTCTTAATCAATCTCAAATTCTCCCACGCTGTCATGCACGTCGTCAAATAATTCCTCAATCTCGCCGCCTCGTTACCGGGAAAACCGACGTACTTCAACTCTTCCGTGCACATGCTCAACTTGTTAAACGCACTCAAAACGTCATCGCACAACCTCGAGTGCATCTTCATCGCCTTCATTTTCGCCTCTCTCCCTTTAACCGTGTTCAAATGCATCAATCTGTGCGCGCTTCTCATGCACAACACGTCCCTCGCGTTCGATATTAAATCGACGACTATCAATCGAACTTTATCCGCGTGGCCTTTCGGGAGTAACATCCGACCTCGTTCTTTCCGCGTTGTGTTGCTTTTTTGACTTCCTATTAAGTGCCCGGGCGCGTACCAATCCCAGTCGCGATGTCCGTAAAAGTACGACACCAAAGTCGCTTTAAACGTCGCCACGTGTTCCAGCGCTCTCTCTCTTCTCTTGAACGCCTCGGACAAACTCGACGTCAGAGGGAAGATAATCACAAAGCTAATAACCGCCCAAGAGACGTTCGCGGCTAATCGATGTCCGTTCACTTCGTATAAACTGAACGTCAAAACTGAGGCCGAGGAAATCATGCACAATATGAAACTTTCCAGGGTGAGCACGTGTTCCAGAGTGACTCTCAGCGACGAGACGAACTGTAACGCGGACGCGTTGAGTGAAAAGAAACATCTCTGAAACTTTGAATTCCCCGCGAGTGCGTTGTTGTCATCGTCATCATCTTGTTGGAACGAATTTGGTCGCGAAAACCGTTCCATGGCGAGAAGCATCGACGACGACATCGTTTTTGGTTTCAAAGCGCCACTTTTATCGGGTTTCTTCATCCTCTTTCGCGATGAATATACGCGATTCCCCTGCGAAAGAAATGGAGAAATTTCGATTGGAAATCCACACTTCGGCGGCGTAGTAGTATTGAACACACAAAGAACGCGGCAATAATACGCCATCGCTTTTACGCAAACAACAGCACCAATACTGTACGAATCATGGCGTCTGGAGGTACGATCCATTACAAGTTCAAATCTCAAAAGTCCTACGACACGGTCACCTTCGACGGCGTCTACATCTCCGTCGCGAATTTGAAACAACTCATAGCGGAGAAGAAAGGCTTGGACAAAGAAGGCACCGCGGAATTGTTACTCACGAACGTCACCGAGGATGGTAACAACAAAGGAGTAGGTCAAGATTTAACCGACGACCAAAGTTTAGTGTGGAAAAACGCGTCGATTATCGTGAGGAGAGTCCCGAAAGCGATGGGGAAAACCATCGGCGATGCCCAAGAATTGAAGGAAGAAAAGAAGCGGATCTACGTGAAACCACCGGACGCGGCGACGCTGAACATGGCGCAACAAGCCGCGAACAGAAACAGAAGGAACATGCTCACGGCGAAAAGAGAGAAAAGGGAACGGATGAAGAAAATGAGAGAAGGAGAAGGAGAGGATTTGGACAACGCGGACGACGACTTGGACAACGAGGAAGAAGCGTTGAAAGAAGAGAAGGACATCAAAGATTTAATCGCGAACGAGACGAAACAATGGGACGCGGAAAGACTTCAAGCACGGAACGCGAAGATTGTGTCCAAAGCGGCCGGGAATCAACCGATGCAAAGGCAAGGAATCGCGACGAGGAATAACGCGGCACCGGTGGTGTCGCAAGGCGTGCAATTGGCGAAGGAGATGCAAGCGAATAAAATTATGCACCAGAGTTACGTGAGAGCGGACGGGGCGGGGGTGCCGGGGCCGGGGTACGTGTGTAAACAGTGTAACGTGCCGGGACATTGGATTCAAGATTGCCCGCAAGGGAAAGATGCGAACGTGGAAGTGGTGAGGATGAAAACGGCGTATGGGATTCCGCAGAATAGGTTGGAAGGGACGGATACGGGGGTTTTGGTCGGGCCGACGGGCGAGAGCGTGGAGATGAAAGCGGACGAGACGGAGTTCGATCGCATGATGGGGTTTTTAACCGGTAAAGAAGAAGATGAGGATGACAAGATGTTGATGATTGGTGATAAAAAAGATGGCGAAGAGGAGAATGCAGGTAACGAAGGAGAACAGCACCCTTTTTCGCCGGCGACAGACGGAGTCCAATCGCCGACGATGGCGCCTCCGCCGGGCGGTCCTCCACCAGGCGGACCTCCACCGCTTCCAATGGGGCCTCCGCCATCCACCGCGGAAACGAGAGAAGAGAGAGACAAAAAGCGCGCGGAGGAGAAAGCGGCGGCGAAAGAACGGTTCGTGAACATGTCGCCGGAAGAGGTGATGAACATGGATCCGGCGGAGATGGAAAAGTTGATGGCGCTCATCGGCGACGACGAGAACGATGAGATGATGAAGATGGGAGATGGAGGTGGTGGAGGTGGTATGCCGCCGCCTGGTATGCCGCCACCGCACGCGCAGCGGTATCGTCGGGGTCCCATGGGAGGATTCCCATCCCTTGGTGGTGGTGGTTATAACAACGCAGTCATCGTAACGGAACCGAAGATAGACATGACGCCGGAAGAGGAAGAAGAAGCGGACAGAATGTTGAAAACAGGCGATTTTAGCTCGATAGAAGCGATGTTGAAAACCTTTGGGTGCACGCCAGAACAAATCGAACACTTGATGAAGACGCAACCGTCGTTTCCGAATCCATTTTATGGCGGCGGACCGCCGGGCGAAAGAAGGCAATTTGCCGGTCCAAGACCGTGTTACGCGTACGCCAAAGGCGAGTGTTTCCGGGGCGATCGGTGCAAATACTGGCACGATCCTTCGATTCCAGCGCCGGACCGCTCGAAACAAATCGGCGAAGGCGGTCCGTGTTGGGCCTTTGCGCAAGGACGATGTTTTCGAGGCGACTCGTGCAGATTTTCGCACGACCCGAGCATTTTACCCAAGGATTTAGAAAACAATCCGTTTCGAAACGCGGGCGTGCAAGACGGACCGCCGCCGACGCAATTTGGCGGCAATGGTGGCGGCGAGGACGGAGGAGGACCGTCAGAGTTTGGTGGTCGAAAGCGCGTGCGAGAAAACTCCAGAGATCGATTCGAAGACACTATTCAACGAGACGACTCGCGAGAAGGTCGTCCGAGCTCGCGAGGAGGGTACGACAATCCACCAAGAAGAGGTAACTCGCGCGACCGCGGTGCTCCTCCGTTCCGATTCGGCGCGGAGCAACAACCATCCGGTCCACCTCTCGACCATCAGCAAAGAGGTCGCCGCATGCCGCCCGGTCCTCCTCCGGGATCCAAACGTACTCGCGACGATTCGAGAGAACCCGGAGGAAGCCGACCGCCGAGCAGAGACGGAGGTCGACCGCCGGAGGCGAAACGCTCCAGACGAAACGAAGATAACGACGCCACGCAGCATCAAAACGGACAACAAGGTGGTGGTGGTGGATTCGTCGAAGGTTTTCGAGGAGGAAGAGGAGGAGGAAGAAGAGGAGGAGGAGGAAGAGGTCGCGCGCCGCCGCCTCCAGCCTCCCAAGGAGGCGGCCAAAGAGGTAGTCGTAGCATCCGAAATAGATTGACCCGATAATAATACACAAAAGTGAAACGAATATACAACTTGAGCACACCACACCACACCACGCAATAATAGTACATAAACGGCGATGAAATATGCGTACGCGCACGAAAACTTCCTCACTTCCCACCTTCTGTGTTTTGCATAACACAAACAAAAATGGGTCAGTGCGTTTCCCAACCGCTTGTGCTCGACCAAGCAGCGCAAGAAGAAGAAACAGAAGAAACAGAAGTCAAAATTGATCTCCGCAAGGACGAACTTTTGCTCTCCCCTCGAGGTTTGCACGGTGTCTTCGACGGCGTGTACGTCGATCCGAAACTTCTGTCGAAACAGTTGAAGCATTTTCGCGTTGAAATCCAAAAGAAAAAACTGGCGCCGTTTTGGCCCGCGGAAGACGAGGAGACCGAAAAGAGCTTCGAGTTCTGCCCGATATGCGCGTGTTACTACAGAAGCGTCAATGTGACGAAGTGTTGCCAGTTTAAACTGTGCTCGGAGTGCCACGCGAGAAACGTGAACGGATTTCTGTTTAGTTTTAAAGCTTCCCAAGAGAACAACAACAACAAGAAAGGTCAACACGCGAAACCGACGTGCGTGTGCTGCAGGAAAGAAGACTACAAGGTGTCGTATCGAGGCGTGCAGACGAGGAAAGAGCGAGAGCAAATCGAGAAAGAGCAAAAACAGGTCGAGATATCTTTGGAGCGCGCGAAAGTTGGCGTCGAGGAGGAGACGAGGCGGCGGCAATCTTTGACGCGGGAGGGAAAAGGCGACGGAGGGGAAGTGCCGAAAGGATGGGAGGAAGAGTACAGCATGGCGAGGTTAGCGGAGGAAGGTGGGAGCCCGAGAGCGAGAGAGGAAGTCGCGGAGAGGAGTTTTGGTAGGGTAGCGTGGGATAGTAACGGTAGAAATAGTAGTAGTGCTTCGTCGTTGACGCCAAGCCAGAGGATTTCGTTGCTCCGGGGGAGAAGCGAAATGTTTTCGGAAATGTACGACGCTTTGTTCGACGACGACGAAGATAGAGGGAGTCAGAGAAGTCGGAGAAGTTTGGATTTGGGTTCAAGAAGGAATTCACAAGACTTTCGAAGGAATTCGGAAGAGTTCTATCGGCGAGGCGTGCTTCCGCCGTTCGAGTCGGCTGAGAACGCGACCAACGCGGCCATCACCACTGGTAACGCTCGACAACAGCAACAACAACAACAACAACACTCACGCCGTTTAGTGCAAGACTTTCGAAACATGGTGTTGGAAGAACTTTACCTGTCAGAAGCGATTTATAGAAGTATGCTCGACGTCCACGAAGACGAAAGTGAAGGGGAAGTTCATCAACACCAAATCGGCAACCTCGAGGAAGGATATGAAAATAACAGCGAAACCGAAGAAGCGTCCGATGTGGGGGAAGAGGCGCCGAATGGAAGAGAAAATAACGAGGACAGAGAAGAAGTAGATGATGATGATGATGAAGAAGAAGAAGATGATGACGGCGGGACGACGAGAGACGCCTCCTCGGAGGACGAAGCGTAATAATAGAGAAGTAGATGTCTACGTAGAGGTTCGATTTGAAGTTATCTGAGCAAAAAGTAAGCACTCTTAATGGCACTCCTCGTGACTCTGGCCGCGAGGTTCGCAGTTGCACCACCACCACCACCGCCGCCGCCGCTTGCCTTCTTCGAGCGCTTGGCGATTTCTTTCTTCGCCGATACCGGTTCCTCTTCCCTCTTCACTTTCGTCGTCGTCTTCTTCTTCGCCTCCTTCGGATCCGCGCCGTTGCTGCCACTCGTAGTATTCGCTACCTTCTTCTGCCTCGCCGCCACAAACGCGGTCGTTCTCCCGCCAACTTCGCAAAAGCTAATCTTCTCCCCGTTCGCCATCTTCGCGTTTTGATTCTTCCCCCACCGGTGATGAAACAACCAATCGCTCGGAAACCGTCCGGAATCCGCGTCGCTTTCCACCGCCACTCTCGTCACGTCAAACATCGCCTCCCGCAAACTCCGCATCGCCTCTCCATTCAACTCGCTCGCTTTCACCTCCGGATGAATTTTCGCTCGATACAACATCTCGTCCGCCATCCAGTTCCCGACCCCGCACGCGACGCTTTGATCCAACAAAACGCTCTTAATCGCCGCGTTGCGTCTCCTAAAAATCTTCTCAAACTCCGTCTCCGAAATCCTTTCTAAATACGGATCAAATCCAAGCTTATTCACCGGTGCCGATTTCCTCGGACACTCGTTTCTCACTTGCACTCGTCCAAACCGTCTCGGGTCGGTATACGCCAAGCACTTCTCTCCTCCCGAAAACTCCAACACAAACTTATAAAACTTTGGCGGCCAACTTTCCTGGTCGACTTTAAACTCCACGTACTTTAACGGCCTTTCGCCTTTCACCGAGAACGCCCCGGTCATCCCGAAGTGGAACAAAACGAACGACTCGCCTTCGAATTCGAGCCATCCTTGTTTGCCTTTCCTGTGCGTGTTGAGTAAGCGTTTGTTCAGGACTGCTTTCTTGAACATTTCCTCCCCGATATCTTTGAAACATTTCTCGTCCAAAACGCCGGTTTCAGCGGACGGGAAGATGACGTTCGTGCAGATTTTGTTCACGCAGTGCGCGTGGACGAGTTTACGCGCGTGTTCCACCTCCGGGAGTTCCGGCATTTTCTCTCGCTCCTTCTTTGCGTTAAGAAGTTGTTGCGAAAAGAAATGACGTCAGACTTTTAACTGTTTTTCCCCAACAAGTAAAGAAATCAAATCATCGTTAAAGGAGGAGGAGGAGGCGACGGAGAAAGAATGCGCTCGTCTCTTCCGTCCTCGAGGAAAGTGTGCGTCCCAAAACGGGCGGTTTTTGTCCAAGGACGGCGTAAACGACTGCAGAAACACCCGAAGGAGGAAAGAAGGAAGTGTAACGCATTCTGGGGAAACAAAGATAAGGACGACAAGAAGAACAAAAGCGTAGTAGACCCGTTGTTGAAGAAACTGAAAGGCGCGGTGAACGAAATCGAAACCGAGGAAGAGCTGAACGAATATCTCGCTCGAAACGGCGAACAGATGACGGTGGTGAAAATCGCGACGAGCTTTTGCGGACCGTGTAAACTGATGAAACCGAAATTTGATCTGTTCGCGGAGAACTACTCGGACGCGCTGTTTTTGTACGTGTTGAGCGATAAGAACGAAAAGACGAAACAGTTATCGGACATGTTGAAAGTGAGCGAAGTGCCGTCGTTTAGGTTTTTTAGAAGCGGGGAACAGGTGTGGCAATACGCCGGGGCGAACGAAAAGATATTGAGGATGACTATAATAGATAACTTGCAAGACGGGGAGAAGCGGTAGAAGAGAGAGACGCGCGGCGGAGGAGAGAAGGAGAGAGAGATTGAGAGATTCGGCGGCCGAGAACGCGGTTGACCGGATCTCTTCTCTTTGCTGCGAAGTTTCGCTAAACGTGTTGTTTCTTTTATTATTACAGTGCTGTACTACTACTATATTTACAATCTATTATTGTTTGCGTAAACGCAAACGCAAACGCTATTCCCATCGTTCGCTCCGCTATTAAAGACATTTTAAACGCTCTCATCTGTTGGATATTTACGCTGATATATCGTCGTTCGGCAAAGGTAAAAGAATATCAGGAAGAAGAATTCACGAACTGCATCATTCTTTCCGCAACTGTTTGCCACTTCGCGTCGAGCATCACGTCGTGCGCTAAGCCTTCGATGAGGTTCGCCTCGACGTGCCAAAACTCCGCGGTTTCGCGCACGCCTTCCTCGTCGACGACGTAATCGTCTTTGCCCCCGATGACGAGCACTTTCTCTTTACCCTTTTGTCGTCCCTTACTTTTATCTACAATCGGCAACTCCTCGTTCAGCTTTTTCAAATCCAATAATCTCGCTTTGCTCGAATCGTTGATCAAACGCATGTACTTTTCGATATCCTTCTCCTCGACTTCCTCGGAAAAGAAACACTCGCGACAGGATTTAGGATCCGCCCCGAACTGTTTGCTGATAAACGCGTAGGTAATTTTCATCGACTTCCACAAATCCTTCTTCAAAAATCTCTTGACCATCTCCGAATTCCCGGTAGGTGGCACGGACGCGAGTAATATCATCCCGTCAAACAACTTTGCCTCTTTTACGCGTTCGTCGTCGTCTGAATCCTCGGCGAAGACTTTCTGCGCGATTAATCCGCCGAAAGAGTGCCCGACGACGAAAACTTTCTCGTACTTTTTCCTTCCGCGTATGTATTTCGCGTACTCTCGAACGTCCTCCGCGTGTCTCTCGAGCGTCCCGGCGACATTTCCTCCATCTTTCTTCATCCCGCTCTCGCCTTGCCCTCGAAAATCCATCGCAAACACATCCACATTTTGTCCATCATCAGCGTTTTCATACCCAAAATAGTCAAAGAAATGTTCAAGATAACACCATTTCGCGTGGTACGATCCGTGTAACAGTATCAGAGCTACGTCATTTCCTTTATTCATCCTTTCTATCGCGCTCATCTCGATGCCATCGGATGTCACGTATCCATTTTCTTTCATTAAAGAACAACACCACCATCCCCTAATTCTTGGTACAGGTGTTGTTTTCCCAACGCACCTCCTCCTCCTCCTCGCGTCAAAATCACACAAAGTCGCAGAATAAAGAGCAGCACTCCTCGCCGCAGCACAGAGCAAAGTCCCTCCTCTCGTCGTGGTAAAAGTCATATCGTAAAAGTCGTCGTCGTCGAAAAGAGAAAGAAATCTTTAGAGAGTACGTCGTGACTTCGTCTTCTCTCATCAATCAGAGTGCGCTTGCAAAATCCCCTACTCGTACTACGACTAAAATCTCTCGTGTCTTTTGTACGGAGACTTTTTAAAATTTATAAACCCTAAATAAACCCTAAATATTTGACGTAAAAACCGATCTCTTTTCTTTCACGTTTGCTCCGCATAAAACACAGACTTTGTAAGAAGACGTAACCATCATGGCGGCGGCAGTCTTAACGACTCCAAAAACGAGCAGTCGTCGCGGTGAGAGTGCGAAAAGCACGACATCTGCGGCTGGAATTCTCGCGTTACTCGAAGAACCGCAAGATGTCCTCAAAGTCCACGGCTTACGAATGCTCAACGATTACGCCATGCGCACGAGCTGGCACGAAGTCGCGAGCGCGATCGAAATCATCGAAGGGATGCACGAGGACGAGTTTTTTTCGCACAGAGATTTAGCCGCGCTGGTGGCGAGCAAGGTGCGCAGCTTTTCTTTTCGTTCGTATTGTAAGAGAGAGAGAGAGTAAAGTTGCGTTCGGTGATCTTCTTTATGTGCGTAAAGAGATGAGACGTTTTTGAACGACACGCGAGATCTGATCTTGCGAGTCGCTCTTACGAATAAGAAGAGGGAAAATTTTCATCGCCAAATCGCTGCTCTTTTTTTCTCTCCTTGAACGCTTTTCATTCTCGTCCACTCTTTCCTCGCGACGATATAAAACTCACGCAACAAATATGGTTTTTCACATGCAGGTATTCTACCACTTGGGCGACTTGGAGGACGCGCTCTCGTACGCGCTGGCCGCCGGGAAACTCTTCGACGTGGCGGAGAAGAATTCTGATTTCGTGGACACGGTTTTGGCGAAAGCGATCGATACGTACGTGGAGAAGAGGCAGAGAGGAGGTACGGTAGTGAGGGAGGCGGCGGCGGAGGCGATGGAAGAAGGCGAAGAAGAAAGAGGAGAGGCTTTCGACGTTTCTATCGACCCTCGATTGGAATCCATCGTCGATAGAATGTTTGAAAAGTGCCACGAGGAAAAACAGTGGACGCACGCGGTTGGCGTGGCGTTGGAGTCGAAACGGTTAGACGCGTTGGAAAAAGCGATATCGAGAGCGGAGCAACCGGAGGTTGTGTTATCGTACGCCACGAAGGTTAGTCAGACGTTGGTTATGCAGAAATCGTTTCGCGCGGAGGCTTTGGCGTTGTTGGTGAAGTTGTACGAGACGCTCGATTTCGACGAGCCGAATTATAACGGCGTGTGCCAGTGTTTGGCGATTTTAGAGGATGATAAGCGATGCGCGGACGTTTTGTTATCGTTGGTGAAATCTTCGGACGAGCGAGACAATTTACAGGCGTACCAAATCGGGTTCAATTTGTTCGAGATGGATTTGAGAAATTTTTTGAGCGGCGTCGCCAATTTAGTCGTCTCGGCGTCTTTGGCATCCAAGCAAACGCCAATCAAAGATGGTCAAGAACAGAAGGAGGCGGATAAACAAGCGCGCACGAACTCGTTGGTGTCAATTTTGAGAGGCGAAACGCCCGCAAAGTTGTACTTGGAATTTTTGAAAACGAAATCGCACGGCGACCCGGCGTTGGTGGAGAAGTTAAAGAAAGCCGTCGAAGGGAGAAACTCTGTCATGCACGGCTCGGTGGTGTTTGCAAACGCCATGAGCAACTGCGGAACCACGAGCGACGCGTTTTTGAGACAAAACTTGGACTGGTTATCGAGGGCGACAAACTGGGCGAGGTTTTCAGCCACCGCCGGCGTCGGCGTCATCCACCGCGGTCGCGCCGAAGATTCGAAACAGTTGCTGTCGCAACTGTTACCGGCCCCGAGTCCGTACACGTTAGGTGGTGCGTTATACGCCATGGGTTTGATGCACTGCGGGCGCCCTCATTGCGGAGAGGCGTCGACGTTCATCATCGAACGTCTTCGCGCGGCGAATAACGAAACCGTGCAACACGGCGCGTGTTTAGGCATAGGTTTGAGTAGCTACGGGAAATCAGAGTTAGATGCGGAGTGCATGATGGAACTCTTTAGAATTTTGCGAAGCGACAGCGCCGTGGCCGGTGAAGCCGCAGGTATCGGATTAGGTTTTGTTTTGGCCGGTTTGCGCAAAAACCCGAGTGAAAACTCTGGAAACAAGAGTCTCCACGATAACTGGACGAGAGACATGCTCGCGTACGCGAGAAAGACATCGCACGAAAAAATAATTCGTGGATTAGGTTTGGGTCTCGCGTGCGCGTTTGCCACGTGCGAGGAAGACGCGGATGCGATCATTGAAGACGCATTAGGCGACGGCGACGCGTTGATTCGGTACGGCGGATGTCAAATTATTGGCTCCGCGTACGTCGGCACCGGGAACAACGACGCCATTCGAAAACTCTTACACGTGGCCGTCTCGGACGTCTCGGACGACGTTCGCCGATGTGCCGTCATGTCCATCGGTTTTGTGTTAACGAACAACCCGGAACAGTGCGTTCGCGTCGTGCAACTCTTATCGGAATCGTACAACCCGCACGCGAGGTACGGCGCGGCTATGGCGGTCGGCATCGCCTGCGCCGGTACTGGTAACGTCAACGCGGCGAAATTATTAGAACCTATGAGAAGAGACAAAGTCGATTTTGTCCAGCAAGGCGCCGCTATCGCGTCTGCGCTAGTCTTGGTCCAACAACCGGAAGATCGCTTGTCGAAATTCCGCGACGAGATGCAAAAAATGAGCGCGGATTCGAGCGAAACGACCATGTCGAAAATGGGCGCAATCATGGCATCGGGCATCTTAGATTGCGGTGGACGCAACTGCACGATTTCTTTGAAATCCAGAGCCGGTCGCCCGAGAATGACGTCCACCTTAGGCGTATTGGTCTTCACCCAATATTGGTACTGGTTTCCGTTTGGTCACTTTCTCTCCATCGCGACCATCCCGACGGCGTTCATCGGCGTCGACAAAACCTTACAAATGCCGCATTACGAGTGCGTTTCCAACGCCAAGCCGTCCTTATTCAAATACGCGGATTACCTCTCCGACGAAAAAGACAAGAAAACGACCGAGGTGAAGAAAGCCGTTCTCTCGACGACGAAGAAAGCGCAAAAGTTGCTCAATGAGAAAAATGTAAAAAAAATGAACAAAGACGCGGAGAGCATGGACGCCGACGATAACGTCCCGTCTCGCCCGCAATCCAGAGCCGCAAAAGACGACAACGAAATGGACGCGACCGCTACCACCACCACCACCACCGCTGAAGGAGAAAAAGAAGGAGAAGAAAAAGAAGGAGAAGAAGAAAAGAAGGAGGACGAACCGGAACCGGAGTTTGAAATCTTAACCAACCCGTCGAGAGTGACCCCGCAACAAGAAAAGTTCATCTCCTTCGACCCAGCCGCGCGATTCGTCCCGTGCGAATCCTCGACGACCACCACCACCACCACCACCACCATCAAAGAAAAATCTCGCGTCGGCCGCGGTTTTGTCGTCTTAAAAGACCAAACGCCGGAAGAGGAGGTGTTTTACGTCGAGTTGGCGTTTCAAAAAGCCGAAGTCGACGCGCAAGCCGGAAACGCCGCGAACGCCGGCGCAGGAAACGACGACGACGACGAACCCGCGCCGCCGGAGGAGTTCGACTTCGACGAAGACGATTAGAACTTTAGAGAGAGAGAGAGAGAGAGAGTTTTCAGAGAGAAGTGTAATAAACCGATTCTATACTAATCGAGTAGTACTATATTTAAAGGCAACTTTTCCTCATTTATTCAAATCACAACACGAACAAACATGCAACACACACAAGCGACGTCCGCGTACAACGACGTGAAGTTCACCTCCTCGAAGGACAACGACACCACCGCAAACGGCTTTTCTCATCACACGGGAAGTACTCGCCTCGAACTGAAACGAATAATCAAACCAAAGTTATTGGATTTCGAATACGCGTTGTGGCAGATGCGCTTGCTTCTCACCCACGGGCCGAAGAAAATCTACCGGCACTGCGAGTACAGGAAACAAACGAAAAACCAATGGGCGAGAGACGACCCGACGTTTTGCGTTTTGTCGTGCATTTTTGTCGCTCTGTGTGCGATTGGGTATTGTTTTATGTACGAGACGAGAGGGATTGTGAGAGGGTTGTGGGTGATTACGTCGGCCGTGTGTTTCGATTATATCGGGTGCGGGTGCGCGATCGCGACGGCGTATTGGTTCTTGGCGAACAGGTTTATGACGACGAGAACGAGAAGAGGAGGGAGTAAAAATAGCGATGGAAGTAGTATGAGTAGTAATAATAACGTGGAATGGCTGTTCGCGTTCGACGTGCACTGCAACTCGTTCGTGCCGCTGTTTGTCGCGTTGTACCTCGGGCAGTTGATTTTGAGCCCGCTGTTATCTCAGAGAGGGTTTATTTGCGCGTTGTTGAGCAACATTTTGTACGGGTTGAGTTTGAGTTATTATCACTACTGCCAGTTCGTTGGGTTTAACTCGTTGCCGTTTTTGGAGCGGACGGAGTTTTTGTTGTACCCGGTGGTTGGTTTAGTTTTGTTAGCGATTCCGCTGAGCGCGATGCAGTTCAACCCGACGAGGTGGGTGTTAAGTTGGTATTTCGGCCCCGACGTTTTGAAGTAAAAATGACGACGATTTTGAGAGAGAGAGAGAGAGAGTAAAAATGGTTGAATGGCGGTTGAATAATAATTACATTAATGGTACTCTCATCTACTAAAAACTAACTCGAAACCGGATGACATACGTCCGACGATATCCGAGATCGAAGATGGTAATACAAATGTTTCCCACCACCACCCCCAATGGTAAAACTCCCAACCCCTAACCCTAACAAAATGCTCACAAAGACGCCAAAATTCAAACTCATCACGCACAGCATGAGTATATACGAGACAGACGCGTGCGCTACGTACTTCGCCGTGTGCTTCAACACCCTCGCGTTCGAATAATGCTGATCTTTAGGAAGCGCATTAGTCGTGTTGTTGTTGTCTTTTAAACTCTCGTACGCCGAATTCGACGCGTTCACACTCGCACCAAACACTACTTCTTCTTTTTTCCTCACAAACGCGATGTATTCTTGCACGTACGCCAACGTAAACGTAAACAAAAGAACGCAAAAGTATTCGAATCCGGTGTTGGATTGGAAACGAAACAAGGTGACATTTCTGCTGAAATCAAAGTTTATCGGCATCGAAGAGGAAGAAACAGAGGACCCAGTGGCAGCGGCACGCATCATCATCTCGTTTCCTTGGGTTTCGTGATGGTAATGCGCGTGTTGCGACATTAGTGTGATAGTATTCTCTTAATGCGTAGATATAGTGGAGAATTTTCTCCATTTCAAAGCAGAGAGAACGGATTGGATTGAGAACGTAAGTTCTTCACAGAGAGAGCGTCAGAGAGCGTCAGAGCGCATCGAGCAGAGCGCAAAGTGAGAGGAAAGACGAGCGAGTAAAGATGGAGGACGAAGACTACGATGAAAATCATCAATCGTCTCCGTTACGATTGGCGAGACATCTGACAAGTTTAGCGCACGAATTCCTGAATTCCTTGAACCCGTTGCACGCTATTCTCGCGCTCGAAACGACGTTCCAGAACCCTCAAGCGAAATTTCCATCGTCCATGAACATCGAGGAAGTGAAGAATCGTAAACTGATAGGGTCGATTTTAAACGCAATCACGGAAAATCAAGCCGAGGCGAAGAGGCATCTGGAATTCGGGAAAGTGGTTTTAAAAGACCACGCGAGGTACGAAGTTTTGAAATACGAGACGTTTTACGAACTGGCCATCGCGAATCGAAACCTAGTTCCCACAGACGGAGAAAAAGCGAAAAAGATGGAAGAGGAATCCTTGAACAATTGTTTAGACCTTGCAAAACGGATGAAAGAGGACGCGTCCGGCGTGTTGACGAAGACGGAGAGAGACGAGTGGCGGTTGCGCTTCGCTTTTACGCTTTTGGCGATGGGCGAGATGCACTTAAGGAATGAGAGTTTCTCGAAGAGCGAGAGGAGTTTTGGGTTGGCGTTTAAAGCGGTGGAAGTTATGGAGAGGGAGTTGGTGAAACGGAGAAACGGAGAGGAGGAAAAGCTTTTGATGAAAGAAGAGAAAAACGGGTTGACTCGATTGAAATTAACCGTGGCGTTGGCGGATTTTGAACGCGCGATTTTACAACGCGCGAGCGGGGAAGAACCGTCCAGAGTGTCGAAAGCGATGAAGAGAGCCGAGATGATTGCGAAAGACGTGCACGCGATGGACGAACACGCGAGAGAGCTGTTCCAGTTTTCCAGTTTAAGGTGCGCTTCGAAAATCGAGGAAGGCGACGTCGCTTCGGCGTTGAAAGGCGCGAACGATTTAAGGAAGAGATGCGAGTATCACAAGAAACGCATGGAAGCGCATTTGGAGGAAACGGAGTTCGTTGAGCGAATATTAGTCAAAGCAGGATTGATTGAGTGGAGGAAGAAGACGATGATGAAGAAGAAGAGTAACGACGACGAGAGCGAAAAAGATGCGAAAAAGACATCGCCGTTCGCGCAGTTGAACGAAAGCGCCAAGGAATGGATACCGGAGCGTCAAGTCATTGCGCGCGCGGAAATTTTATTGGCGGAAACTTCACGCAAGAGTGGGTCGACGAAAGAAACCGCGCAAAGATTACGAGAGGTGAAGAAGATGTTGGACGAGGGATTAGAGGAACTCGGGATTTCGGCGTTGGGTTTGCCATATCGAAAAGAAGGAGGAGATGTGGAGATTGATGAGAATGCGAGGGAGACGAACGGCACCGCGATGAAACGAAACCAAAACAAAGCCGATGAAGATGAAGAGGGTAAAAATGGTGAGATAGCAGCGAAGGAGAAGGACGACGACGAGGAGGAAATGGACGTCGACGAGAAGGAAGAAGAGGAACAAACGCCTACGACCACCAGAACGAGTCGGCGGTCCACGCGAGGTGGTGGCAAATCGACACCGCGTAGCGATAGTAAACCGAGCAAGAAAATTCCGGCGACCGAGTCGACGAAAAAGAAACGAGCGGCAAAGACAAAAGAGGTTGTCGTTCAAAAGAAACCACAATCACCACCACCACAACAACAACAAGAACAACCAAAGAAGCAAGAGAGACTGTGGGTGATGAAAGAGGAAAACTTAGGCCCGCGATCTTCCTGCGACGCGCACCCATTTTTTACTTTACGATGCAGCTGCAACGAGCTTCTCGCGTCTATATATTTAACCGCTGGCGATTACCCGAAGGCTGTCCTCGAAGCGAACGAATTGGACGCGACTGTCTCCGCGTACCCGCGCACGCTCAGTTCGTTAGTCGCGCACTGCGAAATGGTTCGCGGCCACGCGTTGTATTCCATGGGCAAATATCGCGACTCCGTGAAAGCGTTCACGAAAGCCGCCGAAAGAGCCAAGACGCCAAGTTTCCGCGACGTGGCGACTTTGTGCGCCGCTTTAGGGGAGCTGGCGACTGGAGGCACCAAAGGCGCTTCGAAAGCGTTGGATTTGGCGCAACCGATTTGCCGTCGCCACGAAGATTTTTTACAAAACGAAGAAGAAAAGGAGAAACTTAGAAAAAAGAAGGAAGAAGAGAGCAAAAATGCCAAAGACGAGGCAGACGACGACGAAGAGGAAGAGGACGACGACGACGACGAAGAAATCTCGTTTCGCCCATCTTTGGTCGACCGAGCGGTTGCGCTTTTCGTCTCCGGTTTCGCCTTTCTCGAACGCGGAAACCAAGACGGCGCGAAATCTCGCCTCTCCTCGGCGTTGAAACTCGCGCACGCGAAAACCAAAGACACGCAACTCGTCGCCGCGTGTTTGCGCGCCTTAGGGTCCATCGCCTCCGAGCGTTCTGCTTCGAACGAGCAACAACAAGCGTTGGACATGCTCCAATCCGCGTTTACCTTATCTAAAGCGCAAGACGATTTAGACGGTCAAGTCGAAGCGTTGAGGAAACTCGTCGAATCGCACGAAAAGAAAGGCAGCAACGAGAAAGAAAAGAAAACGCTGAGCGATTATTTGCAAAAGAAAGAGAAGCAAATGGAAGACGGTTTGAACAAATTGAAACTGGAAGAGAACAAGATCAACGTTTTGCACTTAGAAAAAGGTCTGAAGGACTTGGAGGAGGACGAGTTAGCGTAGCTTAGCGATATAGAAGAAGTGTCCTCTCCATTATGAATGAAGCGCTGCTCAGCGCTTCCTACCAACCCACATACACGCGCACACAATAATACAACTCGAAAATTAATCGTCTAATATCAATTTCGTCAACCCGCTCAAACCCACCTTCTTCCTGCACTGAGGACATCTGGACTTTGTCTTTTGCGCTCGAATCAACTCCCGTATGCACTGATCGCAATACACGTGTCCACACTTTGTCGCGGTCGGCTTTTCGATCTCATCCAGACATATCACGCACTTGGGCGTTTTCTTCGGCTGCGGTCCTTTCGGCTCGGGAGTAGTACTCGGCTCGTTTCGCGGACCTTTTGTTGGACTGCTGCTCGTCGCCTTCTTCTTCTTCCGCGCGGAAAGCCGCGTCCCCGTCGGACTCGCATTCGCGTCGCTCCCGCCTTCGCTACTCTTTCTCTTCTTATTCGTATTACTTCTATTGTGTCGTTCTAACAGTTCTCTCGCCTGTCGTATTTGCGTCGATTCCTTCTCTCCCACCACGATGACTTCTTCTTCGTTAACGCTTTTTCTTCCTCTGTTTCTTCCTTCTTCTCTTCGTTCTTGTTTCTGTTGTTTCCCTTTCCCTCCTCCTCTCTCCCCGCAAATGATCACCTCGTCGTCCTCTTCCTCGTTTCTTCGTTGTTGTTGGTTTCTTCCTTTCCCTTCTTTCGACCCGACGAATATGATTTCCTCGTCCGTCGAGTCCTCCTCGTCCGATAAACAAATCACATCCGAGAACTCTTTCAACGGTACATCTTTCTCCCGCTCGGGAGGAGATTTTGCCACCATTTTTGTCTTCTTCTTCTTCTTCGCTTTTCGCGCTCGTTTCTTCGTTCCGGGGTCGTCGTTCTCGAGTCGAAACGCCTTCTTCTTCTTTCTTTCGGCGGCTCGAGCAGTTTCCTCAGCGGCTCCAACTTCGAGAGTCTTCTTCGTTTCAATCATCATCTCGCGTCGAGAGTCTTCTGCACATCTGAAAAGTGTGTCTCTTTTCTTTGGGAAACCGACGAGAACGAAAATCTGCATAAAAATCCGCGCGAGATGGCATCCTCCGCGGGGTCGTATTTTTCGAGCGGTTGCGCTTCTGTTACATATACCAAAGGAAGGAGGAGGCGCGACGTCGTGACGTGCTTTTTGTGTTCTCGTCCTCCTTCTCCTCGCATTCGCCGCCCGAAGACGACGCCTGAACAGTCGTTGAAGCAGAATGTACGATTACAAACCCCTACGGGGACGGTGAAGACGAAGAAGACGAAGAAGACAAAGACGATGATTAAAGCAAACGTACCACCGCCAATCCTGGAAGATTTATCCCCGTTAGAAACGATCAGAGACTCGTTCGATATGATCGCGACGTCGTTCGCGACGACGGTGACTATTTGGAGCAATAACAGGTTTAATAAGAATAGAAATCCAATGTCTTCGCTCGAAAGCGAAGGAATGCGCTTGGAGAGCGAAGGAGGAGGAAATGACGACGATGGCCGAAAAGGAGGTGGAGGAGGGAACGGAGATAACAACGACGACGAAGGCGATTGGGGCGAAGAAAACGACGGTTACAGCGAAGACTCGCAGTTCGTCTGGATCCGAAACGGCCAAGACGGATTGAAATGGTTGGTTTCGTTCCTCGTGTTTAGTTGGTACTGTTTTTTCTTCGCGCACGAACCGTTTTGGGGGTGCGTTTGGTTAACGTGCGCGATTGGAACCGGGTGGGGGTTGTTTTTAGTTGGGAGCGCGGTTTCCGGCGCGTTGTTTGTGATTAACTTTTTCTATCGCGTGTACGATTCTTCGACGGCGAACGTGTTGAGCGAATCCAAGGAGAAGACGGGAGGGGTGATCGATTACGGCATAGGGATTAAGAAAGAGGCAATTAAGATGATACAGGCGGAGAGGTTTCGGAAGACGATTCCGGAACCGATTGAGAATTTGCAAACCGCGCCTGTCGATAGGAATTTGAATCCGAATTTGCCGAAACACGTGTCCTTGTTCGGGACGGACGCGCAGATTGTCCAGATGAAGTTGAAACCGGGGGAGTCGGTCAACGCCGAGCCGGGGGCGATGTGTTACATGAGTTCGAACGTGTTGTCGATTACGAGTTTAGGTCCCGGTGGATTATCAAAAGCAATCGCGAGAGTCTTAGCCGGGGAACCGTTTTTTATCAACACGTTTCGGAATTTAGGCTCCTCGGACGGGTACATCGCGTTGGGGAGTTTGCGACAAGGCGATAAAATCGCCGTCGTGAATTTGAAAGAGAGAGAGGCGGATTTGCTCTGCGCGAGAGATTCGTATTTGTGTTCCATGGGGGACATTTCCGTTTCTGCAGCCGTGTCGTTTTCACAAGAAGCGAGAGGAGGGAGAACGTTATCGCAGGTTTTAAAACAACGCTTCCGAACCGGCGTGCGTTTGATTTTGAGTAAAGGAAACAACATTTTCAACGGCGAATGGTTAGTGGGCGACGGGACCGCGTGTATTACCGGTAAAGGTACGGTCATGCGCAGAACCTTAAAAGAAGGCGAAGAGATGGTGGTCGACGCCAGAGCGGTGTTGGCGTTAGAACGAACGATTGAGTACGATTTAGAGTTGGTTTCTTCGCCCGTGGCGGCGGTGTTTGGCGGCGAAGGTTTGTTCCACGTGCGATTGAAAGGCCCGGGCGGGTTTTATTTACAAAGTTTACCCATCGATAAAGCGAAGAAAAAGCTCCGACTGGGAGGACGAAGCATATAGAGAGAGGAAAAGAAGAAGAGAAAGAAAGCGCAAAACGATTCGCGGCGATGATGTAGCGAGCGCGCATCTCGTCGGATGTACCATCAATTATCAAACGCTATATTTAACTATACTAAAACTCTTCTATCAAGTAAACTTCTTCACAAGTTCCTTCTAAACATCTCCACGTTCCCATCTTTCACCCGCATGGGTAAGAACGTCCCGCTTTTCACCCTCCGACTCGGTTCAAAACTCGTCCTTTCCTCCGCATAGTCCTCTCGAAAAAATGCGTGGGCGACATCCCCTTCACCATTTTCCCGAAATTCTTCGCAAAACCAGGACAACCCTTGGACGCCGCCGATGAATTCCCCGGTGATTGGACTTTGCGCGAATTGCAACACCGGATATCTGAGTACTTTTTGTTTCGATTTCGACGACGAGGACCCTCCGTGGTTGCTTCGCCGTCGAGAACTGTTATTCTTCTCGCCGTTCTCGCCGTACGCTTCGTCGTCTGAATCGTCGCCAAATCCCATCGCGTTCTTCACGGACGACGCCGCTCGTTTGAGCCAACCCATGTTGTCGGATGTCTTCCTCTCTATCTCTCTCTCTTCTCGTTTCTGCCCCGTGGTTTCTGCGGAGGGGAGGACGCTCTAAAGATGATGATCTCGTTGTTTTCGAAGAAGTTTTCGAGTGAAAGCGTTTCTTAAAGTGCGGAGAATAAAAACGCAGAGGTGTGTTTTTGGAATAGAGCGTTAGAAGAATGAATGAGTACTTTATTGGTTCTTCTGACTATCTATTATTATATATAAACAAGTTAAAGCGCGCTGCGCGTTTTCAAAAGTCTTTTCAACGCCGTCAAGAAGCCGCTGCACTCGTCCCAGTGTTGGGTGGTCATCTCCACGTGAACGGAGTTGGCGGTGGCCCAGTCGCCTCGAGAGGCGGCGTCGCAGAGTTTCATCAGTTTTTCTTCCACGGCTGCGGAGACTTGCTTCTCGTTTAAGCGCCAACAGAGTTGGCCGAGACGTTTGGAGCAGTCTTCGAGCTCCTTCTTTCGCACCGGGTTGGAGGCGAGCTGTTGGAAGCACTCGTCGTGCATTTTTTTCACGCACTGAGAGATTTGCGCACCGGAAGGAGAGCAGTTGGAGGATTGCACGGTGGAAAGGGTAACGTCAGCGGGTGGTCCGGCTGGACGGCGCGGGCTAGGCGGTTGTTGTTGATGTTGTTGTTGTTGTTGTTGTTGAGGCGGCGAAAGCGCTTGGTGGTGTTGCGGTGGCTGTTGTTGTTGTTGTTGCATAGGTGGTGGCGCTTGGTGTTGAAACTGTTGCTGGGGCGGCGGCGAAGCTTGCTGAAACGATTGCTGCTGCTGCATCGGTGGTGGCGCAGCCGAAGGTGCCGGAGAATACGACGGTGGAGGCGCCGCGGCTGGCGAGTACGATGGCGGCGGCGCCGCCGCGGGTGGAGGTCCACCGCCCGCCGGACCACCTCTACTTCTAGGCGATACACTCGGCGCCGGTGGCGCGTCCATAACCGGTGACGGATCGAAACTTGGCGTCGGAGCAGCGGGCGCTGGCGAAACCCGATAACCACCTCCTTCCCCGTCCCCAACTGTGGCTCCTCGCCCCCCCCCGGCGTCCCCCAACCCTTCCCCCCG